GTTCCTTGTCGCCCTACCGACAGTTCGCCTTTTAGTGGTGGGCCTTCCTGACGCGAGCGTCCTCTCGGCGCACGCCAAGCCCATCTCGAACCCGGACGACTCGCCGTTCGACCCCGTCCCCGTCCATGTCACGTTCGCCGACTGGGCGCCCGGCCTGTGCGCCCACGCTCGGTATGGTCATCGTCAACCTGATCGACAAGGCGCGGCTCATGGGAGACGACTCGTACAGCGGCGGCAGCGTCGCGTGGCGCGCGAGGGCCTTCCTCTTTGTCGGGTTCGCCCTCATGGCCGGCGGCGTCGCAGGCAGCCTCGTGCGTCGACCTCTCTGACTCTCTCTATTTGTGTGGCCCAGTCACTGACTCGTTCGTGCCCTGCAGACGCTCCTCCTCGTCAAGTACGTCATGGCGCACTACCCGGAGAACTACGGCGTCAACTGGGGCGTTGCCAACGTCCTCCAGTCGAGTGCGTCCCCCTTTCTCTCGTTCTGGCGGCCTCGAGGGACCTGAGCTGACTTTCCGTGCCTCCCTTGCAGTCGCCATCATGTTCAGGTGCGTCCTCGTTGCCGGATCCCCCCCTTTCTCGCTTCCTCGAGCGCGCACTGACGATCTTTCGACCCGCAGCGCCGTCGTCTTGTGGACCGCCCAGAACGCCGAGAGCGACTACGACTACAACATCACGCTGTAGCGGCCCTTCCTCTCCCCGCCAAGCCTGTAACGCACCCGAGCCGTTCCTGTCCTTCGTCCCTCGCCGCCCTGAGAGCTCGCTCGAGCGGCAGCGTTCCGCTCTCGTCAGGCTGTGAGCGAGCACCGAGCTTCGAAGAGTCTCTCGGATCTCGCGCTAAGGGGCAGGGCGCGGTCATCGGCTCGCTCGACGCACTCTGTTCTGAGAGGTTCCTCGACTCGCTCTCGCTCTCGCTCTCGACGGCGAGCGAGCAGTCTCTCTCGCTTTCGGCTCGGCCTCTCTCGCGAGCAACGATATGTGCCCAGACTGAGTCGGGCGTGTGAACAGGAGAAGATGCGGGTTGCAGATGAAGAATGAGAAAGGCGGACGAGGGGGAACAGTCTCGAGGAGGGTGGTCGCTACAACGCCAAGAGCGCCAGGAGCGGCGCTTGACGCAAGGAGATACTGTTTCGCAAGAGCCTGAACGGTCAGGAACGGCGGCAGGACGGAAGAGACGGGCGAGAGACGCACCTGAAAGCCGGCTAGGACCGCCTCGACGCTCGTCTCTGCTCCTCGGCCCAGCGCGCCTGCGCCTCAGCCTCCCACCGGCTCCTCGTCGTGCCGTAGCGCTGCGCGGTGCGCTCGCTGATCGAGGCGGGCGGGCCCTTGGCGAGAGAGTGCGCCGAGGAGGAGGCAGCCGCGTCGGCGACCGGGTCGAACGGGACGAACATCCAGCGGCGCAGCGTGTCGACGGTCGGCTGCTCGGCAGACGAAAAGGATGTCAGCTTGGCTCCCTCCATTGACCGAGAAAGAGAGAAGAGGGACGCACGAGCTGCTCCTCCCTCTGGTTGAAGCCGCGCTTCACGAAATCGGCACGGGCGCGGGCCATCTGCTTGTCAAAGTATTGCCGTCCGGCGAGCGTCGTCTGGTCCCTCCATACGGACAGGAGCGCATCTTGGACCTCGCGCCGCCAGCGGTACAGCTCGTGGGCTTGGATGAGCGCCCAGCGGTTGTCCTCGTTGGCCTTGATGAACCACTTGAAGATCGCGTCGAGCGCGTACTCGGTCGCGGTCGGCTGCGGCTTGGAAGGCGGGGGCATAGCTGAGCGAGGGCAGCAAGTATGGCAGAGCAACCGAGGAGCGAAGCCACGCTTCGTGCGGTCGAGAGCAACGCCCCCAGGCTCGGCCGAGGAGGCGTCGACGTTCGTCGTTGGCGCGCGTCTGTCCGAGGGGAGCAGACCGGACCGGCGGAGCGACCGCCGCCGATGCGGCGCGAGCGACTCGGTGTTGAACCGTGGCGCGAGCGGAGCGAGGCAGGGGGCGAGCTTGTGTCGAGGCCAGCCGAGCAGCGGGCGGGCGGCGCATGCGCGTCGGCAGTGCTGCAGGCTCGGCTGAGCCGAGATGGACGCGCGCAGCAGCTTGGTCGAAGGCTAGCGAGGACGAGGAGCTCGAGGAGGAGAGGGGGGGCGGACCTCATCCTACCTCGCTCTGCTGGAGCACAGCTTGCTCGTACAGCCGCTAGCACCCTTGTGCGACAGCTTCCGCCCGTACCCGAGCACCACCGCCGCCGCCACGAGCGTCACCCTCCCCTCGCCTCCTCATCTCCACCCTCCATCAACTGCCCTCCACCACCCGCCAACAAGACGCTGAAGAGGCCATGTCCGCCGCTGCAGCCGGCCTGTGCACCGTCTGTGACAAGCCTGCGACCTTGCGGTGCAGCAAATGCCGTTCGTCCGCTTACTGTTCTCGACGATGTCAAGCCCTCGTACGTCCACCTCTCTCTGCCCCTCTGTGACCCTCTCGGGCGCCTGACTGAGACAGCAATCCGCAGCTGTGGCCGTCGCACAAGGTCCTGTGCGGGCGCGACCCGGACATGTTCTACCTCCCGGACCTCAGCACCGCCGACGTCGCTCGTCTCGAGAGCTTCAAGAACGAGTTCTTCGCCGACTACGACGAGACCTTTGCCGACTTTGTGTCCACCCACTTGGGCTTGCCGTGGCCGGTGCGTCCCACTCTCTCTGCTCCTCGCCGGGCGGGCAGGTGGACCTCTTGGCATCGGTCCCTCTCCCACACGAGCGCTGACTTCAGGTGTTTCCTCTGCAGGCTTTCCTCGTCACCCACACCGCTATCGACCCGGATGCAGACGACAGCACTCCTGCGCTTCTCGGCTGCCGCAACCTCAACCTCGTTCTCGCTCGGAAGCACCTGTACCAGGTCGCGCGCGCTCGAGACCCGAGCCTGCGCATCGTCGACCTGCCAATCTGGGACCCGTTCTCCGACGTCGCCGAGGGCTACGTCGACCGGTGCGTCAGCCTGCAGGCCGACGAGGCGGCGCCGAGGTGGGACCCGGCCGACCCGTGGCGAGCGCTCAACGCCGTCCTGCGGCAGGACCTCGTGCGTCACACGCTCTTCCTCAAGCAGCGCGAGTGCCAGCCCGACATCTCGCAGAAGGAGGTCGGCCGCCTCTCGATCCTGTCGTTCGAGCGCGCGGCCGTCGAAGCTCGTCGAGCACCCGTGCCGCAAGTGGCCAAGGACGAGATCGTGGGCGCCTTTGAGGAATGCGTCGAGAACTCGATCGTGATCACGCAGAGCTTTGGCGTGCCGTGACTGAGGCGCGAGGAGGAGGCGTGCGGTACTGCGACTCGTGGCTGGAGCGAGGACGGTCGGTGCTCGAGGTCGGCGGTAGTGCGTCCTCTCTTCCCCTCTCTCGCTCCCTCTTCCGCAAGTTTCCCTCTCGACCACGACTAACGCAACTGTACCCACAGGCTTATCGTACACGGCCCACTCGACTCATGTCGCCGCCACATCCCTCTCTCTCCTCCTCGCCGTCCTCGCGCTCGCCCCCCTTTCTTCGTCCTCCCCCTCCCGTCGTCGTCTCGAGATGGTCGCCGTCGAGCAATAGAGACAGGAGTACCTCCCGAGCGAGTGCAGCAGCAGAGCTTGTGCAGCGAGCCGCTCGTGAGGAAAGCTCCCGCTGTCGACGATGCAGCTCGACCTCGGTCCGGCTCGCGGAAGCTGCTGCGGCGGCAATCTCGCCTCCCGGGTGGCTAGCGCGCCTCGATCGCCTCCTGTCGGCGGACTCGCCGCCGAGATGGAGCGAATGAGCGCTCGCGCCGCGGGGCAGACGGCCGTCCGCCCCTTTCTCTTGCTCCTCCTCGTCGCTCGCTCGCTCTCCTGCTCGCTTCTCTACGATGGGCCCAGACGACGGCGTGCTGTGCGCAGTGTGCGACCAGCCCGGCCGGCTCTCGTGCGGTGCGTGTCGCGCCATGCGCGTCTGCGGGCCGAGGTGCCAGAGAATCGTCCGTCCCCTCTTTCTCGCCCTCTTCTCCCCTTAGACTGCAGCGTACCCGAGCTGACTCTCTTCTTCGAGCGCACACGCAGCTCTGGCCGGCGCACCGGACCCTGTGCGGGCGCGACCCGACGTTCTTCTACCTCCCGGGCCTCACGCCCGTCGAGGCCGACTGGCTCGAGCGCGTCAAGGACGAGCCGTTCTCGCTCAGCGGCAAGACGTTCGTCGAGTACGTGACGGCGCTCACGCCCGGCCTCACGTGGAAGGTGCGTCGGCCTGCGAGCCTTTCTCCTCCTCGCGCGCGGACGGGCGCCACCTCCTGATGCGTACGGGCGCCGCCCTGACACACTCTTGTCCCTACACAGGACCTGGTCGCGATCGTCTCGTCCGACACGACCTCGTCAACGCTCGCCGACGCCATGCGCAATACGCTCCTCGTCCACGCCTTCTTCCACCTCGACCTCATGCTGCGCAACTCGGTCGGCCCGAGCCCGCTGTGGCACTCTTTTGCCACGCTCGCCGTCCCGACGTTTGTGCACTGCAGCCGGCACCTCGGGTCGCAGCTCGGCGCCGACCTGTGGCGCGTCACGAACGACGTCCTGCGGCAGGTCCTCGTCTACGCCGCCTTACCCGGCGCGGTGGCCGACCCGGCGCTCGAGATGGGCCTTGACGAGTGCGTCAGGCTCGAGATCCTGGCGCAGGCGAGGGTCGTCGAGGCGGTCGCGAGGGCGCAGGTGGCGCAGGCGGCCAAGGACGTGCTCGTCGCCAACTCGGTGGCGCACCTCGAGGTGCTCAAGGACAAGCTTGCGGCGGTGCGGAGCGAGGGGACGTAGCGCGTGCTTGGGCTTTGCAGGACGAGGAAAGAGTCTGTGCCTGACTGTCGCGAGCGAGCGAGAGTGTTGCGAAGCGGCGCGAGCGAGAGGTGCGACGGCATCGGTACCCCCTGCACAGCGTGCGCGGCCCAGAACGCTCGGCGTGGGCTCGAGCGTGCCTCAAAAGACTTACAGGGTCGAAAGAGAGCCGAGGAGACGGTACAGGCGAGGCAGCCGCGACTTCGTCTCGAGGCTCGAAGCGGAAGAAGAGCTTCGGCCCACAGACGGCGCACCGCACCACCAGCCGACTTGCGCGTGCGCGAGCACCGTCTCCAAGCTCGCTAGTGGCCCTGTCCACCGCCTATCCGCCCCGCCGAGCTCTTGTCGTCGACTCCCGTCATCGCGTCCCTCATCTCCTCTTCGACCTCGCGCCCTCGGCAACCCCCGCACGGTCATGGCGGCAGCTCCGCAAGGCCTCTGCACCGTGTGCGATGAGTGGGCGACGAGGTGCTGCAGCGCCTGTGCCACCGTTCCATTCTGCTCAGCGAGGTGCCTCGAGCTGGTGCGTTCAGCGCTCCCTCTCTCTTTCGCGGCCACGAGCGCGAGGTCACGCAAGCTGACACGTCCCCTTCACAGCTTCGACCGACGCACGAGCCGTTGTGCGGCCGCGATCCGGACGTCTTCTACCTGGCGCCTCTCTCGCCGGCCGACCTCGAGCAGCTCGAGCGCACCAAGGGCGACACGTTCCCGGTGACCGGCGACAGCTTCGAGCACTATATCGAGAAGCTCTTCAAGGTCCGACCATGGCCGGTGCGTCCCACCCCTCTCACCTCGTCTGCCCCGCGAGCGCGCCGACCCGCGACCGAACAAGAGCTCGCTGACCCTGTTCTCTCCCTTCGGCACGCAGACCTTCATCAGCCTCGTCACCTCGACTGAGCCCACTTCTCCGAGCCACGCCACCGCCCGCAACAATCTCCTCGCCTACAGCTACCTCCACCTCGGTGCGCCCATCCTCGCGCAACCGGGCCTGCCTGCCCTCCCGCCGTGGCACCTCTTCGGCTGCCTCGCCGCCGACTGGATCCAGCGCTGCACCCGTCCCCGTCCCGACACAGGCGTCCCCGACTGTCCCTCGCGCGACGCCAACCGCGTCCTGAACGGCCTCCTGCGGCAAGAGCTCGTCCGCGCGACGATCGAGTCGGCCGCTCGAGGCCCCGATCCCGCCATCGACGAGTTCGAGGCGCGCCTGTGGGAGGTCGTCGCGTGTGGGAGGACGCTCAAGGAGCTCGAGCGGGCAGAGCTGGGCGACGAGGCGAGGACGAGGCTCGTCAAGGAGTTCAAGGAGGGCGTGCTCGACCCGAGGGCGAACGCGTTGCTCGAGCGCACGATGCAGGACGCGCAGGTGCAACCCATCTGAGCCTCGACGGCGTCGTACTGTCGAGCCCCTTGCCGCGAGAGAGAAAAGCCGCGAGAGAGAAAAAGAGAGGTTCGTGCACAAGCTCGTCGTGCTTCTCCCTCTCGCAACCGCCCGTCTCTGCTTCGTCCCGCAGGCTGTTGAGCTCGCTGCAATGGCTTCTGCAGCAGCTCTCGCTCTTCGTCTCAGTGTTTGGCTGGGCCGGACTTGCCGCGGAGAGGAGCTCGTCCTCGGCGAGCGCACGCCGGCTGTCGGCCTTTCTCGTCCCTCTCCCTCGCTCTTCTCGTGCACTCGCTGCTGTCGACATGAGCGCGCCAGAGCCTCCCAGCTGCATCGTGTGCGGCAAGCCGACCACGCAGACCTGCTCTGCCTGCCGATACACCAGCTTCTGTTCGCGTCGCTGCATGACCCTCGTGCGTCCTGCCTCTCTCTCTCTCTCTTCGCGACCGTACCTTGATGCAGGGGCTTATACATGGATGCCCACAGCTCTGGCCGACGCACAAGGTCCTGTGCGGGCGCGACCCGACCCTCTTCTACCTCCCGCCGCTCACGCCCGCCGAGCTCGCCACCATGAACAACGTCAAGGACCGACTAGTCGAGGGCTCGAGCATCTCGGGTACGTTGGCGCAGTACGCTCGGCGCGATCCGCACGCGGCGACGGTCGAGGTGCGTCTCGTGCCTCCTCTTCTCCTGCCCTTGGGTCGCGCTTACTTCGCCCCTCGAGCAGGTCTTCCTCATCCTCATTGCGCTCGAGCCCGGCTCCAACCGCCTCATCAATCTCAACTACCACCTGCACTACCTCGTCCATGCCTACTTGAGCCTCGAGCAAGCTCGCCTCGACGCAGAAAAAGCCGGCGATGCCGCCGCCGCCGCCGCAGCGCGCTCGCCGTGGCTCACGTTCGCGCACGGGTACCCTGCCCTGCGCGACGTCTACACTCGAGCTCGTGACATCTACGAGCGCGACCCGAGTACCTCGGCCGCCGCCGCCGCCGACACGTCGAGCATCTTCTCGGACCTCAACCTCTTCCTCCGCCGCGACATCGTCCACGCGACCCTCCTCTTCCAGGCCTCGCGCCCGAGCCCGCGCATCGACATGTCGGAGGTCCTCACGCTGCGAGGCCGCAGTGCCGAGCGCAGCCTGCGCGACCTGAGGACGTCGACGCTCCCGCAGGGGGTCCAAGCGGCGCTCATCGCGCACTACCGGGACGAGCGCGAGAGTGTGCAGAGGAGGCTCGAGGAGATGAGCGAGGGGTGACGCGAGCCGACGTCGAGGGCAAAGCGAGGAGGAACAAGTAGCTTTTGCGAGCGCCGCAGCAGTTCTGCCGTCTCCTCTCGCGAAGCATCGCCGAAAGCCAGCTCGAGAGCCAGGATCGACTCGCCCAGGCTGCGGGCAGCCCGCAACGAAAGCGCAAGGAGGGAAAGATAGAAAGCGAGAGGTCGTGAGCGACGAGGAAAGACTGAGAGCGAGAAGGGGTGCGAGCGAGCTCCAGAGGGACGAACGCAAGGACGAGACTCGCCTGAGATGAGGAGCTCGTCTCGAGCAGCGCTGTCTCTAAAGTGCGAGAGCGTGCTGAGAAGAGCAGGACGATGAGGACAGGGCGAGGCACAGACAGGGAGAGCGAGTCGAGGAGGCTCGAGAGAACGAAGCAGTTGTCGAACAGTGGAATACTTTGCAACCCGGGTTCCCTGTCTATGGCCCCGGTCATTCAGTCTCGAGAAGATGCTCCCTTTTCGCCCTCGCCCGCACGACCATGCCGCCCCTCTCAGTCGCTCTGCTGGTACACGCACGCGCCGGCCTCGCTCTTGGTCGGGAAGACGGCGTCGGCGAGCTCCTGCTCGCTCAAGTTCGGGTACCGCTTGTTGTAGTACTCGGTCTTGAGCGCCTCGATGAACCGAGGGACATCGGGCTCCGACACGAGCGAGACGGTGGCGCCGCCCCAGCCGGCACCTGCGTGCACGACGAGAGAGGGTCAGGGAGTGCTCGACGTGCAGGGAAAAGGGGAAAGAGAACGAGCACGACGCACCGGTGACACGGCTGCCGATAGCGCCGTTCCTCCTCGCGATGTCGACGACCTCGTCGAGCTCGGGGCACGAGCACTCGTAGTCGACCTGGCAGCTGCGCATGCTCTCGTTCATGAGGCCGCCCATCTGCTCGAGGAGCGCCTTGCTCGGGTCGTCCTCGTCGGGCACGGCGAGCGACGACGTCGTGTACGGGTCGAGCGGCGCCGACGCGAGGTCGGGCTCCGAGTCGGCCGAGGCCGTCTCGAGGATGGGCTTGCCCGAGCCCTCGACGGCGTCGGGTGTCGCACGCTGCGACGTCGCCGCCGTGCGGCACAGGATGTCCTTGAACTCGTACACGCGCAGAGCCTCGGAGAACTGCGGGCGAGGGAAGAGGACGAGGGTCAGTGCGTCGCTCGCTCAGGCTCGGGCGACGACGAGGACGAGAGAAGGAGCAAGAGGGACGCACCACATGCCGTGCCCGAGTCCAGATCTTGTACCGACCCTCCTGCGGCTCGACCTCGCGGTCCGTCACCGCGTGCGCGAGCACGTCCTCGCCGACCTCGAGCTTCTGCGCCACCTGGGCCATCGTCATGCCGTTCTCGAGCCCGGGCCCGCCGAGCGCCTGGCCGATGAGGCCAATCATGGTGCGCAGCTCGTGGGCGCCGCCGGCGGTCCGGGGCGGGAGGCGCGACGACGGGAGCGCCGGCACGGTCGCGCCCTCGGGGACGAGCTTCTCGGGGCGCTGCGAGTTGGAGCGGATCGGGCCGTGCGTCGGCCCGCGGTGCTGGAAGTAGGCGTCGACGATCGTCTTGTACGACGGGAACGGGCGCGACTCGAGCGTGTACGGGAGGCCGAGGAACTTGGCGAGGAGGAGGGCGCCGAGGCGCGTCTCGACGACCTGCAGGACCGAATCTACGTCAGGACGGCGTTCACGGTCGGGAAGAGAGAGGTGGACGCACACGCAGGTTGTACTGGAACTTGGCCGTCACCTTCTTCTCGCTCTTGACGAGCGTGTTGGCGATGACGAACGAGAAGGGCGGGCTCGTCTTGGGCAGAGGGATGGCGCGCGCCTCGAGGTGCGGGATGAACTCGCTGCAGATGGATCACACTTTGTCAGGTTGTGGAGCTCGAGAGAGGGCGGGGGAAAGGAGGACGCACACGTGGAGAAGGTGCTTGGACCGCGAAAAGACGGACGCCGACTGGTCCATGCCGCCCGAGTTGACGCCGACGAGGCGCTCGCTCTCGATGGCGACGTTGGTCAAGTCCTTGCGGCCGACGCCGTCCTCGCCGTCGCGACGGCCGAGGACCTCGAGGACGGCGATCGCGCTCGCGGTCGTCATGGCCGACGACGAGCTGAGGCCGCTGCCCTCGGGCACGGTGCCGCCGACGAGGATGAGGACGCGCTTGGGCGGCGTGACGGGTGCGGTACCGGCGTTGGCCGACAGGTGCTGGAGGATGCCCTTGGTGCCGGCGATAAAGTACGACGACCAGTGGTGGTCCTTGGGGAGGGCGAGGTCGGCGCCGTCGCCGGCGAGGTCGACCTCGAAGCTGGTCGGAGTGAACTTGCTCGACAGGTTGCGCAGGACGAACGTCGTCTTGCCGTCGGCGCTCGGAGCGGGCAGGTCGGCGCCCTTGAAGGACGGGTGCGGGTCCGAGGTAGCGAACGCGATGAGGACGTCGCGCTCGATGGCGGCGGGCAGGACCGAGAAGCCGCAGTAGTCGATGTGCTCGCCTGTGTGGGAGTCGGCGGTCAGCACGGCGTTGAAGAAGACGGCTTTCCGCCCTCGGGTGGGGGGTTGGCCGGCCGGGGAAAACCGACGACGAGGGAGAGAGGGGCGCACCGATGATGTTGACGCGGCCTGGTGCACGAGCGACCTTGAGGTGCTTGTGGTCGACGCCGTACTCCTTCTCGAAGCTGTCGAACAGGTTGTTCCACCGCTCGCCCTCGTGGGCGAGTGCGGCCGGGGTGTAGACGTCGTCGAGCGAGGTCGCAAAGGGGAGGGGCGACTGGTCGGGCATGGCGGGCAGTCGCTCTTGTGTGTGTGCTGGTGGGACAAGCTGGACCTGGGCGAGAGCAGAGGGCGAGCGAACAAGGCGAGCTCGGGAGAGAGCGATGACAACGACGGGCCGGGGCCCGACGACCGACCTCGTCGTCCGTCTCACCCTTTCCTGCGCGTGCGCTTGCACCAGAGCAGGCACGTCAGCTCAGCTCAGCCAGAGAGATGCGCAGGAAGAGAGGCGACGAGACTTGGCCGAGCGAAAGGAAAGATGCGCCTCTCCTCGCGAGCTCCTCGAGCCGTACTGGCAGTCGAGCGACGAATACAAATGCGACGAGCGTGCGCTATTCAGACATACAACGAGCGAGCGCGGCTCGCGGCGGGTCCGGAACCGGCTCGGCGGACGCTGGCGGACTCGCTCTCTTTCTCTCGCTCGCTCCTCACCATCAAGGTGCGCCCAGCGATGGCTGCTACCTACAGCAAGGACCTCCCCGCATCGGTCCAGCACCTCGTCCACGCCGGCGACCGCCTCGCCGACGTTCCCCTCCACCCGCACTCGGCCGCCTCCCCCGGCTCGTCGTCCACCTCGTTCCGCCAAGACGCCTCGTCCTCGTCGACCACGACCACTGCACCGTTCGACTTTGACGCCTTTCGCGAGGCGCAGGGCGCACAGCTCGGCGACCGCCACCTCGACCGCGCCTGGGCTGGAGCCGCACCCTCTCCTGCCCCCGATACCGCCGCCTACCCCGCGCGAGCTGTCGAGGAGCGCGGCTCGGCGCAGGACGGCGCAGAGCTGGCGAGCTTGATCGGCGGCGGCGGGCTCGTCGACGCGGTCGACGGCGAGTGGGAGGGCGAGCTCCTCGCGCGGCAGCACGAGCCGTGGCGCGTCGAGCTCGAGTCGCGCATGCCGCTCGACCCGTTCGCTGCGTCGTCGTCGTTGTCGTCGAGCGCCAAGGGCAAAGGTCGCGCGAGCGAGGCCGAGCCGGCGCAGGCGCAGCGGGCGGGCGACATGTCGCCGACCTCGAGCGAGCTCCTCTCGTCCCTCTCGTCGCTCGACCTCGCCGACAAGGCCTACCTGCGCACCCTCCTCGCCCAGGACGCGCCGACCGTCTTCGACGACTACTTCTCGCGCGGCTCGTACACCGACGACGTGTACGGCCTGCCGCCGGCCGTCCAGCGCATGCTCGACAAGGCGGCGCAGCGCGACGACCAAGTCGGCGTCGAGGAGGGCCGCAAGAAGGCCGTCAGGCGGCTCGGTATGGTGCTGCGCCACATGCAGCAGGCGGGCGGTGGCTCGGTCGAGGCGGTCGAGCGGCAGGCGGCGGGTCTCAGCCTGAGCGGCGGGGCAGGGTTGCAGGGAGCAGCGGCGCCGATGGCGGCGGTCGGGCAGCACGACTCTCTCCATCAGTCACATGTGCGTCTCTGTCTCTCTCGTATCCACCCTTTGTGCCGCATTTGACACGCCGTCTCGCCGTCCTCGCAGATGACCTCGATGCACTCTCGCCACGCCCCGCTGTTCGCCTCCTCGCAACATCTCGCCCAGCAAGATGCTCAGCAGAACGCCTACCATGTTCAGCAAGCCTCGACGACCTCGTACGCCGACTACGCCGTCCCTTCCTCCCTGTCCGAGTCCGCCTTCATCACCATCACGCCGCCGCCCTCCTCTCCTCCTGCACCTCTCGCCGCACACGCTCCTCCCGCCCCTGAGCGCCCCTCTGCCGACACCGACGCCGAGCTCGACGCACCCGCATCCTCGACGGCCGCGCTCCTCGAGCACCACATGACGCGCGTCCGGAGCAACAGCGAGGGCAGGTTCGGCCCGGCCTTCTCGCGCTCGCCATCGCCCGTCGAGGGAGCTGCGGCAGGTGGGACCGGTGCTGACGACGAGCAGATGCGGGCGGCCACGCCGAGCAGGGAGGGCGAGCCTTTGGCGAACAGCGAGGGGAGGACGCACTGAGTAGCTCGGGGCGACGAGGAGGGTCTGCAACGAGCCATCGCACACTCTCTGCCTCGTGAGAAATGCCGTCTGCAGGTGCTCGCAGCTCGAAGGCTGTCCGCAACCTCGCCGTCGGTAGCTCAAGGTCGTCGACGACCTTCTCAAGTTGCTCTCGCTCGAGCTAGACCTCTGCTCTCGTGCTCAAACGCCTCGCGAGTCCCTCGAGTGTAAGCTTCAATGCAGTACAGATGTCTTTGGGACGGCGCATCTATGGTCTATGACGCGCGACGATGTCTGCCGCGAACCCTCTTCCCCTGGGTCCCTCTACCTCTTCTCCCGCACGCTCTCGCTCCCTCTCGCTCCCTCACTGCGGCACGCACTGGGTCTGACCTCCACCGCGTCGCCGCACGAGATGAGGGCGGCCCGGGGCGGCGACCGGCGACGAGGTCGTGCGGGCCTGCGAGCGGCGAGAGAGGGTCAGTGCGCGCACGTCGAGAGGGTTCAGGAAAGACGAGGACGGACGCCTGGCTCGAAAGGCCCGATCTGCCGGGTGTGAAAGTCAGTGTGGACGCCTTGACGCGACGAGAGAGGGAGAGAGGGCGCACGATCAGGTGATAAACTTTCTGGAGGAACGCCGTCATCCCGTCGACGACGATGTCGACGCGCTCGTCCACCGTTCGCTCGTCCTCGTCCTGTCCGTCCCGCAGAGCGTGCTCAGTGCTCTCGACGAGCCACCTCGCCCAGCCGTCAAGCTCCTCGCCCGCCTTGAGCGTCTCGTCGCGCAGCAGCGCCCGGACCTTCTTGTACCGCTCGCGATGCGCGTCGTCGGCGCGCAGGTGCTGGTCGAACGTGTCGCTCCAGCTCGAGCGGCTGAACTTGAGCTCGACGTGCCTGGCGTCCGAAGTGGGCGTGCGCGGCGAGACGAGGAGCGAGAAGATGTACAGGACCGACAGGGCGCAGCGCAGCGGCTCGGGACCGTCCGGGAGGCGCTCTACGGCGGCGACGACGTCGTACAAGAGGTAAAGAAGAAGCGAGGTCGGTGCGGGTCGGCGGATCTCGATCCTGTCGGTCTTGGCCACGGTCGTCGTGCCGTCGAGCCACTTGGGCTTAAGCTGCAGGACGATGTAATGCCACATGTCGTATCGACTCTCGAAGGCAATGCGCTTGTCGGCCTGTCGTCCGAGGAGGGAGAGAGAAAGAGTCAGTCCGGCGAGAGGGAGGGCGAGAGAGAGGTCAAAGCGCACCTCGAGCGTCGCTTTGAGCCGTTTCTTGAGGGCAGATCTTGCAGTTTCGCGATCTTCTCGAGACGACACGAGGAGCTTGAGGCTGTGTAGGAAGGACAGAGTGTCAGTCAAGGTCTTTCGAGCATGACGCGAGGAGAAGAAAGCGCGACTCATGAGGACAGGCCCGAATCCGAGTGCGCCCGCAAGCTGGAACGCGTCGGGCTGCGCCTTGCGGAAATGTCGAGCGAGCAAGCCGACGGCTGCGCTCCCGTTAGGCGTGACCTTGATCGACGGCTTGCGCTCGTTGAAGCTCTGGACGATGTCGACGGCGGCTTCTGCTTGGTCGAGGAGCGTGACGGGCTCGTGCCGCCGAGACGCTGCTGAGCTCGCCGGCGGCGACATGGCCGTGTCGAGTCGCTCGAGACGGCGGAAGAGCGAGAGAGACGGTGAAGCGATGGGGAGAGGCAAGAGCAGAGTTGCAACGCCGCTGACGACGACGGCCGAGCGACGAGCGGACCCCGCCTCTCGGCGCGGGCAGCAGCGCCGGACCGGATCGAACGAGCCTTTGAGGAGGACAGGGGCAGCGACGTGCGGACGATCGACAGTCGGAGAGGCCGAAGAGGCTCGAGCGCGACGAACGTCGACCTCGCGTCCTCTCAGGCGCCGGCGTTGAGAGGAGCGAACGGCGATGCAGATATAAGAGAGTACGAGAGCGTCTAGGTCTACGGAAGGAGAGAATCTCAAAAGCCGGCAAGGCCGCTGAGAGCGCGACGAAGCGATTCTCGCAACCCGCCGGCGGACTCGGTCGACGAGGCTGGCGAGCTTCGACGCGAGTTGGCCTGCGAGCGACGATGCTTGACGTCGTTGCGGTCGTCCCTTGGCGAGGAACGGCGTGAGGACGGCTCGCGAGCCTGCCGCTGAGAGAGGTCAGAGAGGCTCGGGCAGAAGATGCGGCAGAGGGAGGACGCACCTCGGGGCTGCTTGAGTACCTCGGCGGGCGCTGCATGAGATGAGGTGTCAGGACGGAGAATGGCGAAAGAGGAAAGGAGAAGAGAGAAGAGGAAGGAGGACGCACCACCATCGCCTTGACCCGGTGGAGGAAGGTTGACATCCTCTCGGCGACGATGCGAGGATCTGAACCTGGCGAGCGCGACCGAGACGTGTCCTCGACAGGAACTCGGCGTTGACGATCGACGTTGTCGAGGAGCCAAGTCGCCCACCGCCGCAGGCCCGCCTCGGACAGGTGCTCGTCGACGTCGAGATACTTGAGCATGCGCCTCGCGTCGGCGTACTGGTCGGCGAGCTTGTCGTCGGTGCGCAGATGCTCGGCGTAGTCCTTGACCCACGCCTCGTGCGTCCAGTCCATCGAGATGAACGGCGAGCTCGACTTGCCGTCGACGGTCGTGCAGCTGACGAGCAGCAAGAAGACGTACAGGGCCGAGAGGTCACAGTAGGCCTGCTCGACGGCGTTGCACTCGAAGCTGTCGGCCGTGCTGCAAAGGAGGTCGAGGAGGATCGTGCGGGGCGAGGAGACCGGGACCTTGACGCCGGTCGAGCGCACGATCCGCCCTTGCGACCTGAGCCAGGCGGGATGCACCTTGATGTCGACGTTCTGCGGCTGATCGTACGCGAGCTCGAAGACGGGGCATCCACTCTGCAGGGGCAGCTGATCAGGAGTGCTCGAGCGAAGGAGGGAAAAGGGAACCGAGCGCACCTGCTGAGGCCCGCCGAGAGCTGCCACCGCCTCGTAGCGGTTCTCGCTCGTCGAGACAAACAGCTCGATTCTGTGCGGGATGCAGAAGAGTCAGGGCGTGCGGGTGGGCCACTCGAGGGGAGAAAAGGGGACTCATCATTGAGCCGGCTCGAAAGTGGAGAGCTTCGGCGAGGCGGCGCGCCTCCAGCTGGGTGTAGTTGCGTGCCAGCAAGCCAACAGCCACCGTGCCGCTCGCGATGACCTTGATCTTGTGCTCGGCGAGGGTGCAGACGATCTCGGCGGCGGCGTCGGCCTGGTCGGAGAGGGTGACGGGTCGGGGAGGTATGCGAGGCGCCTCGTCGTCGGACGACATCGTGGGCGGCGAGGACATGGTCGAGGTCGCAGAGAAGAAGTGAAAGAGAGCGTCGCGGAAGCCACTCGGGCTCGCAATCGAGCCAGAGCCGAGAAAAGACGAGTCGAATTGCGGAGCGTCCGACCGCCAGGAGGAGCGGACGAGCGCGCCGAATCAAGCGGGGTGCCAGACGCGGGTACAGGGGTAGCTCGGCGAGGGCGAACCTTCGCAGAGCCCCGCAACAGGCGAGCGCATGGATGCAGGCGGCGCAGACGCAAGCCGGTGGAGCGAGCGAGGTCGAGGAGGAGAGGGGGAGGGGGAGTCGGCGGGGCAGCTCTGCGCTGTTGCTGGCCAGGTCCGGGTACCGTGCGGCTAGCTGCACTGCTCGAAATAGCGCTCAGCGAGTGGTGACGGCAAGCCTGACAGGGGAGTCGACGTCGGACGATGAAGCAGCTCGCTCCTCCTGCTCGCTCCACCACCTCGTCGACCGTGCTCTAGCTCTCTGCCACCTGCGAGCTCGACACGAACACGCCTGCGCCCGCTCGCATCAAACGAGCGCCTCGTCCTCGAGGCCGCCCTCCCCCCACCTCCACCTGGGCTTTCGCAGCTCTCGACGCGCCTACTCGCCCACCTCCAGCTCGCCTTGAGCGCACCAGAGCAGTACACCGCCAGCATGTTCGGCCCCACCCTCACGTCGGCCGTGCAGAAGGCGCGCGAGTCTGCCGAGGGCACGCGCGACGAGCTCTCGAACGAGCTGCACGCCGCCGAGCGCATGCGCCACGAGGCCGACGAGCTCGACGCCGAGCAGGCCGAGGAGATCATCGAGGACGAGTACCGGCCGCTCATGGGCGACGAGAACGCAGGAGCCGAGCGCAACGGCGGGTCGGAGAGCGAGGGCGAGCGAACAGGGCAGAGCGGCGGCAAGGCCAAGCAGAGGCGGCGGTGGGACGAGGGCGGCGACGGCGAGGTCAAGGTCCGCAAGCTCGAGGTCTGGCTCGCCCAGGGCATCTTCTTCGTGCGTCGCCTGTCCCCTCGCCTCGCCTCTCGCGCGTCCTTCCTGACACTCGCCCCTACAGATTCTCGGCGCGTGCATCCTCCTCAGCTGGAACACGACCATAGTTGCCGGCTCGTACTACGGCGCACGACTCGCCGACTCGCCGTTCGAGGCGAGCTTTGCGTCCTTCAATGCGTTGACGTTCACGACGGCCAACCTCGTCTTCCTCGCGCACGCCAACGCGACCCAGGGCAAGGTGCGCCCCCTCTCTACATACTCGCCCTCCTCAACCTTGCGACGTGCCCTGACGTTTGACCTTGCAGGCGGACCTGTCGCGGCGTATCAGCTGGAGCATCCTCGTCCTCGCGGCCAACCTCGTCCTCTTCATCATCTCGACGGTCGTCAAGGAGATCCCGCCCGCCCTCTTCTTCGCGTTCCTCATCATCTCGTCGATCATCCTCGCGGCCTCGGCGTCGTACCTCCAGAACGCGGTTGTCGCCCTTTCGGCGAGCTTCGGCCCGTCCTACCTGAACCAGATCTTGTCGGGCCAGGGTGCCATCGGGTTCGCCGTCGCCATGATCCAGTTCGTCGCCGCGTACGGAGCCGTCAAGAGCGCGCCGAGAGAGCCAGGCCAAGGGTTCGTCCTCGACAACTCGACCTTCTCGTACGCCGTCCTCGAGGACTCGTCCCTCGTCTCGACCATGGCCGCTCCGCCCGCCACGATCCGCCAGTCAGCCTTCACCTTTTTCCTCACGGTCGGCATCTTCGCGTTCGCGTCCTTCATCTGCTACATCATCCTCATCCGCCTCCCTCTCTATCACCTCGTCCTGCGCGCCTCGTTCGACTCGGACGCCGCGCCCAAGAAGCCCGACGGCGCGTCGTCGGGCAACTCGAGCGTATCTCTGCGCGTCGTCGAGCGCAAAGTGCGGCACCTCGGGGTCGCCATGTTCCTCGTGTTCGGCATCACGCTCGCCGTCTTCCCCTCGATCACGTCGACCATCGTCTCGGTGCGCAGCGGCGACCCGGACGCGCGCATCCTGCAGCGGCCTGAGCTGTTCGTCCCACTCGGGTTCGCCGTCTTTGCCGGCGGCGACTGGCTCGGCCGCGTCCTGCCGCAGTGGGAGAAGCTCGCGTGGACCAACTGGAAGATCCTTATGGGCTGCAGCATTGCGAGGGTCGTCTTTGTGGTTCGTCCTCGCCCTCTTTCTACCTTCCACCCTCTGCGTATCGAGCCTAAGCCTGACCCTCTCGCCCTTCACGACCTGCAGCCGCTCTTCCTCATGTGCAACCAGACAGCCGGCGGCGAGGGCCGCGCCATCATCCGCTCCGACCTCGGTACGTCCCTTTTTCTCCCGTTACGTCGCATCGTCGAGCGAGAGGACTGACGCACACCCCACCCTGTCGCAGCCTTTTTCGCCATCATGCTCGCCTTCTCGCTCTCTAACGGGTACCTTTCGACCCTCATCATGCTGGCGAGCGTCGTCGAGCCTTCTCTCGAGCCCGACGAGGTCGAGGTGCGTCCCATATCTCTCTCTGTCGTCCTGTTCCTCGACCCCGTCGCTTACCTCCTGCGTCCTCACAGGTCGCTGCGACCTGCCTCGCCTTCTACCTCACCTCGGGCCTCGCCGTCGGCTCTTTCCTCTCGTTCGGCGTCCGTGGCGCCATCTGTCACTGTAACCCTTTCGTATAGAGCTGCATCGAAGCCCACTTGCATCCCCTTGTCAGTAGCCTCGTCCCCTTCTCGCACCTCTCGCTCGCGGCCGGCAGCGCTCTCTACCTTCGTCCCTTTCTCCGCGTTTCTCGGCGCCGGTCAGCACGATCGGGCGGGCGCGCACGAGCTGGCTCGAGCGGGCCGGACTCTCCGCGGACGGACCTCCTTGGTCTCGCGTCGCCGTTTCCTCCTTCTCTCTCTCTCGCTCTCGCGTCCGCACCGATGCGCTCGCTCGGCGCATGCCTCATGGATACTCGTCGACCTCAAGCAGCGGCGCTACCAGCTCGAGCAGCGACAGCGGCAGCAGCAGCCGCAGCAACCGGCGGCGGCGAGGGCGCAGGCGGTCGCGGCGGGACTCGTCCTCTTCTACGTCCTCGAGCTCGAGCGGCTGGACAAGTGGGGGCGACTCGGCGGGCGAGGCAGAACGAGATGAGGTGCGTCCCTCTCTCTCTCTTGTCGACCTTCTCAAGCAGCCCGCTGACCTCGTTCGCCCGCGCAGGGTCCTTCCGCCGGCATCTCGCCCTTGTCTTGCATGCTCCTCTCCATCATCATCGCGGTCGCCGGCGGCTTCGTCATCTTCATCGTCGAGCGGGTCCAGGGCAAAGCGGCAGCAGGCTCGAGCGCATCGACTGAGCGAGGTGCGGCTCTCGGACCCTATTTGCCGCGAGCAGCAGGCACTTACCACTCTTTCCGGACAGACTCGACTTCTTCAGCTCGTACGACTAGCCCTTCAGGGCCCGGCGCCGGCACGGCATCTGCCGACACGTCTCTTCCAGCCGCAATCTCGCTTCCGGCCGACTTCCTCGTCTCCCTCGCCTCCTCCTTCACCATGACGCCCGCCGCCGTCTCTTCCCTCCCTATGCCGACATCGGCGCTCCCCTCCTCCTCGGCCGCCAACGCCTACATCGCCGACTCGTGGTCGCTCGTCAAAGGGTCCGGCCCGCTCTCGTTCGTCGAGGACCCGCTCGAGGGCGGCAGCCAGGTCGTCCTCACGGTGGACTACCCCAAGGGGAGCTATAGCGGCGCAAAGGACATCCCGGCGGGCGTGGGCAACATGCAGATGGCGGTCTTTGGCGAGGGGAAGCAGCGAGCCATGGTCAGCTACGAGGTGCGCTCGGGCCTCTCTCTCTCTCTCCCTTCCCGCTCTCTCGTCCTGACGGTGTCCTCCTACTCTTCAGGTCGGCTTCTCGGACGGGTTCGACTTCGTCCTTGGCGGCAAGTTGCCCGGGCTGTTCGGCGGCGACCGCGGCTCGGGCTGTACGGGCGGGAAGGGCAGCGAGGCATGCTTCTCGACGCGGTGTGCGTCCCTCTTGTCTCTCTTACTCTCGACTATCAGCTTCCAGGACTGACTTTCTACCGCCCGCAGTCATGTGGCGAGAAAAGGGCGCAGGAGAAGGCGCGTTCACTTCTTCGCGAGCGTGTCGGCAGGTCGAGCGCGCCTGACGATGCTTGTCCACAGTCTACGCCTACATCCCGACCTATGACGGGCAATGCGGCACCAAGAGCGACACGTCGAGCTATCAGTGCCACGGCAACGACGGCGGTGAGCTCTCTCTAAATACCCTCGAGCCTGCTCCTCCCGAGCCTCGCGAGCTCACCCTTCCTCTCTCGACCTTCCCAGTGAGCATCAATCGAGGCAGCTTCGTCTTCGGGGCGGGCAAGTTCGTCGATGCTGTCCACTTTCAAGCTCTCCCTCGCCGGGCGCTTACGCTTCTTCCCCTGCCCGCAGGTGGAACTCGATCACGCAAGTCACGATCCTCAACTCGGAGCCAGGGTCAAGCGGGCCGGCCAACGGCGTCCTGGCTGTATACGTCGGCGAGGAGCGGGCGATGTACCTCGAGGACGTCGTCTTTCGGACGAACGCCTCGGTCCTCCTCAACGCGTTCATCTTTTCGAGTCCGTCCCTCTCTCCTCGCCGACCTCGCTCCTCCTCGACGGGCCCAGAACTGACTCGTTTTGCCTTCTTCCTCGCCTCGCAACCCTCTCCCTCGCGCCCTCGTCCCTCGACCCACACGTCCTCACCCGCCCTCGCGGTTCCTCTCCAGCCTTCTTCGGCGGCAGCACCGAGAACTATGCAGCGTCGGCCGACTGCTCGACGTACTACCGCAACATCCAGTTCTTCGACGGCGACGACTCGAGCGATGCGCAGGGAGCGACAGTGCAAGCGACGGTGGACGCTGAGTGAGAGGAGGGCACTTCTGTAGAAGCTCGGCAAGCATGGCCTTGCGCGCCCACTCTCTTCCTTTGGGTCGCGCGCAGCTTTCAGAGACCCAGCAAGCGTGAAAGCTGGCTGTGAGCTGTCGTCGCACGTCTCGAAAGCCCCGCTCAGGCCTCGTGCTGGGCGACCTTCCCAAGTTGCCTGCGACCGAGCCGCGCCGCTCTCGCTCTTGCCCGTCTCTCGAGAGCAGTTCCGCTGCGTTCCTTCGCGCATTCAGAGTAAAGCGCGAGATGAAGAGCGATTCCATCTCGCCGCAGCAGCTTCGAGAGCGAGACTGGCCAATCGAGCTCCTCTCGCGAGCAAGCTCCTGGGACGACGGGCGCACACAGACGAGGATGAACTGCAACGACGATTAGGTACAACTACGAACGACGAACGAGTACTTCTAGCGAGCCCTGATCTACTGAAACGACGCTTTGACCTGCTTGCCCAACCTCCCTCGCCGCCCTGCGAGCCTGCGCCCGCCCGACACTAACCTCCACCGTCCTCGAACCCGCTGTCGAACGTGCCACGGCGCTGGATCGGGACCGACGAGAGGTAGTCGTGGCCGGCGGCCGTGTAGGCCGGCGACTTGTCGTCGCTGCCGACGCCGAGGAAGCGAGCCTCGGACGAGGGCGGGTCGAGGACGCCGGCGCGCTGTACGAGGGGTCCGAGCGTCAGGACGAGGAGGACGTGGAGGTACGAGAAGGAAGTAGAGGGCGAGAGGGACGCACCTGGAGGAGGACGCCGTCGCGGTCGAGGCATTCCTTGAGCGTCATGTTGCACGCGCAGCGCGACTCGAGCGGGCGGATGATCGTCTTTGAGGGCTTCTTGGCGCAGTAGGCCGGCAGGGTGAGCGAGTCGACGAGGCAGCAGCTGCAGGGTCGCGAGGAGAGGGTCAGGACGGGCGACGACGACCTCGGGCTCGAGAGACAGGGAGAGAGGAGAGACGCACCAAGACGTGATGGTGACGGGCTTGCCCATCGTGAGGATCATGTCCTCGGTGTCACCGTCCTTGCGGTACCGAACCTCGACGCTGAGCTGGTGCGAGACGCGGATGACCGTTTTGGGCGAGCCGTCGAGCGTCGAGGGGCGCACGTGGTCGTCGTCCGGTACGCGGCAGATGCGTGAGTGGTGGAACTCCTGCCCTGCCTCGACGCGTGCGAGAGGCGTCGGGTCGGGCACGTCGACGTCGGGGTGGATGGTGCAGCAGGTCGAGACGGGCCGGAACGAGGGCAGGTTGACGATCGGCTGCTCGACTTGACGAGGGAGGTCGATGACGGGTCCTGGTGCGACGCTACAGGTCGCAGGGTTGTGGATGGGGACCGACAGAGACGGGCTCGCGGTGTGGTCGACCTTCTTGAGCGTGAGGTTCCTGCGACGGCTCGAGAGGGTCAGGTCGAGAACGCGCAGGCAGGGAGGCTCGAGGACGCACATCGGCTTGGGGCGAGCGACCGTACCGTCCCGATAGTGGACCGTGAAGGTCTGGGTGATGACGCCGACGACCGAGACGATCGAGACGGGCTTAGGTGGACCGAGGAGCGACAGGCGAACGTTGCAGAGCGCGGCGACGGTGAGGTGCGGCGACGAGATGCCGACGCCGACGGGCTGTAGAGAGAGTTCGTCAATACGAAAGAGAGAGAAGAGAGAGGAGGGACGTACACCGAGATCGGGCGAGAAGTGCTGGAAGCTGAGGTCGAGCGGGAACGGGATCTCGCCTGGCGGCGACGGGTTGGCCGAGATCCACAGGGCGACAGGAGGCGACACGACGCCGCCATTGAGCATGCCGTCGAACTCGACGAGGGCCTTGACTGTGCGCGAGGGAGGGAAAGAGTGAGCAGGACCGAGCCAAGTAGAGGCGGACGGTCGAGAGAGGAAGCGCGTGGACGCACCGTAGTACCGCGTGCGGCCGTAGCAGCTACGCTGAGATGCAGGCGTCGACGACGGGATGATGAAGGTAAAGTTGAACGCGTGGTTGCCCGCCTCGAAGACCTCGCCGGCGAGGTCGTGCTCGAGCGACTTGGACAGGACCGACGTCGTCTCGTACGGCAGCGCGCCGCCGCCGCACGCGTCGCACAGGCCCTCGAGGACGACCTTGACTCGACGGATGGCCTTGCGCGAGGGGAGCTTGATCAGGGTGGTGCCGTGGACGACCGGGTCCTGCGACTGCTCGACGACGACGACAAGGTGAACGAGGGTCAGGGCGTGCGTCGCGAGGGGAACGAGAGAGCGAGGGCACGTACCGGGAAAGGGCTCTCGAGCGCGTGGACGAAGACGATGTCCTGGGAGAGCGTGACCGAGACGGTCGGCGAGGCGAAGCGCGACAGCATGGCGGTGCGCGAGAGGGATCCGGCGGGTCGAAAGGGCAGGCAGATGCTCGTGTCGAGGAGGAGGGAGAGCGTGGTATATCGCGGCGAATCGAAGAAAGTGGGGCCGAGACGTGGATGACTGAGCGCGACGAGGGCGAGAGGATGAGGTGAGCCGGGGAAAGGAGGGCGCGAGTCAAGCGGGCTCTTTGGTCGGTCCTTCGACTCTATGTAGCCACGTCGCGCAGAAGCCGAGATTGAGCAAGTCAAGGAGCGAGGTAGAAGGTTCGAGGCAAGTGCGGGCGAGGCGGGCCATGGCGGACCGAACAAGAGTCAACCGCCATGGGCGCGAGGTCAAAGGAGATCGCGCCGCGCGTTGCAGATTGCCCCCGCCCGAGCACCGCGCGTCGCAAGATCTGATCAAGCGAGCGTGCGCCCTCGCCTCGACCCACCTGCCCGTCCCTGCGCGCCGGTCGTCGCCTCCCTCCTCCAGCTCGTGCGCGTCCTGCGCCGTCGCACGACAGCGAGCAGTTGGAGCAAGGAGACGAACACGAGTACATCCTTGAGATGCGCTGGAACGTTCTCGCTGCATCGCTGCCGACGTCGGGCGTGCACCTCGGCCGAAAGTGGTCGTCCCACTTGTTGGTCGCGGCGCCGAGGCGGAGAGGCGGAGCGAGAGGTCCGGCGGCAAGGTCGATGGCGGGCGAGCGCATGGCGCAAGTCGCGTGGCTCCGACTCAAGGCTGCTGAGAGCGGCGAGCTGGCCGACTCGCTGGCTGTGGGCCGTGGGCGAAGCGGGGAAGCAGGCAGGGAGGGAGAGGGAGGTCGACGAGGACGAGGTCGAGGAAGGCGCGCAGCTGTGCTGGCGGGTGCTGGTGGCAGAACTGAGGTCGGACGAGCAGCCGTGGCTCGCAAAGCGCGACAGTGGTCGAGAGCTGAGGCCGTGTCGCCGTCTCAGAGGAAGCTCACGACGACGAGCAAGCTCTCGCCCTCACCCCGACCTCTGGCTGCAACGATGCACGCTCGTATCGCCCAGACCACTCGCGCTGCTGCCCGCACAGTCGGTGCCGCTGCCCGCCTGCGCACCTTCGCCGCTCAGCCCGCCCCCATCGCCTCGTCCCCCTTTGCGTGCGTCCACCTCGCCCTCTCTCTCTGCGACTCGCGCACTCGCGCTCGAGGCTTCACGGGCTCCTGTGTGTCTGCTGGAGGCGGCAGCACGGAGATGCGGGGGACATGGGCGAGCCGGTGGCCTCATCGGACCGCTCGCTCTCGATCACGGCTCGACGCGGCGTCAAGGTGCCAGGCAGGACGCAGCAGGGCCCGCGAGACGGACATGGACGTGCAGGAGCGGCCTGCGTGCTGCACTCGCAGAAGCAGTCACTCTACCCGACCTCGAGCTGACCCTCGCCTCGTACCCCTTGCGCAGCTCGACCTCGCGCCTCTTCCGCTCGACCGCCTTTGCCCGCGACGAGCCCAAGCCCTCGCCCGCACCGATCGACCAGCAGGCCGCGACCGAGCTCCCGACCGAGGAGATCCCCGCCGTCTCGTCGTCGCTCGACGCCACCAAGGCCGCGACGAGCCCGACCACGCCGAGCGAGGCGCCGTACGGCCAGGAGGTTGGCGCCGCCGGTGACGACGCCGCAGGTCGCGGCGGCATCGACCCGGTCGCCGAGGCCGACCAGTCGGCGCCCGTCCTCGAGACGGACCCCGAGGCGGCCATGCTCGCCGCGCAGGCAGAGCAGGACAAGGTGTCGCGCACCGTCTTCATCGGCGGCCTCAGCTGGAACGTCGACAAGGACTGGCTCGAGGACGAGCTCCTCAAGGCGCTCGACGTCACCGAGGGCATCAACGAGGTGCGCGTCGCTCGCGACGGCATGGGCAAGTCCAAGGGGTGCGTCCGCTCTCTCTCGCTCTCTCTTCCTCTCTCTCTCTCTCTCGTGCAGCTCGGCGCACTCAGATTTACTGACTTGCCCCTCTCCCTGCCCCTCCCTTCCGTCCACAGCTTCGCCTTTGTCGAGCTGAGCTCGCCCGAGCTCGCCAAGCAGCTCACCGACTCGTCTGCGCCCGTCATCGACGGCCGCCAGACCCAGATCCAGGCGTCGACGTCGGGCGTGCGTGCGCCTCGCGCCCCTCGCACCGAGGGTCGCACGGGCGTGCGCGACAGCAAGCCGCGCAACCCGCCCGCGCCGACCATCTGGATCGGCAACATTCCCTGGTCGGCCGACGAGCTGTCGGTCGAGAACACGTTTGGCCGCTACGGGCCCATCAGCCGCGTCAAGATCCCCAAGGACGCCGAGACGGGCCGCAGCCGCGGCGTCGCGTTCGTCGAGTACGAGACGGTCGACGCGGCCAACCGCGCCCTGAGGGCGTCGCAGGAGCGCGGCATCTCGATCGACAAGCGGCCCGTCCGCGTCGACTTTGCTGCCGCGTCGAGGGGGTCCAGGCCCGGGCGTCGCGATCGGGGGACGAGCGCTGCCGGCGGGCGCTACTAGTCGCGCCGCGGGACCGGCTCGGCGAGGCTGTACCTCTGTGTCTCTCCCTCTCTCTCTGTCTGTACCACCCGCACCCTGAAACTCGCATCTCTACCTGCCTCTCTTTCGCTCTCTCTTTCTCTCGCTTTCGACGTCGAGGGCAGAAGCGCGAAAGGTCCCGAAAAGTGTTCGTCGCCCGTTCCAGAGAGAGGCGCGCTGCGCTCGAGGTTCTATCCAAAGGAAGGGGGGAGGGGTAGAACGAGCACAGCTCGTCGCACACAGGAGAGGGAGAGAGAGAGGTCCACCAGGGAGGAGAGAGCCAGACCGCGCCCCAGGCAGCGAGTCTCTTCGCGACTAGCGCGGGACGAGAGGAGGGAAAGTAGTCGTGACAGGGCGAGGATCGTCGTGAGGGAGGCGTGTCGTGAAAGGTCGCGTGTCGTAAAAGGTCGAGAGGCGAGAGCGAGAAAGGCGAAGGAGGAGGACGGCCGAGGAGGGACCGGTTCAGGCGTCGACGACGATCGTCGAGCGCTTGCTCGCGTGGCTGCTGCTACGGCGCTTCTGGACGAAGCCCGAGCCGGCAGGGTAGTCGCGCTCGCGCATGCGCGAGGCCCACTCCTGGTACGCGGCGCGAGCGCGCGCAGAGAGGTGCGCCATCGTCGGGGCCGGGGCGTCGACGGCGTCCGAGGCGGGCGAGGCGACCTCGTCAACAACGGCGGGCTCGTCCTTGGGCGAGATGACGGTGAGGTTGATGGTCGAGTTCTTGACGCCCGTCGAGCTCGAGCCGTCGGTCGAGGACGAGGTCGAGGATGACGTGTCGACGACGGCCGAGTGCGAGCCGGTCGTCGTCGAGGCCTCGTCGCTCGAGCTCAGCGACGACGAGTCGACGACGATCGAGTGGTGCCCGGTCGCCTTGTTGAGGGCACGAGCGGGGAGGATGTTGACGTGCACGGTCGAGTCCTCGATGCCGCCGGCCGCCGTGCTGTTGTCGCCCGAGGTCGAGACGTCGACGATGACCGAGTGGTCGCCGAGGTTGACCTTGCGACGAGCCGAGCGCGAGCGCTTCTTGGCGCCGCCAGACTGGTTCAGGTTGATGTTGACCGTCGAGTTGTGGATCCCGCCGACGCCGCCCGAGCCGGACGACGAGGCGTCGATGTGGATGTTGTGGTGCTGTGCCGCCGCCTGCGCCCGCTTGAGGACGGCGCGTTTCCTCGCGTCGATGACCTGCGCAGGACGAGAGAGTCAGCTCGCGCCCGGGAGGGAGAGGAAAGGGGACGAGGACGTACGGTCAGGTTGATGGTCGAGTTGCTGACGCCCGAGGACGGCGAGCGCTTCTTGCGGTCGGTCGTGCTGCGAGAGGGGGAAGTGTCAGGAGGTGTGCCGACGCTGAAAGATGGGAACGAGGAGAGCGAGGCGCACAGGTTGATGTTGATGTCGCTGCCCTCGATGGCCTTTGCGAGCTCTGCGGGGAGGACAGAGCTCGAGATGTGGTGCGACGTGACGGTGCCGTTGCTGAGCGACTTGTGCGAGATGTTGATGTCGCGCGCCGAGTGCGAGTGGGTGCCGCTGGCCGGTCGTGCGGCTGCGAGGTGGGCGACCGAGAGGAGGGACAGGAGGGCGACGAGGGTCGAGTAGAGCTGCATGGCTAAGGTGGGTGTGGGTGGGTGCAGGTGCAGGTGGTGCTGGTGGCGAGTCGGCGGTGCTGGTAGGCGAGGGTGCAGGCGAGTCGAGAGAGCTTGAAGGGAGAGTTGGAAGAGAGGAGGAGAGAGGCGAGGGACGGTCGAGCCGGCTTAAGACGGGGTGCGCCCGCCTGCTCAGCCATCTGGAGCGGTGTTCGCAGCTGTTGCACACGAGGGAGAGAAGGCGCGCGAGGTTGTGGTCGAGGGGAGAGAGGGCGAGCCGTGTGGAGAAGATGGCGGGTCGGCGGCGCGTCATCGTCTCTCGCCTCGGCTCACCGCCCGTGGGTCTGTCCAGGGCGTTGAAGACAGGCTCCTGGTCTCCAGTGAGCTTCTAGTTGTCCAGCCAGACCCTCACGAGAGCCGTGAGAGCAGCGAGGAGGCGATGAAAGGGTCGGAAGCCGGCCGGCCCCTCGGCCGAACTTGCGGGGGGGCGGCCTCGCCATTTCGCTCGATCGTTCAACTGGGGCGCTCGACTCGGCCAGACGGCGTGCGCTCTCGCAGCTTGGCTTGCTCCCTTCGTCCCCTCGCCATCTCTCTCCCTTTCGACGTCCCGCTTGGCTGTGCCAGCTTCCCCCTTCCCGCCTTCTCTCATCCTCCCTTCCCCCCACCCGAGGCCGGTTCCTCTCTCCCTCCCTCCCCTCACTTTCCTCCACCCTCTTCGACCTCGCTCTCCCACCTCGCACCGGTTGCGACCACCTCCCTCCTCGACCTAGTCGATCAGCAAGCACCAGCGTCTACCGCTCAGCTCGCCCTCGACTACTCGCCCCGCCCTTCGCCAGCGCCAGTCGCCGCCGACCTTTCACCTTCCTCGACCACCTCCCTCCCTCGACAGCGCAGCTAGCCTGCCCGCTCGCCATCGTTCAGCACCACAACCACCTCGACCCGCACACCAGCATCCTCGCCATGCTCTTCGCCGCCCCCTCCACCGCCGCCAGCCGGTCCTCGACCCTCCTTCCCTTCACCCTCCTCGTCGCCCTCCTCGCCTTCGTCAACTCGGCCGCCGCCCTCCCGACCATCCGCTCGGCGCCCGCAGCTGCACCTTTCGAGGCCCTGTTCCGCCGGGCGTCGCCCCAGGTCGGGCCAACTCGCCCCCTCGAGCGCCTCCGCCTCCGCCGCTCGCTCAACGACGTCTTCCACGGCCGCCGCAACGCCGAGGTCGCGGGCATGAAGCGCGACCTCCCCGGTCCCATCGGCGAGGTCGTCGTCGCCGCACCCGTCGCCAACCCGAAGCGCAAGCGCTCGTCCTCGCAGGTCCTCGACCGCCGCGCTCTCGGCCTCGCACCCGTCGTCGCCAACCCCAAGGCCAAGCGCTCGACCATCGCCACCGTCATCGAGCGCAGCAACGTCGTCGTCTCGAACCCCAAGGCCCGTCGGTCCGACATGCCGTCGTCGCCGATGAACCTCCGTCGTCGCAGCGCCGGCCTCCCCGAGGTCGTCCTCAACCCGAAGAAGCGCTCGCTCGCCGCCGTCTCGAATCCGAAGAAGCGTTCGCTCGACGGCCTCGGCAAGCGCGCCGTCGTCGACGCCACCATCTCGATCTCGCCGTCCAAGGCGGCCAAGCGCTCCCTGTTCGAGGTCGTCAAGCGGTTCCTCGCCGGCGCGCCTCGCGAGCTCGCCTCGGACCTCGAGCGCCGCGCGAGCAGCGACGCGACGTTCGGCAACTCGACGACCCGCATCGGTACCGTCAAGATCGTCCCCAACCCCAAGTCGCCCTCGTTCTCGACCGGCGGCTCGTCCTCGTCCTCCTCGACCGTCGTCTCGTCCACCTCGTCGGCCGCTCCGACCTCGACCACCTCGCGCGTGTCGACCTCGACGTCGGCAGCCCCGTCGGCGACTGCGACCTCGACGGGCTGGCCGACGAGCGGCGGCCAAATCGCCGGCGGCTACTACCCTGACTGGGTCCAGGACGTCATGCCGCCCGAGAAGCTCAACTACAAGATGTTCGACCTCATTAACTACGGTGCGGCCTCTTCTCTCTTTCTCTCGTCAGTGCGCCGTCGTCGAGAGTCGTCGACTGACCCGCTCTCCCCATCCTCCTCGTCCTCCTTCTCCCTCTCACAGCCTTTGCGCTCCCGACCTCGGACTACCTCGTCACCCTCCCCGACTACTCGGGCAGCATCCTCAAGCGCGTCGTCAAGATGGCGCACGGCAACAACACGCGCGTCAACATCGCCGTCGGCGGCTGGACCGACTCGGTCTACTTCTCGGGCGCGGTCGCGACCTCGTCCCGGCGCGCCAAGTTCGTCCAGTCCATCGTCGACATCGTCAACAAGTACGACCTCGACGGCGTCGACATCGACTGGTGCGTCTCGCTCTCACTCCTCTCTCGCCCCAGGCGAACCCTTACTGACCTCGCTCCCCACCTCCTCCTTCTCTCGTTCGCGCAGGGAGTACCCGGGCACCAACGGCGCCGACGGCAACCAGGTCTCGAGCTCCGACACGGCCAACATGCTCAAGTTCCTGCAGGCGCTCCGCGCCGCCCTGCCGCAAAAGCTCCTGTCGACCTGCACGACCCAGTCGGCCTACGTCGGCGCCGACGGCAGCCCGCTCACCGACGTGAGCGCGTTCGCCAAGGTCCTCGACCACATCCTTGTCATGAATTATGACGTCTGGGGCGGTGCGTCTCCCTCTCTCTCTCTCCCTTGTCCTCCCTCACTCCTCGAGCGCCGTTCTGACTCGTCTCCTCCTCCCTCTCCTGCAGCCTCCTCGACGCCCGGCCCCAACGCTCCTCTGCGCGACGACTGCCCGGGCAGCCTGCAACCCGGCGCCAACATGCAGTCGGCGATCGACACGTGGACCAAGGCGGGCATGCCGGCGAGCAAGATCCTCATGGGCATCCCGGCCTACGGCTACGTCTCGTCGTCGTCGGCCACCTCGCTCATTCACAAGCGCGACGAGGTCCCGACGACGGGCCTCTCGAACCGCCACCTCGCCAACATGCGCCGCGACGAGCGCTACATGTCCGAGGGCCACCGGTGGTACCTCGACGGCCAGGCCAAGGCCGAGGCTCGTCGTCGCGCCCGCCGCGCCCTCAAGCGCTCGGAACGCAAGGCGGCGACCGAGGCGCTCGCCAAGCGCGGCAGCGTCATCGTGTGCCCCAACGACCACTCGGGCAAACCGTGCGCCGGCGTCACCGGCCAGGACATCTCGGGCATTGACTGGAACCCGCTCTCGACCAACTCGACCGGCGGCGGCTCGCCTGGCGGCAGCGGCGACGGCGTCTTCCAGCCGGGCCACGGGCCGGGCAAGGTCGGCACCGGCAGCCTGTCGGGCCTCGAGGGCAACCAGATCCAATTCGTCGACCTGATCAACTACGGCGTCATCGTCAAGGACCCGACGACGCTCGAGTTTGTCGGCACCAACGGCTACACGCGCAAGTGGGACACGTGCTCGTCGACGGTGCGTCCTTCTCCTCCCTTGTGGGCCTTCCCAAGTTGAGCTCGCGACTGACTCGCTCTCTCCTCCCCTCGCAGCCTTTCCTCTACAACAAGTCGCGCAAGGTCGTCATCACCTACGACGACCCGCACTCGCTCGGCCTCAAGGGCGCGCTCGCGGCGGACCAGAAGATCGGCGGCATGCTCATGGTGCGTCTTCCTCCTCCTCCTCTCCCTCGATCCCCTCTCGAGCTCGACACTAACTCTTTCCTCTCGTACTCGCAGTGGGACCTCTCGGGCGACACGCTCGATTTCCAGCTCACCCAGTCGTACCGGTCTGCGATGGGCCTCAAGCCGCTCGGCGTCTGAGACGCTCGGGCCCCTCCCTCTTCCCTCCCTCCCGCTGCCTGGTGCAGCGGCGCGACGCTCTCGCTAGTCGAGACCGTCGTGGTGGGCCTTTCTCGTTCGAGGTAGAGACGCTGGAGCGGCCTCTCCTCCCTGTTTATAGCGCTGTGCGCCCCCTCGTTGTCTTCCTCTCCCTCTCCCTCTCATCGTCATCTTTTGTCCTCTCGCATCCGCATCCTCTCTTGTTCCCCTCTTGGCGTAGATCTATCCCTTCACGACGCGGCGCAGTGCGCCGCAGCTCGACCGCCCGGCGCTGCTCCTCGAGGGACGGCGCCGGCTGCAACTTTACGCGCGAGGAGGTCCCGAGGCTGAGCTTGCTCGCCGGGATGCTCCTCTGTTTCTACTGCACTCTCTGTCTCTCGTTGCGAGTCGAAGCAGCTAAAGCAGAGAGCGCCTCGTCGAGCGAGAGAAAGGTGCGACTCGGTTTGAGCAGGCCGAGATAGGCAGCTACGCGCGCGCCTGAGCAAAGTCCGCGGAAGCACCGCCTCGAGGAGGAGCTCGGTCCCTTCTCCACACAGTTTCGAGCTCGCCCGCCAGCCGGCGCGTCCGCCGACTGAGCTCGCTCAAGCTGAACCTCCCCTCTCCTCCCTCTCCCCATCCACTCTCCCCACTTCTCGTGAGTCGAGCATCGCTCCAGCATCGCACGGACCACACTCTGACCTCTCCCGTCCCTCCTCGCGCTCCCCCCTCCCTCCCCACCGTCCTCCCACCTTTCCCACCCCCGCTCCGCACCGCCCTCCCCTCCCTTCTCTCGCCGCCCCCGTTCCTCCGCTCGTGCCCGGTCAACGCCCATCCCCTCTCCTTCTCGCACCGCAGCCCCACTACATTCATCATGGGCAAGTCCACCTCCACCAAGCCGACCAAGGAGTCGAAGAAGGTCAAGTCGTCGGCCACCGCCGCCGCGACCAGCACCCCGGTCAAGGTCGACAAGAAGGCCGAGAAGAAGGCGGCCAAGGAGGCGGCCAAGAAGGAGGAGGAGCGCAAGAAGCGCGAGGAGGAGGAGGCGGCTAAGGCGGCTGCCGCCGCCGCCGCCGCCGCCGAGGAGTCCTCCTCCGACTCGTCGGACGACTCGAGCGACTCGGACGACTCGTCGGACGAGGCCAAGCCGGCCGCCACCAACGGCGCCGCCGCCGCCAAGAAGGACGACTCGTCGGACTCGGACTCGAGCGACTCGGACAGCGACGAGGAGGTGCGCCCGCTTTCTCTATCTCTCACTCTGCCTGTCCTTCCACGCACCGTCGTACTGACTCGCTCTGCCCCGCCACAGCCCGCCAAGACCGTCAAGGCCGCCGCCACCAAGGCGACCGAGGTCGTCGGCAAGGCCGTCGCCAACGGCAAGCAGGCCGTCGGCAAGGCCGCCGCCGCCGTCGCCGAGGCCGCCGAGTCGTCGGACTCGTCGGACTCGGACTCGTCGGACGACGAGGAGGAGGTGCGCCCACCGTCCTCGCCCTCTCCCGCCTCGGCCCCTGGACCGTCCCTGACTTCTCCCTTCCTCCTTTCCTCGCCTCGCAGAAGCCCGCCGCGGCTGCCGCCAAGGACGACTCGTCTGACTCGGACGTGCGTCGCCTCTCTCTCTCTCTTCCCCTCGCCTAGCCGTTTCGGGACTCGCCCTGACCCTCTCTCCCTTGCCGCGCTCGCAGTCGTCGGACTCGTCGTCGGACGACGAGGACGAGAAGATGGAGACGGACGCCCCGGCGCCCAAGGAGTCGAAGAAGCGCGCCGCCGAGACCGACGAGGCGCCGGCCAAGAAGGCCAAGGTCGAGCAGGAGGGCGAGCCCGAGTCGACGACCGTCTTCGTCGGCCAGCTCTCGTGGAACGTCGACAACGACTGGCTCCAGAGCGAGTTCGCCGAGTGCGGCGAGGTCGTCTCGGCGCGTGTCGTCACCGACCGCGACTCGGGCCGCTCGCGCGGGTTCGGCTACGTCGAGTTCACCACGGCCGAGGCGGCGCAGAAGGCGCTCGAGCTCGCCGGCAAGGAGGTCGACGGCCGCGCCATCAAGGTCGACGTCACCACCCCTCGTGCCCCTCGCGACGCCGCCCCGAAGAAGGTGTTCAACGACCAGCTCTCGGGCCCGCCCACCACCACCCTCTTCGTCGGCAACCTCCCGTTCTCGGCGTCCGAGGACTCGGTCTGGTCGGCGTTCGCCGACTTTGGCGACGTGTCGTCGGTCCGCCTCCCGACCGACCCCGAGTCGGGTCGCCCCAAGGGCTTCGGCTACGTCGAGTTCTCGACCGTCGAGGGCTCGACCGCCGCCGTCACGGCCGGCGGCCCCGAGTCGTCGGGCGAGGGCGTCCAGATCGACGGCCGCAAACTCCGCCTCGACTACTCGCAGCCGCGCGGTGAGCGCCAGGGCGGCGGCGGCGGCCGTGGCGGCTTCGGCGGCGACCGCGGCGGTCGCGGCGGTGGACGTGGCGGCGGGCGCGGCGGCTTCAACGACCGTGGCGGTCGCGGTGGCGGGCGTGGCGGCTTCAACGACCGCGGCGGCGGACGCGGTGGTGGGCGTGGCGGCCGTGGCCGTGGCGGCGCTGACGGCGGGTGGTCGTCGCGCGGCAACGCTCGCACCGGCGGCGCTGCTCCGTTCGCCGGCAAGCGCCAGACCTTCGACTAGATCCCCCTCTCGTCACTGTCTCTACTCTTCTATCTCTTGCGTCCTAGACGGCGCGAGCCCTGGTTGTACTTTGTCCTCCTTCCCCTTCCTCCTCGCTCGGGCCTCTCGAGGCGCCGAGCTGTAACACCAAGCTTGCCTTGCGCTCTCATCACGTCCCGCCCTTTCTCGTTGTGAGCGGTAGATTGCTTGCCTGTCGAGAGCTGTTTACCGAGAGCGGTTGCCGAGCGACGAGGAGGAGAAGAGCGAGCGCGAGTCGTTGAATCTGCCTCGGCTCCAGGCGGCGAGGCAGGTCTCTCGCATGCTCGCTCTGTAAGTACTGCTAGTAGACCGCACCTCGCACGAGAGCAAAGCCCGCCGACAGCCGTGAGCGAGCGTAAACTCGCCCGAGCGACTCGACCTCACCCGCTCTCTCGTCCTCCCTCGGCCCGCACCGCTGCTGTGCCTTGCCGGCGCGTGTCCAACTCTTCTGCATCGCATCATCTATCCATGGGGCCTGCTCCCGCGCCACCGCGAGCGGCCGCCGAGGGCGCAGGGCGCGTCGCATCTTCATCAGCACCTCGCGTCGTCCGACCTCTCTCGGCTGGCGGCAACCGTTCATGGGCCTGTGGGCGTCGTCGTCGAGGACTATTGCAGCGTCAAGGAGACTACTGGGCCAGACGGCCGCGCTGCGCGGGCTGTGGGCGACTGGTGCGTCCACCTCCTCCTCGCCTCCCCGTGTTTGGCCCCGCTCTCCCTCTCCCCTCGCCCCCTCTGCTACCTTGTGACGCGGTGCAGGGGTATTGATGGACTGACCTGGTCCCTTTACAGGCGGAACGGCTGCGCAAGGCGAACAGGGGCGGTCTTCTGGGCGGCGCGAGGCGGGCTCTTGACCTTGAGGCGGCTCGCCTTGTCCTTTGTACGTCCCGCACACTCTCTTTCTTCCCTGCAGGACCTTCATGTGGGTCTGTGCTCCTTGCCGAGCCGCTCACTGACCCTCTCGACCTCGCGCCGCAGGTTAGTCGCGCCCTCGATGGCACCTCCCCCTTCTCGGCCTCGAAAGCTTCCCTCGCGCCCTTGCTGCGCCGCGCGACGGCGCCCTTTCCTCTCAGAAAGCTCTCCTCGTCTCTGTCGAGCGTTCCCAGACCGCGCAGAGTTCTTAATTGTCGTCGCACTCGTCCCGACGGCTCAGCGAGTCGAGCCGTCGCGGACGGGTCTTTACGAGGCCGCGCCCGCCCTCTCGTGCCCCTGAGGGCAGCGGGCGCACTTTGGTGAGTCGCTCGCACGGCGCGCACCCCTGCGGAGCGCCCGTGCGCCCGGCCACCTACTAAAAACAGGGGGATCCTGCGCACCCTCGCTCAAACGCTGGCTCTTGATCTAGCAGGGTTACGGCGTGCTGCTTGCGCGGGATCGGACGAGGCCGTGTCTGCGATCCGATCGAGCGCTTCTCCCGAGCCAGTTCTTCTTGTAGAGCGCGAGTTATGAGCCTCGCCACCCTTCTCAAGTCGGTCGAGAGGCGGCCCGAGAGCAGCTCTTTCCTCGTGCTCCTAGCCTGGCAGTCTCTCTCTTTGGATGTGAACGAGTGCGTGCGGCGCTTACGCGAGCGCGCCGACCCCTGAAGGCGGCGCACTTCTCGTGCTTTTCTTCGACTTGCTCTTCGAGGTTGCTCTGGCTTTTCTCTCGCGAATGAAGCTCGGTCTCCTGCTCAGAGCAGACCAGTCGAGCTTGACGACGTCCCTCTAGCGCTTCCTCGTGCCGCGAACGCACAGGCGGTGCTCGAGCACCCGAATCGCTGCGTCGCCGGCTCGATTTGAGAAGGTCGCCCTCGCGCCGCACTTTCGCTTGCTTGCACTCTCACGGTGTCACCTCTCGTGTGGCGGTCGAGGAAGCGTCGTCCTTGACAGAGAGAGAGACGGAGAGAAAGCGAGCCGCCATTGCAGAAAGGACCCGCTCAACAGAGTGCGCGCTCGTGGTCCTCGCGCACGTCCTCGACGCTGCTGTCGGTGCGCTCTGCTCTCGTGCGGGGTGCGGCTACTACTGTATAGAGCGAGCAGGCGAAATATTTGCCTCGCCGCCTGGACGAGAGGGCTGAGGCACAGTCGGCGATTCGCGCTCGCTCTTCTCCTTCTCGTCGCTCAAATGGACGGCGACTGCTCTCGGTACATGGCTCTCGACCGGAAAGCAAGGTACCGCTCGCAACGAGAGAAAGGGTGTGCCGCGCGACGACCACCCGCCGTCAGCGCCGCCACGGCCACGGCCGCCACGCCCACCACCGCGTCCGCGAGCGAGCACACCTGGCCGTCCCGTACGGTGTTGTCGTGCGTGCGACACCTGCGCTCGTCCGGATGGAAAGAGAAGAGGAGCTGTCGCAGCTTGAGAAGGTCATTTTCCACCGGGCATCTCTCGCTCTCGTTCAGTCTTGGCCGACCGAGCGCACTAGTTCTTGATGCACGCGTCTGCCGCTACCAACCGACGCTGAGGCGCCACTTGGCCGATACCTCCTCGACCCGGAGCAGGACACCTGCCGCCGCCCTCCCCGCTCGACCAACGCCGTCCTGCCCACCTCGGCGCTCCTCGCGCTCAAAGACGCCCTCGGCCCACTCCTTGACGTCGACGACGAGCGCTCCGCCGCCGCCATTGGCCGTCGACGACGACATAAGCGTGCGCCCGCCGTCGAGCTGGACCGTCGCGTCGAGCGCGACGAGGACGAGCTCGAGCGCTGCGCTCGTGACCAGGTCCTCGTCCAGGCCCGACTCGTCGTCGTCGTCGTCGTCGTCGGCGGCGCGATGCCGAGGACGGGCGGCGCGCACGGCCGAGGGCCCGCTCGGTTTGATGGCGAGGACGAAGCCGATCACCTCGGGGACGATGACGGCGAGGAAGGCCGGCGAGTGGCGCGCCGCGTGTACGAGGACGGCGAGCGTCGCGAGGAACCGACCGAGGACGATCGGCTCGAGGAGGACGGGCGCGCCGACGCCGCCGCCGTACGACCCGGCTCGCGACGACGAGAGAGACGAGGTCGCCGTGTCGCGCAGGTAGAGCCAGAACCGGTTGACGAGGGGCAGGATGAACGACTCGGCGGCGAGCGAGGTGTATGTCGGTGTCGACGAGGTGGGCTGCGACTTGGACAGGGCGGCTGATCGAGTCGTCGAGCGTGCCCGCACGCTCAGGAGCTTCTCCCTCGCGGCGCCGGGCAGTGTGCCCTCGGCGTCCTCGCGGGCGCCCGAGAGCGCCATGCGCGTCAAGTCGGCTGACATCGCCTCGAGCTGGCCTGGCTGGCGAGCGGGCGGGACGAGGCGGTGGTGGAGGGCGGGAGGGAGCTGCTTCGAGGGGAACAGGTCGGCGCTCGGCAGCGACTTGGTCGACGACGGGTTGGACGACGGGATGGACAGGCCCGCCAGCTCGCGAGCGGCAAAGGCGAGCGAGGCGAGGAGGATGTGGCGCTGCGCGGTCGAGTAGGACGTCGTGAAGTACTGCTCGATAACGGCGCTGCGGACGGTGATGAACGGTCAGGACGGGCGAGGGTGAGGGCGACGAGGACGAGGGACGTACGGAGCGACCTCGGCAGGACAGGCGACGATGAGGGCGACGAGGATCGCCTGCTTCTGCTCCTCGAACCGGTCGAGCTCGAACTGGTTCTGCAGCGCCATGATCGCGAACGCGAGGTCGACGGCGTTCTCGCCTGTATACATGCATCGCAGTCAGTGATAGTAACCTCGAGTGAGTCGAAGAGAGAGGGGACGCACGCAGTTCTCCTCCCCACCCAGCCTTGCGCCGAACGAGCGCTTCTCCCTCGCGCAGGCCCACCTCGACCCTCTCGGCCTCGCCGTCCGCCTCCTCCTTTGCGCCCTGCGGGTCCTGCCCCTTGAGGTACGCGACGAGCTCGGCGACGTAGACCGGCGGGCGCAGCTTGCCGCGCCGGCGCGTCTGGCTCGCGCTGCCGGCGGGACCGGCCGTGGCCGACGCCTGCGAGGGCAGCGCCGAGTGGTACAGCGCCGGGTCGGCCGACGCGAGCGCCTCGAGCGCCGCCTCGGACGGGCCCGGCGGGAGCGCGAACGGCTTGAGGTCGTCGTCGTCGTCGTCGCCGTCGTCGTCGTCCGAGCCGATGATCGAGATGAGCGGGCGCTTGGTCGGCGCGGCGACGACGGGCTCCTCGACCGACGACGCCTGGAGCGGGACCGTGTTGGACCTCGGCGGCGGCGGACGACGAGCCGACGCTCGAGCCTGCTCGTCATCGCCGGCGGCGAACGCCTCGCGCAGCGCGTCTGGCCACCCGTCGACCTTGCCCGACGCCGTCGCGCGCGACAGCTCGTCGACTGAGGCGCGCAGCTCGCGCACGATGCGCTGCTCGGGCTTGTCGCCGGCCCACATGTCGTCGCCGAACGAGAGCGGCTTGAGCTCGCTGTTGGGCTCGACCGTCCGGCTCGAGACGATCTCGGCGACAAGCATGCCGAGGAGGCGAGGTAGAGGAGCGACGAGGGCAAAGTGCGTCGAAACAGCGTTGAGGAACGAGGGCGAGCGGGAGAGGGTGACGAGAGAGGGATCGAGGGAGGGGAGCGAGACGACGCTCGAGAGGAAGAGGGCGGCCGTGACTGCGGGCGTGAACGTTTGTCAATAAGGTTCCGAGAGCCTGTACGAGAGACGTAGGAAGAGAGAGGGGACGCACAGCGCCGCCGACTGTCGCTGCCGCTCCGCGCCTCCTCCTTCGACCCCCAGACCTCGAGCGCCGCCTCGACGAGCGCCCGCTTGCCCTCCTCGCTCCCGCCGGCCCACCAGCTGACCGCCGGCGGCAGCATCGACGAGCTCCACCGCGCCGACGTCTCGAACAGGACGACTCGCGCCGCCCGCCAGGTCGACGACTTGCCCGGCGCGAGCGGGCCAAAGAGCGTCTCGAGGACGAACGCGGCGCCTCGGGCGGCAGCCACGACGTTCGACGGGTGACCGAGGCGCCGGTTGAGCTCCTGAAGGACCTGCCGCATGAAGCGGGCAAGGTCGCGCTCGGAGAGCTCGGGGACCGTGCGCTGCCACAGGTCGCGGTGTCGCCGGCGTTGGAGAAGCTCGTCGGCAGGCGTGGGGAAGGACGTGGGAGGGAGGAAGAGCGGGATCAGGTGGGATAGGGCGTGCGAGGTAAAGCGCGGCGACGAGAGGAGGACGACGAGCGGCTGGGCGAGGGACGAAGGGTGGACGGCCAAGTCGGCGTCGGCCGAGAGGTGCGAGAGGAGGGCCAGGTAGGACGAGCCGAAGGTGGACGTGAACGGCCTGTGAGGTGGAGGCGTCAGTCGCGCTCAGGATCTTATGCTGAGAGCGGAAGGAAGGAAGGGCTCACTCAGGGTCGAGGCCGCTCGGGTACTCGGGACTCGCACGCCCCCTTCTCCTTTTCCCGCATGACGCCCCACGCGTTTGCGGCCCGCGTCGGAGCGCTCGACAGGTGCCGCAGCGACGAGTCGAAGCGCGCAACGGCCACAGGATCGGCGCGCTCGTCGTTCTCGTCCTCGTCGCCGCTCGAGCCGACGGCGGACCGGCTGCTCGCCGCGATCGTCGACAGGTACAGGTCCTTGACGTTGAAGACGCGGACGAGCTTGGCGAGGAGGTCGGTCGCGAGCTCGATCGACCTGGGCGGGAGCGTCGACGCCGACTTGGCCGACAGGAGCGAGGAGAGGACGGCGTAGGCCGACAGGGCAATCTCGGCGCCGGAACTGGTCGATGACGATGAGGTAGACGCAAAGGATGATGCAGGCGGGACGAAGAAACGCTCGAGGACGAGATGACCGGGCTGGCTGTCGTCGGCAACGAGCGCCGCCTCCCACTCGGGCCACACGCGCTCGACGAGGACCTTCTGCACGAGCCCGAGCTGGCGCCTGACGAATCGGCGGACGTCGACAGGAGCGTCGGCGTGCCCGTGCGTGGCGACGAGGTCGGTGAGGTCGTCGAGGGCGTGGCAGGCGGCGAGCGGCGGGACGACGAGGTCGAGGAGGTGTGAAGTGGAAGCGAGTGGCTCGGCGAGTCGGGTCGCGAGAGTGGTTGTCGACGTTGTCGGGTCGTCCTGAGGGGTTCACAGGGAATCAGCTCGCAGTGCTGGCAAGGAGGCGAGCAGGGGACGCACAAAGAGGCCCGGCATGAGGGCTTCTTCTTGCCTGGCGGCGTGCGGCGACGATGAAGAAGACGCTGTGGGCATGGGAGCGCTGTGTCAGTGACTCTTTCGACTCGTGCAGGCGGGTTGTCGAGAGCTGCGTCCACTCGCGCCGAGGCGAGGAGGAGGTGGACACGCAAGCACAGCCGTGGTCCGTCTTGCGCACCGACAGGCCCTTCCTTGACCGACTCGAAGCCCTGTAGTGCCCTCTCCCAGCCCGACGAGACCGTCCTCGTCGAGAACGTCTCCCCCTCTCCGCCCCGGAATGATGAAGATGGAGGAGAGCGAGGACGCACCTGGCCCAGCTCGTGCTGGCGGAGCGGGTTTCGGAAGCTCTGTGGACGCTCTTGCACTGGTCGAACAGCTGGCTGAGCGGGTGCGAGGCGAGAGGAGGGACGAGGTCGAGCTGGCCGACTCTCTCGTGATCTCACCCTCCGCCAACATGCTCAGCGAGCGCACGCTCGGCCGCTACGAGCGCTTTTCTCTATCAAGGAGCCTGGCGGGTGTCGCCCCCGTCGTCGCCGTCACCGCACTCGTCCCAGCCGAGCCTCGAGTCGACCCGACCGACTTCGCCCGCGCCGTCGACTCGCTCCTCGCACAGTACCCGCTCTTGAGCTGCACCGTCACATCCACTGCGACGATCGAGCCTCGCTTCAAGCGCGCGACGGTCGCGGCGAGTGGCGTCCTCGTCGAGCTCTCGGACTCGGCCGTCGAGCCAGCCCAGGCGCTCCTCGCCGCCCTCGACGCCGTCAAGGACAACGGCGTCGAGCAGGCGCCGCTCTGGCGATTGTGGCTCTCGGCGGCCGACGAGCGAGGGCGGCGCAGAGCGACACTCGCCGTTCACCACGTCCTCTCGGACGGCTCGTCGACCCGCAACATCTTAGCCGAGCTGCTCTCGCGCGCTCGGGCTCCTCGGGCGCCTGCATCGTTCGATCCGTCGCCGACCCTTCCGCCGACCCTCGAGCAGTCGGTCGACGTGCGGCCCTCGGCGCTCGCCCTCGCCAAGGTCCTCTTCGACGAGTTCGTCGCGAGCCGCATTCCCTCCTTTCTGCGCCCCTCCCCGCCGCCACCCATCTTTCCCAGCCCTCCCCTCCTTCCGCCATACCAGCAGGGCACGTCCCTCAAACAACTCGTCCTCCCCTCAGCCGCCGTCGCCCGCCTCAAAGCGGCCGCAAAAGCGCACGGCGTCGCGACGCTCCACCCCGTCCTGTACACCGCCTTCCTCGCCGCCCTCTCTACCGTCGCCCCACCGCACACGACCCTCGTCGGCCAGTCGCCCGTCTCGCTGCGCGACGACGCGCTCCACCCGCCCATCTCGGGCAACTACGTCTGCTCGATCGAGACGGCGCACGGCGCGCCCGCGCCCCAGACGCCCTTCTGGAGCGCGTGCGCGGCGTACGGCGCGCGCATGGTGGACCCGGCCGAGCGAGCGCGCGCGCGAGGCGGCATGGGCATGCTCGCCTACGTCCCGGACGGGCCCGAGCGCGGCGCAGGCGAGTCGGCGCCAGCGCGCACGAGATTCGACGCGTGGATGGAGGGCGTGCTGAAGGCCGACAAGCCGTGGAGCGCCACGTTCGAGGTGAGCAACCTCGGCGTGCTGCCGGCGACCGGGTGGGAGGGCGACGGCGGGCTCGACGAGGTGCTGTGGGCGCAGGCGGGCATGGCGCTCGGTCCGGCTTTCGCAGTCAACGTGCGTCCTCTCTCTCTCGTTCTCTCGAACGCGCACTCTCGGGCGAGAAGAGCGAGTCGCTCACGCTCGAGGCCGTCTCTCCCACAGCCCATCGCCGTCCGAGGCGGCTCGCTCGGCATCACGTTGACGTGGCGATCGGGCACGGTCGACGAGACGACCGTGGCAGACATCTGGGAGGCGTACGGGCGGGCGCTGCGAGGGCTCGCCGACGGCGAGGGCGTCGAGGAGGCGACTTTCGAGGGCGTCGCACGAGGAAATCTCTAAGCGGACGAGCGGGACGTTCGAGAGCGGTTATGTGCGTGTAGATAACATGGTGACGGTAATACTGTGTGGCTCGAGGTGTCAGGGACCGTCGAGAGTGAGTGAGAGAAACAGAGAGAAAGAGGGGACGCACCAACAGCTTGAACAGACTCGACGCCTCAAAGCGTCTTCATCACGCAGTACCTGCTCGACGCAGCTCGTCAGGACGACTCGTCTTGAGAGAAGGAGGGGGAGAGGAAAGGGACGCACACGTCAGTGCCCCATCCGTACATCGACACGAGGTCGAGCGACCCGCCAAAGTAGCCGGCGTAGATCCTCGACAGCGGCAGCCTGCAGGACACGTTGCGCGCTCGTCAGTACGGGCACACGAGCTCGAGGAGCACGCGAGGAGAGAGACGAGGACGCACCCGAAGCCCAACCCGGCGAGCGTCCCGACGTTGGTCGTGAGCGCGCTCTCGCCTCCTTGCGGGCCGCCGCCGACCCCACCGTAGTAGCCCGCGTTGGCGGTCCCGCCGTACGCCGCCGCCGGCGAGTCGGGGTCAAAGTCGGGGTCGGGCAGGGCGGGCACCGACGTAAACGCGTACGAAAAGACGCTGTAGACATTCTCGGGAGCTGCGGGTCGTCGAGCGTCAGGTCTGCTGCTGCGGCTCGCTCCCGCTCGGCTCGACGCAGAGAGAGAGGAAGCGGGACGCACGGATGCCGCCGCCGCGGTCGCGTATCCGGATCGTCATGGCGCCGGGCACGGTCGAGACGGTGACGAGGACCTCGGGAAAGTCGCTGCTGAGCATGTGGGCGTGCGGCAGGTCCTCGAACCGGAACTCGTCTGGGTCGTCCTTCTCCTCGGGCTTGGGCACGTTGTGCTCGATCGTCGCGCGGAAGCTGTTCTTGAGGAGCTCGGTGAGGATGTACTCGAGGTGCGAGCCGATCGAGCCGACCGTCATGTCGGGAGAGCCGCCCTCGATGCGGTACTTGGGCGCGACGCCGTACGTCGACTCGCACAGGAGCGAGACGTACTCGGCGCAGTTGGTGATGAGGTCGTACGGCTTGAGCGCGAGGTCGAGGATGCCGACGCGGCTCGCGCTCATGGACGACGACGGCGGGCGCGCCGACGGCTCGACGCGCAGGTCCTTGGGCTCGGACGACGGAGGGGACGGGAGCGCGTCGGCGGGGCGAAGGAAGGGGAGGGAGGCGGCCGACAGCGACAGGTGTTGCTCGGCCATGAGCCGGAGCGAGATGCGGTTGCGGATGGCGCGATCGAGAAAGTCGGTGATGGTCGCGTCGGGCAGGTACTTGCGCGACTCCTTGAAGCCTGCGGGTCGAGCAAGTCAGTTCAGGCAGGCGTGGGAGACCGTACGAGAGGGAGGGGACGCACCCTTTGCGAGGAGGGGGATGTTGTCGCGGTGCTCCTCGACCATCTGGGCCATGACCTTGCACAGGCGCTCGTTGTCGGCGAGCGTCTTGATCTCGGGGATGCTGCTCAGGTTGAAGAAGGCGCTCGAGTAGAGCTGGTGCACCTTGGCGAGTGACGGGTTGGTGGCCGGGAGGTACGGCAGCGACAGGTGTTGCGAGACCTGCGGCCGCGATCGCCAGTCAGGAGGGACGCCTAGGCAAGCTGAGAAGAGTGAATCGAGGTGCTCACGCGGCGTGCGAGTCCTGCGAGGAGCTCCCTCCTCGTGCGCTCGGCGCTGTGGAGCAAGGTCGGCTCGTCGAGAGGGGGCGGCCCGTACATGGTGAGCTCGGGGTAGGTGAGGGTGCGGGTCGGGGCCTGGGCATAGTAGCTCAGGAGGGCTTGCGGCGAGACGTCGGTCGGCGGCGGCGGTGCAGGCTGGCTCGAGGCGAGAGAGGTGACCCGGCGATGAGGAGCAAGGGCGAGGGCGGGAGCGGCGGCGACAGCTCGGCGTGGAGCGTGCGCTCTCGCTAGCGCTGCAGCTCGGCGCAGCATGGCGAGGAGCCGGGCGGTGGTCGAGTGTGGAGAGGGAGAGAGCAAGTCAACCGTGATGAGCGCACGACCAGCGCAATCGCAGCCGTCCACGGTACTGAAGCACGCTCGTCTACTCTCAAACAATCACTGAGAAGGGGGAGCAGAGCCTCTCGTGCAACGGAAAGACGAAGCCAGAGACTTGAGGCGCGAGAGCGCGAAGAAGGTGCGATGCAGGAGAGTGCAAGGGAATGGCTACGAGCGGGTATCTGGCTCCTCCGAGGGGTATCGTGACGAGCCCGAGGTCACCTTGGCGGGGCAAGGGCGAGCGCGGCCGGCTGCACCTCGTTCTGCGAGCCGTAGTAGACCCGCGAGCCGACCTCGCCGACGACCCAGTCCAGCCCGAGCATGATGCGCGGGTCCGCCGCCTTGCGGGGCGCTGCTGGAGGACGTGTGACGGAGGAAGAGGTGGACGTGGGCGCTGTTGGGGGCGAGGTGGCCGTGGTGGGCGAGAAGGAAGGAGAGGTCGGGCGGGTGACCATGGCGAACCGCGCCGAGCACGGCTGTATGGACCACCGGTGGGACGAGGTCAAGGCGTCGAGGTCGAGTGCCTGTGAAGAGAACCTGTCAACGACTCGTATGGCGTGCGGTGTACCGCTTGGGCGAGGGAGAAGAGGTGGACGCACAGTCGAGATCTCGTCCGTCGTCATGGCGCTCGCGATGTCCTGCTTGTTGGCGAACACGAGCAGACTCGCACCCATCAGACGCTGCGCGCGCGCTTGAGGTTCAGCAACGTGAACGAGTGAGGGAACCAGGACAGGGAGAGAGGAAGAGGGCGCACCTCCTCGAGTAGAAGCTCGTGGAGCTCGCGCCTGCAGTCGCCCATGCGGGCCCGGTCGGACGAGTCGACGACCCAGATGACGGCGTCGGTCTGCTCAAAGTAGTTGCGCCAGTACGGCCGCAGCGAGGTCTGGCCGCCGATGTCCCCTGCGCGAGAGGAGGAGGGGTCAGCGAGAGTCGCTCTGGCAGCACGCCGAGGCGGTACACGGGGCGTGGAAGGTACAGAGACGGTGGACGCACAGACGTTGAGGCTGTAGCCCTGGTGCAAGATGGTGCGGATGTTGAAGCCCAAGGTCGGGCTCACCTCGTCGACGTCCTCGCCCAGGATCGCCTTGCAGATGGTCGTCTTGCCCGCGTTGTCCAGACCGCTGTTGGCGAGACTCGGTCAGCTCTGGTCGCAGTGGGAGAGTGGTGGGGGCTGGGAGAGACGAACAGGAGGAGGACCCGGACTTGTCGCTCCTTGAGCCGCGCCTTGCGGATGATGGTGAGCAGGCCCATGCCGTGCGAGAGAGCTGCTGAACGGCCTGCGCGAGCCGCTGGCGCGCTTGGACGGATGTGTGGTAAAGAGGCGGGCCGAAACCTCGTCGGCGCCGCTCTCATTTGTTTGCCTCGGCGAGAAGCGAGAAAAGAGCAGAGTTACAAACGAGAGTCTACAGGGGGCTCAGGCCGTCCACGCGATAGCCCGCGACGAACTGCCCATCAAGAACGAGCCGGCCTGCTGCTCCTCCTGCTCGTCCTCGCTCGCCTTTGTCGACAGCGCCTCGAGGCGGCGCTCGAGCGCGACGACCCGGTCGGCTGCGAGCCGTGCCGCCGTGAGCTTGTACGGCATGAACACGTCTGAGAATCCGTGCCGCCAGGACGTCTCCTCCATGACGTCCGAGCGGATCGAGTCGAACGCGGCGTAAGCGAGGGCCAACCACCCCTCCCGGCTGCCGATGTCGGCGAAGTAGCGCAGAAGCTCCTCGGCGACGTCGACGCTGCCCGAGGTGGCGGCGGTGGCGATGGCGTCCTTGTACAGCTTGTCCTCCTTCGAGAGCTGGATCGACCGGTCCCACTTCGAGTTCTTGGCGTACAGGTGCGCGGCAACTGCGGGGACAAGAGGGTCAGTCGAGGGCCACTTGTAGAGAGAACGAGGTGGGACGCACGTCGGCGGAACTCGAGGAGCTCGTGACGCTCGAGGCGATAGGCGAGCGCGGCCGAGTCGAACGCGTCGTTGGCGTCGACGCTGTCGCGCAGGCTGTGGTGGTCCTCCTCCTCGATCAAGAGCTCGTTGTACGCCTCGTTGACGGCGGGCAGGTTGCGGTCCTGGACGGCAAGCAGGTAGTTCTTGATCTCTGCGGAGTGGGAGGGCGAGGGGTCAGTGCGCGAACGAGATGACGAGGGCGAGGACGAGGGGGGGACGTACGAGGCAGCTCGTCGGCCTTCTGGAACAGGCGCACGACGCGAGTGTGGTCGATGCGTGGTGCGAGGGCGGTGAGGAGGTCGTTGAGGAGGAGCGGCTGCTGCTCGAGGTAGAAGTTGAGGGCCTGCAGAGGGTAATCGTCGTTAGCTATGGCCCTCGAGGCGGTCGAGACGTCGCACACGAGAGAGGCTCAGAGAGAGAGAGAGAGAGAGGACGGACCTTGTAGTAGATCTCGATGTTGGCGACCTTGACGATGACCTCCTTGAACTGGTTGTGCTCCCACGCCGCCGCCGACCGCTCCATCATGGCGAGCGCCGCGTTGTCGTGCTCGTCGTACTTGACGTACAGGAACACGAGCTCGGACCAGAGGTGCGCCTGCTCGGCAGCGCGCAGGACCTTGGGGATGTCTGCGAGGGACGAGGGTCAGTGACGGGCGCGCACGGTCCTCCTCGGTCGACTTGCGCGAGGGACGTACTGATGCGCGACCAGAAGAGCTTGAGGTGCTCCATGAGGCGCTCGGGCTTGTACTGCAGGCGGGGAAAGGGAGGAAAATGAGAAGGTCAGGGTCCGCTCTCGGGAGGGCGCTCCACACGAGGAAGAGGGAGGCGGGCGCACCTGGGCGTAGAGGACCGAGAGCTCGGTGAACATGCCCATGTGGGCGCGCTCGAGACCGAGACCGGCCTCGAGGAGCGCCATGAGCTCGTCCGTGTAGCCCTGGTACTCGTACAGGCGCACGAGGGCCGACAGCTCCTCGGCGTGGACGACGAGGTTGAGGCCGCAGATCTGGGCGAGGCGGAATTCCTTCTTGTCGATGCACGCCGCGTTGACCTGGCGCCACACCTGCGTGTTGCCCGCCTTGCGCGCCGCGTCGACCGCCGCCTGGTTCTCGCCGAGGTAGATGAGCGTCGTTGCGAGGCGGGCCCAGTTCGAGATGCTCGAGAACAGGAGCTTGGCCGCGTCGTACAGCTCGGCGTCGAACGCCTTCTCGCCGGCCGAGAGGAGGTCGGCGACGTTGGTCATCGACAGGAAGTCCTCCATGTCGCGCAGGCGGTCCGTCTTGGCGTACGCGACGGCGAGCTCGGTGTCGATGGCGGGCTCGCGCAGCGTCTTGCGCGCCATCTGGAGGTAGCGCACGAGGTCGTCGTGCTTGCCGGCGCGCGACGCCGTCTCGATCACCTCGAGGTAGTTGCTCGGGTCCTCGGCGCGCACGTACGAGTCGATGGCGTCCTTGACGCGCAGGCCGTCGAGCTGGGCCTTGCCGAGGCGCGACCACACGGCCGGCTGGTCGACCTTGTCGGCGTACTGCTGGGCGCGGTCGATCGAGACGACGTACTCGACGAGCGTGTTCATCGCCTCGAGGTGCATATTGTTCTTGCGGAAGAGGGTGAACGCCTCCTCGTGCAGGCCGTGCTCGATCATGATGCCCGCGATCTCCTGCACGTCGAAGCCCTCGACGCGGTCGATGTAGCCCATGACGCGGCCCTTGTCGGCGCGGATGGCCGTGAGCATGAGGAGCTTCTTGAGGTTGGCGTTGTCCGAGAACGCCGACTGCTCGAGGACAATCTTCTCGAGGAGCTCGATGAGCTCCGAGGGCAGGTCGGCCGACAGGAACGCCTTGACCGTGACCGAGACGTCCTCCGGGTCGGTCGACTCGGGAACGGCCGTCGCGACGACCTGGTCGACGAGCGGGCGCTTGTGGACGTTGTCGGCGCCGAGGACCTGCTGCCACAGCTCGAGGCGACGACGCTTGACGAGGTACCGCGCGAGGTGCTTGTACATGGCGTTCTCGGTCGTGATGGCGATGAGCTCGTCGTCGCACAGGCCCTTGGCGTAGGCGATGTAGGCGAGGTACGGGTCGCGCTTCTCGCAGTACCTGCCGACGACGAGCGGGTCGTAGGCGTTGTTGTCCTTGAGGAACGCCTCGGGGTCGACGTTCGAGTCGATCTTGATCTTGGCGAGCGCGTTGTACAGGGCCGGGTCCTGCTGGCCGGCCTGCACCTTGGCCTCGATCCAGGGCAGGATGAGCTTGAGGCGGTTGCGCTTCTCGACCTCGTCGACGAGCTCGTCGACCGGGACCGGGCCCGTCACGCTCGCGAGGAGCGCCTTGATCGTCGCCTCGTCGCAATCGACGTCGAGCAGGCCGCCGACGACCTGCGGGGTGCGCGCCGAGTTGACCCGCTGGACGTACACCTCGATGAAGTTGGTGAGGCCGTTCTGGTACAGGTACAGGACGAGGTCGTGCACAAAGTCGAACCGGTCGCAGACGATGATGAGGGGGAGCTGGTCCTGGAGCTTGGCCTCCTTGAGGAAGTTCTTGACCTTCTCCGGGTTGTAGTAGTTGCTCTCGCGCACGATGCGCTCGACCTCGCGGATCTGGCCCGTGCGCGTCGCCGCCTGGATGTACTTAAAGTGGACCTCCGAGTCCTCGCTCAGGTTGACGATCGAGCCGAGGTAGTAGTACAGGCCTGCGCGAGGGAACCCGACGAGTCAGTTCATGCGCAGCTGCAGGAGCCACGAGAGAGAGAGAGAGAGAGAGAGGTGGACGCACCCTCGGCCGTCTTGAACTTCTCGAACATCTCGATGAGGCGGACCGGGCCGACCAGGTCCGAGTACTTGGTCGCCGCCTGGACGACGACCTGCAGGTTCTGGCGGATGTTGACCTTGAGCATCTCGTTGAAGCACTCGAGCGTCTGCTCGACCGTGAGCTTGCCGAAGAAGTCGACGAGGAACTGCGCGAGTGGGGCACAGGAGCGAGGGTCAGGACGACGAGCGCGACGACCTCGAACGGGACAGAGAGAGAGAGGGGGACGCACCTCGGGCTGGAGCTGGTTCGAGTGGACCACGACGCGCTTGATGTCGGCAATGTCGTCGTAGTGCTCGAGCGCACGCTGCGCGAGGCCGGCCTTCTCGCACAGGCTCGCGATGCGCGGGCGGTCGTAGTGCGAGAACATGTTGTTGCCGAGGATGGCGTCGGCGACCTGGGGCGCGTTCATGAGGTTCATCTCGAGGAGGCGGGTCTGGAGGTGCGCCTGCTCGGGACGGTTCTCCTTGAGCGCGTCGAGGAGGAAGCTCGTCGCCTGCTGGATCATGTTCTGCGACATGAAGACGTCGACGACGCGCTCGATGTCGACGAGCGGGCCCATCTCGTCGTTGACGAGCTGCGACGCGAACTCGGCGCCGTGCTCCGGGTTGAGCCGCGTCACGTGCTGCAGGAGCGCCGCGTAGTCGGGCGTGTAGCCGACGCGCTTGGCGTAGACGATGATCTTGGCGAACTGGCCCGTCTCGGCGAAGCAGGCGACGACCTTGTTGGGCACGTTGGCGCGCAAGTAGACCGACAGGGCGAGCGTCATGTCGTGCGCCCGGACGATGTCGCCGAGCTCCTCGCTGCACTCGATCTGCGGGCACGATGGGGTCAGTGTGAGGCTCTCTTGATGACGAGAGAGAGAGGGAAGGGAGAGCGAGAGACGCACCTTGTCCTCCTTGAGCCACTTCTCGAGGAGGTTCTTGCGGCCCTGGACCAGGACCGGACGGGCGAGCTCGAGCGACTCGAACTTGTTGAGCTTGCCGCGCTCGAGGAGGATGCCAAAGTACTGGAGGATCGGGCTGAGCTGGCCGGGCTGCGCCGCGACGTTCTTGAACAGCTCGATCGTCTGGCTCGTGCGGAGGATGCCGCGAGGCGACGACGCCGCGACCTTGGCGGCGGCGCCATAGTCGCCCGACTGGAACAGCTGCTGGAACTGGTTCGAGTACAGGTCGTCGGCGCCGGGCAGGTTGCCGCGCGACGCGAGGCGGATCGCGAGCTCGACGTTGTTGAGCGTCGACAGGACGTACGGGATCATGACGTCCTCGTCGACCGTGACCGACAGGACCTGGCCCTTGCGGTTGATGCCGATGACGCCCGACGTCGAGCGGTGCTCGCACGTCGTGAACATGGTCTCGCCCGAGATGCGGTTCATGTAGATGCACGCGCCCGACTCGAGGTCGTACAGGTGGATGAAGCCGTACTTGGTGACGAGGTAGGCGATGCCGAAGCGCTTCGACACCTGCATGGCGACGGGGAAGTCGTTGGTCGCCTCGGGCGGGAAGAAGACGTCGACGGCCTTCTTGGCGTACACCGGGAGGTTGGCCTGGTGGTCGATCTCGACGACGTGGAGCTTGGCGCCCGTGGCGGTGCGCACGGCGAACGCGAACAGCTTGGTGTCGTCGCTCGCGCCCTCGAGGCGCAGCTCGGCAAAGCTCGCGGCGTGACCCTCGATCGGCTGCGACACGCCGCGCTCCTTCGAGTAGAGCTGCATGGCGCCCTTGACCTTGAACCCGGCCGGGTTGGTCGTGTTGGACGAGATGCCGACGAGGACGAGCCACTTCTCGTCGGGCGTGACGCGGTAGTTGATGATTTGGTTGCCGGCGAGCGACGCGTGGCGGTCAAACACCTTGACGGGCGCGTCCTGCGTCGGCGAGTCCGGCGCCGACGAGGGGGCGTAGCACGTCCAGTGGTACACGGCCGTCTCGGTGACGATGCCGATCGTGGTCGGCGAGATCCACTTCCAGAACGTCACGTCCTCATGCATGAGGTGCGCCGACACCTTCTGCTTGAGCTCGATGTTGAAGATCTGGAGCTGGCGCTGGGCTGCAGGTGGAACGGGAGAGGGGTAGGCGTGAGCTGTCGGCCCTCGAGCGGGCGAGGAAGAGCCAGGGAGGGAGGGAGAGGGAGACGGACCTCGCAGGGCGATGACCTTGTCGTCGACGTGCATGATGGCGCTCTCGGCGCTGATAGGCCGGCGCACGACGTTGTTCGGGTCGGCCATGTCGATAATGACGACCTGCTTGGCGCCGTTGACCTCCTCGCGCACGCAGACGAACCGGTCCGACTCGAGCGTGAGGGTCGCAAAGCCGATCGATCCAGGCTGGATGCCGAGCGCTGTGAGCTGCACACAAGGGGGACCAAGGGCATCAGTACGACCGCACGAGGACGAGAAGGCGAGGGAAGCGGATGGTGGTGCGGCGCGTGGTCGCGGGGGAGGGGGACGAGCCGAGGGAGAGCGGGCGCACCTGGAGGAGCTCCTGGAAAGCGATAGGGCGGTCCACCATGGTTGCTGAACGGGCTTGGGGCGGTCGACAGGGATAGGCGGAGCTTGTGCGGGTAGCGAGATGAGGGGGGTCGGGAGAGGAGGGGGAGAGGGTGACGAGACGAGGCGAGACGGCGATGGGACGGGCTCAGCCGGGAGCGCGTTGTCGTGAGGTCGATGAGGCTGTTCCCCAGGCAGCAAGTGTCGCAGGAGCGAGGGGATTGGAGGGTGAGAGGGGGGACGCGCTCCTCCCCCTCCTCCTCCTCGTCTCGACTGTAACGGCGGCGGCCGCGGACGCCAAGTCGCGCTCAGCAAACACTCTCAGGCTGCAAGTACAGCGTGACAGGCTCGTCTCTCATAGATTGATGCACACGATCGCGCTTTCGGACAATTCTCGGGACGACTACCGGGCTCGAACGTCCTCGTTGCACAGGGTCCGTCGGTACGAGAGGCACTCGACGCTCCGGTGACCCTCCCCTCGCTCAACGCTCGTCGAGGGAGCCCTCGCGCTGCTCGTACCTGCGACGCCTGGCCGAGGTCGGGTGAAAGACGGCCACGTCGAGCGGCAGGGCCTTGCTCCTCGGCTCTACGAATAATCTGCGTTCCGCGAGAGAGAGAGTCAGGCTCGACTCGCGGCTTCGAGTGAGGGAGAGAGAGGAGAGAGGAGAGGAGGACGCACCCATACTCTCGTCGCCCGCCGCCGCCGCCCCTCCTCCCCCGTCCGTCCCCTCGAGCAGCCTCGCCGCATAACGCAGCGCGAGCGCGTCCCAGAAGCTCCGGTCGCAGATGACCTCGCGCTCGTCGTCGCCCATGTCGCGCACCCCCGCGCCCGACTCGCCGTCGTGGCCGAGCCACAGGTCGACCTGCCGGTCGAGGACGTACGTCGTCAGGCACGCGCTGATAAAGGTGCCGCCGAGCGCGACGCCGACCGAACGTGCGAGCGGCAGGAGCGCCTCGGCGTCCGACGGCGTAAAGTCGGGGCACCACTGCGGGAGGAGCCAGCCGTCGAGCGGGAACGGCGGGACGGCGCGCGCTGCGGCGCCCGGGTCGTCGCTCGCGTCGGGGCTGCGGCTCGCGATGACGGCGGCGGTCATGGCCTCGAGCCACGAGGCGACGGCCGGGACCGACTCGGGCGAGAGCGGCTCGCCGACCATGCCCGTGACGTGCGACAGGACGACCTCGCGCAGGAGCGGTGGGCGGTGGGCGACGAGGTGCTGCACGAGGGCCGCCGACGGGTCCGATCCGGCACCAAAGACGACGCGCGACAGGTTGCTGAACGAGGGTAGGGCGGCGGCGAGCGCGTCGGGCGAGCCGATAGGCAGCGCGAACGAGAGCTCGTGCACGTTGGCGAACCGCGCCCAGTCGGTCTCTTGCGCCGGGAGGTCGACCGGTGGGGGCACGAGGTACCGCCGCAGGACGAGGCCGCGCAGGGCCGACGGGTCGAGCGCGGCGAGCGCGGGCGCGATGTGGCGCGACGCGAACGTGTCGGCGAGCTCGACGTCGCGCACGCCGTGGAAGGCGCGCAGGATGTTGACGACTCGCTGGTCGCACAGCGCGCCGACGACGACGAGCTTGTCGACCTGGGCGATCGGCGCCATGTCGAGTGCGGCGGGCGCGAGGTCGCTCGCCGGGAACAGGTCAAACGCGACGGCCGAGGTCGAGCCCGGGTCGAAGGGGAGGACGGTGATCTCGACCTTGCGCAACCGAGGGTATCGGGCGAGGAGGGCGAGGCGGTAGGTGACAAAGTCGAGCGAGTTGAGCTGGGTGAGGAGGATGCTGAGGCGCATGGTGTGGAGCGGGTGGGCGGCGGCGGCGGCGACGGCATTGTCCGACAGGAGGAACGAGGTCGTCATCCAGTCGACGGCGTCGACCTCCTTGACGGCGGGGAGGAGGGCGAGGGCCTCGCCGAGCGTGTCGTTGAAGGCCGTCTCGAGGGCGAGGATGGTCTCGGTCGTGTCGCGCAGGTTGAGGGTGAGGCTGCGGACGTAGCCGCCGAGTGCGGGTGTGCCCTTGACCGTGTCGACGAAGCTCTTGAGCTGCTTGACCGACTGGATGTCGACGCGTGCGAGTTTGGCGGTGCGCGAGTAGGGGAGGAGGCGGCGAGAGAGGGGTGCGGGAGGGTTGGGCGCGAGGTAGCTGAAGATGTCGGCGAGGACCTCGGCGGGCAAGTAGCTGAGGCGGTCTCTGCGTGAGGAGGTTCCGGAGGGTCAGCCTGGCTGTTGGTGAGGAATGCGAGAGGCGAGGAGGGAGGGGAGGAGGAGAGGGAGAGGCGCACCTGGACGAGGCCGCGTGTGCGTCAGGGAGAGGCTGCGAGTCCATGGCGGTGCTGTAGTCGGGTGCACGGCGGCTCTAGCTAGAGACGAGCGAGAGGACGATGGCGAGTCGGAGGCCACCACCTCCTCCTCCTCCTCACCAACAGCTCGACGCACCTCGAGAGCGCCCGAGCTACTGCGCAGCCTCGACAAGCTCAACCATGCAACTCGATCAGCCGCCTCGCCAGCCGCCAGCGTCCTTCGTCGGCCTCTCGCCCGCCCCCTCCTCCCCCTCATCAGTTCGGCGAGGTCGTCCACCTCGCCTTCTCTCGGATCGACAGCGTTCCTCCGCCGGTACTGCCTGCAGTCGACCTTGCAATGCAGCCTCTCTGCCTTGCACCCCTCGCCCCATCAGCACGACGCAAGCTTGCCTCGCGAGCCGGTGACGTCCAGCTCGTTCGCGTCTCTCGCTCCCTCTCCCTCGTTCCACCTGCGCCGCACCATGCCCGACCCTCCCCCGTCCACCGCCGACCCGGCCTCGTCGACCAAAGACTCGTGGCTCGACAAGGGCTGGCCCCTCACCCGCTTCCTCGGGTACCGCCCACCGCCTCCACCGCGACACCAGCAGCCGACGACGGTCGCCCACCACACGGCCGAGAAGGTCCTCCCTGCGCCACTGCGCGAGCGACACCGCGACAAGCGCGCGAGTGGCGACAGCCAGGACGGCCTGCGCGACCGCGACCGCGTCGAGGAGGGCGGCGGCGGCAAAGGCGGCGAGGCGGGTGAGCAGGGCCCGAGTTTGGGCAAGAGAGCGAGAGAGAAGCTGTGGGACATGCTCTTGACGATGCTCGGCTGCTTTGGCGGCATCGCCTTCGTCTCGCTCTGTGCGTCCTCCCTTCCACTCGTTCTCCTCCCTCTTTGCCCGTGTACGGCACAGACTGACGATCAAGACCTACAGCCTCACGGTCACCCGCATTTGCCGGCCGCAACGCGCCGCTCATCGTCGGTTCGTTCGGCGCCGAGGCCGTCCTTCTCTACGCCGCGCACACCTCTCCCCTCACCCAGCCCGTGCGTCCCCCTCTCTCTCGCCCTCTTTGCCCACGTCGAGCCTCTCCTGACCAAGCCGACGACTCGCAGCGGTGCGTCATTGCGGGCAACACGATCTCGGCCATCCTCGGCGTGTGCGTCGCCAAGCTGTTCCTCTACAAGCCCGGGTTCACGGTCGGCGACATCTTTGGCGTCAACTGGGCGTCCGTCCTCTCTCTCTCTCGTATAGTCTGGTCGAGACACCGAGACTGACATTCGCCTGCCCCTGCAGTGCCGCCGCATGCTCGCTCGCCCTCTCGCTCTCGGTCATGCAGCTCCTCGAGATCACGTACGCCCCTCTCCCTTTCTCTCTCTCTCTCGCCCGATCCTGACCTCCTCTCACACGTCCAGGCACCCACCTGGCGGCGCGACGGCCCTCCTCGCCGTCACGATCCCGCAAGTCGCCAAGCTCGGGTGGTGGTACGTCCCGCTCGTGCTCCTGTCGAGCCTCATTATGCTCGCGTGGGCCCTCGTCATCAACAACCTCGGCGGGAGGCGGTACCCCACCGAGTGGTTTTGGAAATCGAGGTGGATCGTCTTGTAGCGCGATCGGGCGCGAGGAGGAGGACGAGGAGCAGGTGCAACCAGAGCGGCTCTATCGCGCAAGGCAAGCTCTCGAGTCTCGATGCATCACGAGGTCCTCTCTCTCGCCTCTCGCGTCTCGAGAGAGGTTCGGAAAGACTGCTGCACTGCGGACAACTTCTGCTACAACTTCGACCCGCTCGGCCTCGCCGCGAGTCACTTCTGCGCCTTGTGGGCCTCGAGGCGCGCCTTCATCTTCTCGACGATGTACTCGTCGTCGAAAGTCTCCTGCACGCGCGAGGGGTGCGTCAGGTCGGCTGCTGCCGAAGAGCGAGAGGACGAGGAAGAGAACGAGGGAGAGGGGACGGACCTTCCACGATGGGCGCGACGTGAGCGCCTCGTGGTACTTGCGGAACGGCTCGTACTTGCTGTCCGACGCGAGCTTGGAGAACGTCTCGTCCGGGATGAGGCCTGCGAGCGAGGGGAAGAAGTGTGGGGGCTGCTCGCCGAGGACGACGACGACGGTCGAGAGGACGGGCGACGCACCGGCCTTGCCGAGGGTGTAGATGCGGCCGATGAAAGGCGCGACGGCGAGGTCGCCGATGCTGAGCTTGTCGCCGAGGAGGAACGTGCCCTGGTGACGGTTGAGGAGCGACTGGATCTCGGTGACGCCTTCGAGGAGGGTCGCGCCGGCTTCGGGCTTGCCGTGCATCGTGATCTGGTACATCGCCGAGGTGACGACGTCCGTGTAGCTGCGAGGGAGGCATCCACGAGGTCAGCGCGCGTGCCGAGAGGGATGCCGCAGAACGGCCGTTTAAAGGAGAGAGAGAGACGAGGACGCACCGCTGAGCGAAGTAGCGCGCCTCGGCACGCTGCACCGGGTCGGCTGGGCTCAGGCCAGCCTCGGGGAACAGGTCGGCGACGAGCTCGAGGAGAACGCCGCTCTCGGGGATGTTGACCTGGTCGGCGGCGCCCTCCTTGCCGACCGAGATGACGGGCACCTTGGACGCCGGGTTGACCTTGGACGCGTACCACTCGGGCTTGTTCTGCGAGCGGTGCGGGTGCACAAAAGGTGGGTGAGCTCTCGCTCGACGGTGGCTCACTTGGGGGATGCGAGCCGGGGCGCACCTGGAGGTCGATCTCGACGTGCTCGACCTGCTTGTTGGCGTAGGCGCCCACCTCGTGCAAGGCGAGAGTGGCACGCTGGGCCCAGGGGCTGCAGTGGGTGAGGCTCAGGTCAGCAGAGGTTCGAGGTGGGGCCGGTGGGCGAGGAGCGAGGACGCACCAGATGCGCGCGCTGTAGATGGTGAGGGGCTGGACCATGGCTGTGCTGGATTTGAGCGCAAGCAAGCTAGTGCGACGAGTGTGTAGGAGGAGGAGAGGGAGCTGGCGCCGATGCGCTCATCGCTCCGATGGATGAGGTGAGCTTCCGCAGCACCCGCTGGAGCAGCCAAGGTCGCGAGGACATTCGTATCTGAAGCTGCAGACTCTCTGCACTCGCTCGGGGTCCAGCGCAAGCCACAGCGACTCCATTGCAGCCCGCTCGCCTTGTTTTCCCGGGCGGCTTATTCGAATCCTCCCTGTTCAGCGGTTTGGACGAGAAGCGAGGAGCGTCTACTTCAGACAGGCTATGAGCAGGACCGGTAAGAGCGCCCACAAGTCGAGGGCACGGGCGAGCGCGAGAGCACGACTTGAGAAGGTCAACCGAAAGCGCCGCACGAGCCTCGCCGCTCTCTGTCGCGTCGAAATGACTCGTTCGGGGGGCGCGAGAGATGCAGTGTCTACAGGGGAGAAGCTCTATGGTCAAGCCCACCGTCCCGCCAAGTCTGCCGGCGAGACGCCGTACATCTTCGCCCGGTGGTCCGAGATGTACTGTGGCGGTGGCTCGACGGCGTACGTCGCCTGTATCGGCAAGGGAATTAGGTCGGGGACGAGGAGGAGAGAAAGGAGAACGCGGGACGCACCGGTGCGTGGCTGTCCCGAAGAGCGAGAAAGTGGCACCGGCCCTCGTTCTGCGGGCTCGCGCACGTCAGTGTCGAACACCTCGAGGGCTCGAGAGGTGAGGCTCACGGCCGTGTTGATGATGGCGTTGAGTTGCGCCTCCTGCGGGAGAGAGAGAGGGTGAGAAGGGGGACGAGGCGGCGCAGTCGAGAGAACGTGGACGCACGAGCGCTTCGAGGTGGATGGCGCCGTTGAGCGCGTGCGCCAGGGCTCCGAGCTGCCGCAGTATGACCTCTTGATACGTCGCCGTCGGCGCGAGGCCCGGGTCGACGATGGCGAGCTCCTCCCACTGAGGGCAAGGGAGGGCCCGTGCGAGGTGCGCGAGGCCGATCTGGACGCCGCTGTGAGTCGTCTCGCTGTGCATCGGGCTCGAGCTCGCTGCGCGGACGGCCTCGAGGGCCGAGTTCAGGTAGCAGAAGGCGAGGGATCGTGGCGGGGCGGACATGTCGGGCGACGAGAAGGGCTTTGGCTGCTGCCAGCCGCGGACCTGGATGCGCGGGCGCTCGTCAGCTTTCGCCTGGGCAACAATAAAGGAAGAGAGGGTAGGACGTACGATGAGGCTCGAGATGGCCTGCGCCGCCTGTGCCTGCGGGAAGTAGGCCGTCAGGTCGATCTCGTCAGGCCTTACGAGGAGGAAGGGGGGACGAACCACTTGCACCGACGAACCGACTTTGCCTGAGCGAAGACGGGCGTAAAGCTGAGAGATTGTGCCGTAGACGGCGCCCTGGAACGTCCTCGGCGGGTCGCTCTCGGCGTCAAGAGCGGCCAGCTTGCGCCACACGCCGTCCGCCTCGAGGTTGCGCTGCACACGCGCGACGAGCGCGTCGATGGCCTTTTCGAGGTACTTCTGCTGACGCCGCTCGTCCATGCCCGAGACGGCGTCGCGCAGAGAGTGCAGCTCGCCCAGGACGACGGTGAGGTCGAGCCCGCCAATGCGGTCGGCGTGCGGATTGCTCACAGGCGCGACGAGGTGCGCGCTCATGGCGATCGAGCAGGGTCGTCGAGGGGGAGCAGAGGAGGGAGACGAGAGGACCCGAGGAGGACGACGCCTGACGAAGCTCGCCCGAGCCAAGTGCACGGACCGCCGGGCGTGCGGACGTGAGCTGTTGCGGAGGCGTCGACGCCGGTCCACCGGCGAGCAAGCCCAGTACTTGTCAGAGATCAAAGCGGACAGCGACCGGTACGACAGAGACTGAGGGGAGCGAAGGACGGGGAAGAGGCAGCCGTCCCTCGAGACGAGACGGAGCGAGGGCGCATGCCCGCGCAGAGCCTTGACAGCTGTCGCTGCGCGCGCCGCCGAGAAGCACATCCAGCCAGGCGTCGCAAGCCAGCTGGCGCGGGCGGGAGAGAGCGAGCGGGAGGCGAGTCGAGGGGGACCGCCTCTGAGGACCGAGAGTGCGGGCGTCCCGCTGCAGGACCTCGAGAGCAGCAAGCAGAGCAAGCGTGCCGCGGCCCACGCCGGGCAAGAGGCTGCTGGTGGTGAGCAAGGGCGAGGCGGCGGAGCGACCTCATCCTGGTCGGCCCTCTGCTCCACCTCGCCCGCTCGCACCTTGCTGCTTGAGCGCACGCTCTCTCTTTCGCTAGACAGAGCGCACCCGACCTCGACCCGCGGCATGGCGAGCCGCACCGCGACACCGCAGCCGTGGCCTCAAGGAGGCGCCAACCCGCAAGGGCTGCAGCTCCCGCACGCCAACCAGGCCAAGGGTGCGTCCCCTCGTTCCTCTTTCCCACCAGTCGGACTGCACGGAGCAGGTCCGTCCTGCAGCACGAGGCCCACGAGGCGAGGCGGTCGTACGACCTCGCCCCCCCCTCCACACCGATGAGGCCGAGAGCGTGAGGGGCACAGCAGGCCGTGGCGGCCATGCAGGAGCACTCACTGACAAGCTCCCCTCTTCCCCCTCCTTGCAGGCAAAGGACCCGCTCGCGGCACCTCGGCCGGGTGCGTCCCTCTGCTCCCTCGTCTTCTCACGGCAGCGACTGACACCTGTGCCCCCCTCGTCGACAGCCCCGACGGCGGCGCAAATGGCGCGCCCGAGCAGCCGTCTCGAGCCACCGACGTCGACTCGCTCATGGACGCCGTCGGCGCAAGCGGTGTCGACCTCGGCGTGCGTCACCGCTCCTCCTCCTCTCGCCGCCCTCCCAGACCTCGTCGCTCACTCCAAGCTCTCCCGATCAGGCCGAGGAAGAGTCGCTGCGCGCGACCAACGATCGGCTCCAGGCGCAGGCCATGAACGCCGCCGGGTCGAGCGGCGGTCCGCCCAACCCGCACGCCTACACCGGCATCGACCGCTCGCGCAAGCAGGACTTTATCGACCCGAGCCTACTCGCCGAGTGCGTCAAGAAAGTCGGTGCGTCCCACCCTCCTCTTCCTCCCCAGTCGTGCACTCTCTGCCAGCGTCGACGACAAACGGAGCCTGACCTGCCTCGCCCACTCTCTCCCTTCCGCCGCGACAGCCGCCGCCTTCCAGCTCAAGACGCTCGAGCCCGACACGATCCCCCTCATCGCGCTCGCGACACGCGCCCGCCTCATGTCGCTCGTCAACTCGTCCATCGCCGCGCGCGACCACCGCCAGCAGGCGTCGCACTTCCGCGTCCCGCCGTTCGTCGCGCCGAATCCGCGCAAGCGGCGGCGACGGAACCCGATGGACGGCGAGGTGGACGAGATCATGGACGGCGACGGCGACGACGACGACGTCGAGATGGACCACGGCGGCGCGGGCGAGTCGAGCGTCAAGGTCCCGGCGTGGGACACGCTCGTGTACGACGAGCCCGAACGGCTCCTTGCCGTGCTCAAGCGCGTCGAGACGGCCGAGGAGATCAAGACCAAGCGCGACCGGCGCGAGCGGGATCAGCGCGAGCTCGAGGAGCAGCAGCTCGCCGAGGCGCTCGCGGCGAGCGAGGCGGCGCGCATCGAGCTCGAGGAGCAGGAGAAGGCCGAGGCGCGCAAGGAGGCGCTTGACGACGAGGGCGGCGGCGGCGGAGCGTCGAAGAAGAAGAAGCCGGCCGGCGGCGAGGCCAAGGGCAAGGGCAAGGGCAAGGAGCTCGCCGGTGGCGCCGCACCGGCGACGCCCGGCGGCAAGGGCTCGGGCGCCGGGGGCGCCGACACGCCATCGCTCGGCAAGGACGGCAAGCCCAAGAAGAAGAAGAAGGCCAAGGCGGGCGACGACGGCCCGAGCGGCACGAGCACGCCCGCACCCGGCGGCGGCGCAGGCGCATCCGCACTCAAGAGCAGCCTCGGCCCGGGCAAGTTCGGCACCGAGGACATCAAGAAGCGGCTCGCCGACCAAACGGCCATGCGCTCGCTCGGCGGCCGCACCTTTTCGTGGCTCAACAACGGGCCCGTCGGCTCGCCGACGCCGGGCGGCGCAGGGCCGAGCACGCCCGGCGGCCTCCTGCCCAAGGCCAAGTTTGGCGGCGGCGCGCAGGGTTCGCCGATGCCGCAGCCCAACTTTGCGCCGAACGGCGCGGGCGTCGGCGGCGCTGCGTCGACCTCGAAGCTCAACCCGGCCAACTCGTCGGACCAAGGCGGCGCTCGAGGGCAGCAGCCGCAGGACGCTGCGGCGACCGACCTCATGGTGTCGAAGCTCAACGTGCCGCAGATGACGGACGCGCAGCGCACGCGCACGGCGCGCGACGAGTGGGCGGCCGGGCAGCGGGTCGTCGAGGCGCAGGACTTGCTGTTCGCGCTCGACCGCGAGCGGGGCATGGGCACGGGTCGGGGCAGCGGGAGAGGAGCAGCGGTGCGAGGGCGGGCGGGCATCATGAGGGGAGCGTACCGCGGCGGCGCAGGAGGCGGAGGAGGACCGCCTTACGGGAGGTGAGCGAGGAGAGAGCGCGCAGCTGTTGTAGACAAACCGGAACGCCTGGTGCTTCGAGCGCGCATGTCTTGATGCTTGTCCCAGCCGTGCGAGAGTCCCTGCTCTGCCCAGCGAGAGAGGCCGTCGAGAACACTCGCGAGCGAGTTGGGCCGTTTGGCCGGCACCCGCTCGTGGTTCGACATCTCGCACCTCTCGACAGGTGACGCTCAGCTAGCTCGCCAAGCTTCGCAGCAGCTCCAGTTCGACCTCTTCATGGTGCGCCCTTGTCCCCAGCGTTCGCGCCCGAGCCAAGCCCTGATCAGCTCTCCTCCCCTCCCCTCCCCGTCTCTCGCCTCTCCCTGCAGTCCAACTACGGCGGCTATCACGGCGGCGGCGGTGGCGGTGGATACGGAGGTGGCTACAACGGCGGGTACGGTGGAGGAGGCGGCGGCGGCGGCGGCTACGGCAACCGTGGGTACGGCGGCGGAGGAGGGGGCGGAGGAGGGTACGGCAGGAAGCGCGGTCGCGGTGCGCTCTGCCCTCCCACCACGAATCTCACCCACGACGGGAACTGACTGTCTTTCCCGCGCACGCAGAGGAGGACGAGGGCTCGCCCAACTACCGCCGTCGCCAGGACGAGCGCGGCAACTTCCAGTCGTCGCCGGGAGGACGGCGCGGCGAGTACCCGGGTGGGCCTGGAGGCGGCTACGGCGGCGGTGGGCGTGGCTACTACGAGCGGCAGCAGGCGCCGCCGAGCCTCGAGGCGCAGCGGACCCGCTTCAAGGAGACGCTGTGGAAGCTCGGCACCAGCCCGGTGCGTCCTCCTGTTCCTCACACTCTCTGTGCGAGGATCTCATTGACCCGACTCGACGCGCGTAGAGCTACGACCCGATCGTCGACCTCCCCTCGCTGGCCGAGGACATCCAGAGCTGGTACTTCCGCGACAAGGAGATCGTCTTCCTCGCTTTCCGTGCTGCGTGAGCTGCCTCTCCTACCCTCGAATCCTCGAGCGACCTGACTAACCTCGAGGACGACCTACAGCATCTCGGAGCTGCCCCACAAGCTCCCGCACTACGCCGCCCTCATCGCCCAGCTCTCGCTGAAGCCCGTCGCGCCCGCCGTTCCCGGTCCGCCTCGTTCAGCACCCGAGGGCGCAAGGCCCGCACCGCCTACGGCAAACCTTCCGGCCGCCCCGGGCCTGCCCGTTCGCCCCGTCGGCGTCGACGGCGAGGCAGCCCCCGCTTCGAGCGAGGCTGCGGCGGCTCGCGATGCCGCAGACGGCGAGGCGCAGGAGGACGACGCGCAGGACAAGGTCAACGTCGGCAAGGAGGTCGTCCAGGACTTGACCAAGGCGTTCCAGCAGTTCCTCGACGAGCGCAAGTGGAAGAGCGTCCGGTACTGCGTGCGTCCCCTCCCTCTCCCGCTCTCCTCCCCCCCCCTCCTCTCTGTCGTCGCAGGACTGACGATCGTGTCCTCACGCAGGTCATCCTGTTCGCCCACCTCACCCGTCTCCCGGCCTCGAGCCCCGTCATCTCGACCTCGTCGCTCGTCAACCTCCTCACCTCGTTCGTCGCCGTCCTCGACGAGCCCGGCCTGCGCGCTAGCCGCGGCGACGAGTGCGCGCGCATCATCGTCGAGGCCCTCCTGCGCCTCGACGCCTCGACGCTCGCCGACCCGTCGATCGACACGCTGCGCGACGGCGTCCAGGCGTACCTGTCGTCGAGGCGGATCGAGCGCGAGCTGTTCGCCGAGCGCGAGCACCAGGCGCAGTGGAACGACTCGCTCGAGCAGCTCGTCACGGCGCTCTCGTCGGCGTCGTCGTCGTCCGACTCGGAGGGCATCTTCCCGGTCTCGGCCGTCCTCCCCAACCCGTTCTCGGCGCTCGAGCTCGCCCCGGCCGATACGGACGACGCGGCGCCGGCCATCGTCGACAACCCCGACGCGCTCACGTTGCCGCTCGTGCTCGTCCCGCCCGAGAGCGACGAGGGCGACCTGACGCTCAGCGCTGGCTCGGGCACGCACGCCATCCCGCCGCCGCCGATCAGCGCCGGCCTGCGCGGTGACGAGGGCGTCGGCTACGACGGCACGAGGTTGACGCTGCGCCTCTTCGACGACGAGGTGCGCTTCGTGTTTCCCTTTCTCTCGTGCGTCTCGCACGAGCGGGCCCTGACCTCGTCTCCCCACCGGCTCCTGCAGTCGGTTCCTTCGCTCTACGACCCGGCCGGCATCGTCGTTCGGTCGCTCATCGCCGACCTCATCTCGCTGTACGAGACGAACCGCAAGGACGCGGCGACGCTCCTCCTCGAGCTGCCGCACTGGTTCCTCAAGGGCACGTTCAAGCCTGTCGGCTCGGCCAAGCAGCAGCCGGCGCAGCGCGGCGACGACGAGGACGAGAAGATGGCGCAGGAGGACAAGGTCGAGACGGGCCCGCAGTGGTCGCTCGAGAACCTGTTCGTCGAGGTGCGCCTCCCGCTTCCTCTCCTTCTCGCGCCCTGTCCTCATCCTCTCCCTCGTGCCCTCGTGCCGAATCGAGTCCCTGACACGTCTCTCTGTCGCGCAGTCGATCGTGTCGTCCATCCTCGCCCTCCCGTCGCCGCCGCACACGAGCATGTACTACTACTCGCTCCTGTGCGAGCTGTGCCGCGTGTCGCCCACGACGGTCGCGCCCTCGCTCGGCAAGTCGGTCCGCAAGCTGTACGCCGGCCTCAACGCGTCGACCGCCTCGGCCGACACGCCGTCGCTCGACGCCGAGGGCGTGCGCCGGTTCGCCGACTGGTTCGCCGTCCACTTGTCCAACTACGGCTTCATGTGGGGATGGGCCGATTGGGCGAGCGACATGGTCGACGTGTCGGACAAGCACCCGCAGCGCGTGTTCGTCAAGCGCACGATGGACCTCGAGATCCGCCTCAGCTACTTCGACCGCATCAAGAACACGGTCCCCGGGTCGATGCTCGACGCCGGCGTCTTCCCCGACGAGGCGCCCGGCCCCGACTACGCGTACGAGGACGAGCGTGAGTCGTCCTTGCCGCTTCTCTATCCGGCCCGTCTCGACTTGAGCCGTTTTACTGACTCGAGCTCTGCCTCTCGCCCTCGCAGAGCACACGCACTACGCCGCCGCATCCGCCTTCCTGCGCCTCATCCGCGCCAAGGCGCCCATCTCGGAGGCCGAGGACGAGCTCGCGTCGTTCCAGAAGGCGCTCGAGTCGGAGCGCGGCTTGTCGACCGCCGAGGCCGACAAGGTCAAGCGCGACCTCGCCGTCCAGACGGTCCTCAACGTCGGCTCGCGGTCCTTCTCGCACTTCCTCAACGCCCTCGAGCGGTACCTCACCCTGCTGCGCGGCCTCACGTCGTCGGCCTCGGCGCGCCAGGACCTCCTCACGACGGTCGCCGCGTTCTGGCGCCGCCACCCGCAGTTCCACCTCATCGTGCTCGACAAGCTCCTCCAGTACCGCCTCGTCGACACGCGCGACGTGACGGCGTGGGTCTTTGCGCCGGCCGACGAGCAGCCGGGCGCGAGGACCAAGACGTGGAGCGACATCGACCTGTGGCAGATGCTCCAGGTGACGCTGCGCACGGTCCAGTTCCGCGTCGACTCGGCGAGGGCGAGGCTCGAGGGCTTCAGGCGCGAGGACGAGGCGCGAGGAGCCGAGGGCGGCGGCGAGGAGCTTGACGCCGAGGGCGGTGCGTCCTCACCTTTCTCTCTCTCTCTCTCTCTCTCTCTCTCTCAAGATCCGCCACTGACATGCCTCTCGCTTCCTCTCTTCCCTCTTCCTCAACGCCTCTTCCTCGACGAGCAGACGTCGCCGTTCGCGACGCGCAGGACAACCCCGAAATCGCGTCGGCGGCGTCGTACCTGGCCGAGTCCGAGGCCGAGCAGGCCCAGACGCTCCTCGAGATCCTCGGGCACTTTGCCAAGCTGCTCCCCTTCAAGAACGCCGACGAGGCCAAGGACGAGAAGGACGGCGAGGCCGGCGAGGACGAGTGGGAGAGGTGGTGGACCCTCGGATGGGTGCGCGAGTTCTGCCGCTCGGTGCGTCCCTCTCTCTCTCTCTCTCTCTCCCTCCCTCTCCTTGCTGCGCTCGCCACGTCGGCGCTTCCACCGGAGCGACAGCCGAGAACTGACGAGTCGGACGCACACCCGCAGTGGCTCACGCACAAGCACCTCATCGCGCCGACGCTCTCGAACGGCATCGACCAGCTCGACCTCGGCTCGACGTCGCCCGCCGTCCAGGCCATCGTCGACGCCGCCAAGGCGTGGCACGACTTTGCGTGAGCTCTGAGAGTTTGGGCGGCAGAGCGTGCGACGAGGCGAGGCGAGGGGTGCGTGCGGGACGCGGCGGTTCTGAAAAGCGTGCGAGGCGTGCAACTTTTGTCTTTCTCTCTCGTTCTAGCTCTCGCCGAGCGTCCTCGAGAGCGAGTCGATGAGTGATATGCAGAGAGAGAGAGATAATTCTCGTTCTACCTCTAGCCACCGCCGCTCCTGTCCTTGGCCGCGCTCGCACCCGCCCTCCTCCCCTCGCCGACGCCCAAAAAGGCCTCGTACACGGCCCAGCCGATGCCAGCGCTGCCAGCCTTGCGGCACACCCTGAGCGCGCCGCCCTCCCAGAAGCCGCGGATGCCGCTCGTGCGAAAGATGCGCGCCGCCGAGCCGGCGAGCGTCGTGTACGTGTCGGGCGACAGCTGGCGGCGCGTCTTGAGGACGTCGAACGGCGTCGTGAGGAGGGTCGACGCGAGAGAGGCGGCGGCACCTGTGTGGAAGGGAGGGCGCGAGATGAGCTCGAGGGAAAGGACGAGAGAAAAGGGGAGGAGGGGACGCACCTGCGACGCCACCGCCGATCGCGCCCTTTCCGCCATCGCCCGCCACGCCAATGATGCGCCTCCCGCGCTCGTAGAAGACGATGAAGAGCCCTGCGCCGGGCGCGTCGCGCAGCGCGGTCGGGACGGCGCCGCGCCACAGCGAGCGGATCCCGCCCGAGGCGTACAGGGTGCGCAGCGCGGTAAAAGTCGAGGGCTTGACGAGCGTGCGAGGGCCCGAGGTGGATGATGCGGGGAGCGACAGGGTCGACTGCGAGGGCGAGGGGCGAGAGCTGAGCTGGGAACAAGAGGAAGAGAGAGGGCGAGAAGGGGGGACGCACCTCCGAGATGGTTTTGAGGAGGGTGAAGGGCGTGAGGACAAAGCCGACCGCAGTGCGTGCCGTGCTACCGACGAGGAGGTCGCCGACGGGCGTCAACTTGGCCTTGGTGCCGGGCGCAGGTAACGGCGCGCCTTTTGGTCGAAAGAGGGTCGTGTTGCCCATGAAGGTGCGCAACCGCGACAGCGACAGGAAGTAGAGCGAGACGCCGGGAACGTTGCTGTGTGCGTCGAGGGGTAGGGGAAAGTTAGATTCGGGGGCGCGCTGAGGGCACAGATCTCGACAGGAACGAGGGAGGGGAAACGAGGGCGCACCGGTACAAGGTCGGCACGGTCCCTCGCCACAGGCCTCGCACGCCGTCGTTGCGCACGACGTCCTTTGCGGTGGTCCAGATGCGGGCGCGCTCGACTTTGGCGGGCGGAACGGCGACGGGCTTGGTGGGTGCGGCCCCGCCCGACGAGGACGAGTCGATGGCGGAGCGCGAGGTCGAGGCGACGGGCGGAGCTGGATCTTGCTGGACGCGGGTCTTGATTACTGTGGAGGGGCATGGGAGGGTCAGTTCGGGTCCTCGTGGGCCACAGGGAGCGAGAGGGGACGTACGATCGAGAGGTTGCAGCATGAAGACGCTCGCGGCGCCCGACACGGCACCGCTCGCGAGGTGCCACGCTGCGGGGAGCTGGGTCTTGGCCGGTGCAGCCTCGGACGAGACTGGCGGGTCCAGGGCGGTGGACGCAGAGGTGGCCATGAGCCGATGACGGGGGACGAGGCGAGGGCGAGAGATGAAGTCGGATGGCGCAACGGCAACGGCTCGAGTAGGAGTGCAACTGCTGCAGTGTGCTCTGGCGAGGTTGCTCTAGCGGGTAGAGGTGCACGCGCGTCGGCTGAGCGCGTGTGGCAAGCTGTTGGACGCTGACCCTCGGCCGTCTCCTCCCCCGCACCTCGCTCGGCTCGCGCTCGCCCTCTGCCTCTCGCTGCTAGCTCTGGGCGACTCTCTGCTGCAGCTGGCTGCGCTGCACCTGACCCTGAACACCCTGCTGTCACCCTCGCTCCCTCGCGGTCGAGCCGTCTCTCCTCTCCTCGGCTCTCGCACTCTGCTCGCTCTCGGGCACCGTCGCACGACGCTAGAACAGCTACACAGCACTGCGTTGCACGTCGAGAAACACTTCGCCTCGCTGCCGCTCCTCAGTCGACGTCGCCGGGCGACTTGCGCTCCAACGCCGGGTCGAGCCTCAAGCGCTGCTCATCCGACATGTCGCTCCGCCGCAGCGCCTCCACCAGGCGCTTGTCCGACAGCCGGACGAGAGCGAGCGCCTCGGCGGGCTGAAGCTTGGGCGTCGGCGACACGACCTGGTACATGATGGTCGCCGCCACGAGGTGCTGCCGCAGGACCGCGTTGAGGACGGTAAACGGGCTGCGGCCGGCGTAGATCGCGTCGACGACGTGCGTTGCCGTCTGCTCGACGTCGTTGCTGCCGTGGGCGAGGGAGCTGGACCGCACGGTCCAGGCGTCGGCCTTGTCCGCGAAGATGCGCCATGGCGAAGGCGACACGGCCACGCGCGGCGGGTCCACCTTGTCCGCCTTGCCCAGACGGCGGTGCGCCGTGAGGAGCGCGTCGAGGCGCAGGAACTCTCCGAGCGGCTCGGCGTGGGCGTCGCTGCGCAATCTGTCGGCGAAAGCCTGTGCGACGTCGAGCGCATGAGTGCGGGGCCGGGGCTGAGAGTGCCCGGGACAGATGTGGACGCACAGGCCAGCTGATGTCCATCTGCGTGAGAAAGTTCGAGCCATCTGGGCAGACTGGCTCGTCTTTGACCCGCTCGAGCTGCGTGATCTCCTTGGGCGACATGGGCGGCATGAAGAACGTGTCGAGGTCGCGGCCGCACAGGACCTTGTGCGTCGGCCACAGCTGCACGGTGGAAGGTCAGCTACCTCGGCGAGTTGACGGGAGACTCGAGGGAGAGGGGACGCACGAGAGACTGGCACTCGGGAGAGCAGAACTTGAGCGCCTTGCAGGCGCCACAGCGTAGCGAGCCCGGCTTGTCGCACACGGCGCACAGGCCGGCGAACGATGCAGACGACGTGCTCATGCTCGAGCGAGAGAGCAAGGGAGCTGCGAGAGTGAGGCGAAGGCGGGAGAGAGAGGTCGGGCGCGCGCCGGCGAGCAAAGGCCGAACCGTCCGCGGCGAGTCCGGTTTGGCGAGGCTCGAGCGCTCACTCGAAGCTCGAATACGAGCTGAACTCTCAGATGCACAGCGCAGACGAGGCAGGGGATGCGTGCACTGCGCTCAGTCGTACTCGTCGTCCTCCTCCGCCTTGCGCTTGACCCCTCCTCCCGCGCCGTTCGCTCCCGGCCCGCCCTGCATCGGCAGCCCGTCCGTCACGTCCTCCATCTCCTCGTCGTCGTCGTCCTCATCCTCGTCCTCCTCGTCGTCGTCATCGCCAAAGAGCCCGCCGCCGCTCCCGCCCGCCTCGCTCCCCTCGGCCGTCTGCAGGCCCGTGTCGGTGCCCGTCGCGCCGTCGCCGCCCGCCGCACTCGCGCCTGCACTGCTCCCGCCGCCAAAGATGGCCCCACCGAGGTCGGCGAGGTCGTTCGAGCCGTTGCCGAAGCCCTCGAGGGCGCTGCCCGGCGGAGGAGGTGGTGCGGCCGAGCGGGGGACGAGGGTGTAGTTCGGGGCGGTGAGGCGTTGTGCTGGAGGGGGAAGGCGGATGCCGTACACCTCGTTGAGGGTCGGGAGCGGGACCGAGTTGACGGTCGTGGCGAGCTGGAGGAGGAACTGCGAGAGAGGAGATGGCGAGGTAGGTCAGCGAGGTATCGACGGGCGCGGCCGATCAGAGAGCGGTGGACGCACCTCCTTGGGCACCTGTGCACCTTCTGTCCGGGCCTGCACCGCTAGTCGCACGTCCTCGATGCTCGGGACGACAGGCGCGGTCGACGACGACCCGGACCGCGCGTGCTCGGCGTACAGGAGCGAGTCGGTGAGGATGTCGCTCGTGTAGCCTGTGTGGATGAGACTGTGAGTCTTCGTACCGCGCACGCCTCAGCTCTCCTGCCCGTCGCTGTGCAAGCGACGGGGAGGGGAGCAAGGGCAGGGGACGAGGAGACTCACGATGAGCGAACTCGACGAGCATGCGCACGACGCCCTCCTCGCAGTCCTCTGCACCGGCTGCAGCGAGGATCAAGGCGATCAGGCGGGCATCTCGAGGGAGGACGGGCGCGGCGTCGGGTCGGGGAGCTGGGGGCATAGATGAGGACGAGGAGCGAGGCGAGGGGAGCTCGGGGCGGGCTGGGGATAGGCCGTGCGGGGTACTGAGCTGGGCTAGAAGGTGTTGAGGGTGCTGCTCAGGCAGCTGGGCCAGAGGCGGTGGGTGGACGGATCCGACTCGCCCGCCTTCCCCTCGTCGTCCTCGTCGACTGCGTGCGAGCCCGCGCATCTTCCTCTGGCCGCTTTTGAGCCATGCAATAGCAATCTCAAGCTCTCTCTTTATCCTTCGACAGCCGCGGCACGGGTCAGAGAGCCACTTCTCCCTCCTCTCCTCCTCGTCCCGCTCAGAGCGCGTTCGCAACGGACTCTCGAGGTCGTCGTGGACAGCTTTGCGCTCTCGAGTTGGTCTCTCGAGGGACGCACGCGAAGAAGAGAGGACGAGCGGGCTGTGCCGCCAATGCAGAACTGAAAGAGAGGCAGCGCCGGAGCGCGCACCGGGGAGGAAAGCTACAAGAGCAGAGCGCGCGAGGCTATGATGCGTGGATACAGAGTGTCGGCGAGGCGCGCACGAAGGAGAGGAGGGAACAAGACGGGACGAGGGGGAAAGGGGGGAGAAGAAGGGGGTATCTAAGGCTCGACGACGCGCGACGAGCGAGAGGTGGACCGGCCGTGCGCTCGCTCGCTCACGCGAGCACGTCGGTCAACTTGGCGACGCACACGCACACGACGGCCCACGCGACGACGACGACGCCCGTGACGAACTCGGGCGCGCGCGACACCTTGAACGGGCTCGCCGTCTTGAAGTGGTGCTTGGGCCGCGCGACGTGCGAGTAGTGGTCCCGGATGAGGAACGACTCGCGGGGCTCGGTGAGGAGGTGCGAGGGGAAGAGGAGGCAGATGCTGCGGGGCGGCGAGGACGAGAGGTCAGTCTCGGGCGAGGAGGGAGAGGGAAGGCAGAGAGAGACGCACAAGGGGACGAAGGACGCAAAGAGGAACTCGCTCCACAGAAGCGTCGGCCAGGCGATGGTGAGAAGGACCGTCACTGCGAGGGAGGGAGAGAGGAGAGAGTCAGTCCCGAACTCACTCGAGGGAGGGAGAGAGGAGGGAAGGAAGAGAGAGAAAGAGAGAGAGAGGGGACGCACAGAGAGCCTGGTGGCGGTCGGTCGTGCCGTGCTCGTAGTCGCGCACGATGCGCCAGATGGCGACGCCGAACGCGGCGAGGAACGCAAACATGGTCGACACGAGCGGGTCGATTGCGGCCCACCCGAGGCGCTTGTACCACTTTTCGCGGACCGGGTGCGCGACGACCTCGTTGATGTGGAGGTCCGACGTGCGCGCCTTGTAGCCGCCGAGCCGACGAGGGAGGACGAGGCGCACGAGGGCGACGCCCTGGTACGGCGCGGCAAAGATCCACGCCTGGAGGACGCGCCGAGGCGAGGGCAGGCCGGTCGACCAGCACCACACGACCTCATGCAGCTTGTTGAGGAGGACCATGATGAGCGTGACCTGGAGGAGGCGGTTGAGGTTGCTCAGGTTGGGCGTGAGGACGAGGATCTGTGGCGGTGCGAGGAGAGGAGGATAGGGAGGAAGGTCAGTCCCGGGGGCCCGTGCGACAACGGGCAAAGAGGGAACGAGGGGACTCACGCCGCCAAAGGTGAACATGAACGGGTAGACGTAGGCGAGGAGGAGGACGACGACGCCAAACAGGGGCAGGAGCGCCTTGCCGATCGCCTTGAGGCGGGCGCCGAACGGCATGAGCCGGGTCTTGTCGCCGCGGATGAACCAGCCGAGGCGGTGCGCCGTGCGCAGCGGACCGAGGCGGTTGACCATCATGGCGCCGATCTGGGACGCGTACGTCGGCTTGGCCATGCCCCACTGGAGCACCTCGTCGACCTGCTGCACCTGGTACCCGCGCCCCTGGAGGAGCGCCTCGCACTGGCCGTCGTGGATCCACGACGCCGATGGGAAGCCGCCGATCTCGGTCAAGGCGGCACGGCGCAGGAGGAAGCCCGAGCGCGTGTCGGCCGGCGTCTCGCACGCCGTGAGGAGCGTCGCCGTCGGCTGGTTGACGCGGTGCGGGAGGTTGATGAACCCTCGGCGCGTCTTGACGAGCCCGACCTTGTTCTCGCCGAGGATGTGCGGCAGGACGGCGCGCAGGTAGTTGCGCTCGGGAATCATCTGCGGGCGGCGGGTTGAGAAGGTCAGGGACTCGGTCGACGACGACGACGACTGCGCGAGAGAGGGAGAAAGGAGAAGCTCACGTCGGCGTCAAACACGGCGATGAACTCGGCCGGGCCCTTGATGCCGAACGACGCCGCCTCGACCATGCCAAAGTTGATCGAGTTGGCGGCCGTCGTCGCCGCCGTCTCGATGCCGCGCGCGCCGCTGCTCTCGCGACGCTGCTGCCCCTCCTGCATAAGCTTGGGCGTCTTCTCGTCGCTCGAGTCGACGACGACGCTCGAAGGGGCGGCGCCGAGCTCGCGGCGATGGTACGACAGGTGCGGCGCCGCCTGCGACTTGGCGTGGCGCGTCAACTCGCGCTCGAGGTTGGCGCTCGCGAGCGGGTCGAGGACCATGACGCGGTACCGGTGCGGCGGGTAGTCCATCGACGCAGCGGCGACCGCGCAGTCGAACACGGTCTGGTCGGCCTGGCCCGACGAGACGACAAAGACGTCGACCGAGGGCAGGTTGTGGTCGCCGCGCAGGCGCAGCTTGGGCTCGGTCGACCGAGGGCGGTACGTGAAGACGGTCCAGATCGAGTGTACCGTCATGAGGAGGGTGACGACCGTCTCGAGCGCGAGGTAGCACCACCCGCCGACAAAGACGCCGGGCCGCCTGCGCTCGACGATGCGCATGGCGCCGAGGCGCACCCACAGGTAGACCCAGCTCGACGCGCACGCGAGCAGGACCGTGACGAGCGCGACCTTGGTCGCCCACTTCTTGGCGCGCGTCTTGAAGCTGCGGCCGAGGGTGCCACCCGGTGCAGGGTACACGGGGAGCGCGACGATCGAGGGCCGCTGGAGCGCGAACGCCTTGTCGCTCGCGCCGAGGTGCTCGGTGCGCCACCCGCCGGGCCCGCCGTCGCCGTGCGAGTCGCGCTTGGCGAACGAGAAGGCGCGCCCGAGCTCGCTGTTGGACGTGTACGCCGGAGCGGCCGACTTGAGCGACGAGCTCGAGCGGGTCGGGAACGAGAAGGCCGGGTTGAGCGTCGGGCCGCCGCTCGACGGCGTCGCCGGCGGCGAGTCGTCGCCGCCCGACGAGGCCTCGCTGAACCGACGGGGCCACTGTGAAGGAGAGAACTGTGTAAGTCACTGAGGTCGCCTCCGCGCCGGACGAGAAAGAGAGAGAGAGGGAGACGCACCTCTCCACCGCGAACGTCCTCGCTCCCCCTCCTCGCGTCGTGCTCCCTCAACTGGCTCGCGATGCTCATGATGTCGAATTCGAGCGGCGGGAGCTGGCTCGCGCCGTACTGCTGCTGGTGCTGGTGCGACGCGGCGGCGATGCTCGGGTTGCGCGCGGCGCGCACGGCCGCGAGCGGGTCGTGTCGGCGCGAGTAAGCCTGCGGGCGAGGGAGCTGCGTGTCAGTAAGACCGCATCGAGAGAGAGAGAAGGAGGGAGAGAATGAGAGACGCACCGGCAGGCCGCCCTCGCCGCTCAAGCTGCTCGCCCGTCCCTCGTACGTGCCGCCGGGCCCAAACACCTCGGTGCCGCGCGTGCGGTCCTGGTGCTCGCGCTGGCCCTGGAGCATCTCGACGCTCGCGAACGCCTCGATCGGGGCCCGGGTGCGCGCCGGCTGCAGCGGGAGGATCTTGGCCGCGCTCGTCGCCGCCGCCGCCGATGAGGGAGGGACCTGCTGGGCGTGCGGGCCGTACGTCGCCGAGGTCGGGCTCGCGAGCGGCGACGAGAGCGAGATGCTCGGGTTGCGCGCGTGGCTCGACCGCTGGCGCATGTGGCCGCGCTGCTCGGTCGGCGGCGAGCGCACGGGCGAGCACGGCGGGAGCGGCGCGAACGTCGTGGTGCCGCCCGTCAGGGCACGCGGCGTCGACGCGGCGCCGCCGCTCCCGCTGCCGGGGACGGGCGGCGCGTTGGCCGCCGAGTGGGCGTAGTGGAACGAGGGCGTGAGCGGGTCGATCTGGGACGGGCGGCGATCAAAGTTGAGGGTCGCGATGTCGTCCTCGTCGTGCGGGACCGGGACCGGCGGGCCCTTGGACGTGCTGCGCTCGCGGCGCGACGACGACGGCGGCGTCGAGGGGACGGTGCGGCCGCGGGCAAACTCGCCGCGGTTGGTGGGCGAGATCGGGTCGTCGCTCGTCGCCGAGCGCAGCGGCGGCGGGGCGTGCTGCTGGCGGCTCGACGAGGGGCGCACGTCGACGGCCGAGGCGGACGTGACGAGTTTCGGGGGCTGAGGGTGGTGGAACGCCGTGCGGGTGGGGGACGGCGAGGGCTCGCCGAGGTCGTCGACCGTGACGGACGGGGCGGGCTTGCGGCGCGACGAGGTCGGCGACGGCGGCTTGTCCTTTGGGCCGACGGCGCTGTCGGTCGTCGTCACGGGCGGGACCGAGGTGGGCGAGACGAGGAGGGGCGAGGGCGGGTTGTGCGGCACGCTGGTGCGCAGGGCGTCGGGCGAGTGCTGCTGCTTGTTGGAGTGCATGGCGAGGGTGGGTGTCGGGTCAGGCTAGGTGCCGAGGTGGTAGTGGTGGTGCGAGAGGCGGCGAGGCGGTGGTTGAAAGGAGAGTGGATGCCGGATGGGCGAGAAAGGGGGGGGGAGCACGGGGACCAGCTCGTGCGTGTGCGTGCGTGCGTCGGGTGCGGTAGTCTGCTGCACAGCAGGAGACGGTGCGGCACTGCTCGCTCGCGGTCGGCGTCGGCGAGAGTGAGGAGGGAGGGACGGAAGGAGGGAGACGTGGGAGGGGAAGGTGGCTGGCGGTGCGACGGGCGGGCGCGAGGGGTGCAGGGGGCGACGAGGCCCGCGTTCATGGCCGGAACGGGCGACGAGAAGCTGGTCGACGAGACGGCCGGACATTGCTCCGCCGGTTTGGGAAGGCGCCCGACTCGGGCGAGGCTGGACGAGGCAAGACGGCGGCGCGGTCGAATGGCTGTACGGTGCCGCTTTGCTCGCTGGCGCCAACAAGCCGGACGTGTCTCGCACCTGCAGGCAATCGAGAGCACGCGGGCCTGAGTGCGGCTGCGGCGGAGGCGGACGAGAGAGAGTGTGAGTGCGAGAGGCGACGCACCTCGAGACGACGGCGGCAGCTGCGGTGGGTTGCAGGGTGCGCGTAGTACGGCTGTGGACTGCTGCAGGACGAGCTTGTCGGTAGAGAGGCGGGCGAGAACCAGAGTTGGTCGCCGTCGGGCGGGCAAGCCGGGCAGCACCAAGTCCTCCTCATCCTCTCCTCCAACACAGCCTCGCCCCCCCTGCTCGAGCAAGACTCGCACCAGCTGCCACCCACACCAACGACCCGACCACCCTGGCACCCAACGCACCCGCCTCTGCTGCAGCCGCCCCGGCACACTGCCCCGCTCTCGTCTCCCCCGCCCTCGTCGCCAAACCACACCCCAACAGCTCCCCGCCAGCCGACATGGCTCGCCTCGACGACCCTCCAACCGCACCAGGTGAGCCCCGTCAACCGCCTCCCCCGCTCGCGTGTGACCGAGCACGAGGGCCAGTCGAGGATCAACATCCGATGAGGGCCCACACTCGCTCCCCTACCGCCCCTGTGCACCCCTCGTTGGGCCACCGAGGACTGGCACTGCCTGTCGACGCACTTGAGCGCAGCCGTCGGGCACTGCGGGCGACGGTCGCCTGACTCGTCCCCTTGCGGGTTGTCCGCCGCCGATCTCGCCGCCCGGCTCGCTCCACTAGCACCCACAGCCACTCGGCGAGCGCCTCACGACCCTCACTGACCCTCGAACGTCCACCGCAACAGGTTCCGTCGACCCTCCACCGCGACTGAAAACCACCGCCGCCGTCGACTCGCCCGACCTCGAACCCCCCACACCGGGTCACCCTCCGCTCGGCGCCGTGTCGCCCCCCTCGACCTCGACCCCGCCGCCAGACAAGCTCACGACCAGCCCCGACGCCCTGTCCGACCTCAGCTCGCCCCCGACGAGCGCCACCTCGCCCATCCCCCCTCTCGCGTCCCCGCCCAAACCTCGTCACCTCCCGCCGCTCGACCTCCCTGCCACCTCGTCGTCCTCGCCCGCGACTTCGCCCGGCCCGGCGAGCCCGAGCGCCGCCTCGCCGCACCACTCGCGCCCGACGAGTCGCCCACCTTCGAGCTCGAGGAGCCGCCCGCCGTCGCGCCCGCCGAGCCGCCCGCCGAGCCTCACGCGCCCGCCGAGCGTCTCGCGCCCGCCGAGCGTGACCCGCAGGCGCTCGTCGGCCTCGACGACGACGGCCGGCGCGGCGGGTGACTCGCGCAGACTGAGCGCCGCGTCGGCCGGCAACGTCCCGCCGGCGTCCCCCCGCATCCCCGAGGACTCGGTCCTCCTCGCGTCGTCCACCTCGTCCTCGTCCGCCGCCGCCGCCGCCGACCCGGCCCCGACGCCCGCCGAGATTGTCGCCGACGTGCCCGGCGGCCCGACGGCCGACGACAACGAGGTGCCCGTGCTCGTCATCCGCGACTATGCGTTCGCGCGCGACGACCCGCGGTTCGAGGGCCGGCAGCTGCCCGAGGAGGTCGAGGCCGAGCGCGAGCGCGAGAGGAGGTTTCGCGCCGAGCGCGAGGAGGGCGAGAGGCTGGGCGCGCAGGGGTTGGGAGGCGCTGCGGGCGGCGGTGGCGCGAGCGGGTCGGGCTGTGCGTCGCCTCTCTCTCTCTCTCTCTCTTTGGTTTGATGAGCGTGTACTGACGACTCGGTCGCACACGCAGTCCACTGGGGCTTCGTGACGTCGCACAGCAGCGACTTTCCCCAGTCGTCCGACCTGTCCGACACGTCGTCGTCGTCGGGTTCGCCACCGGGCGGCTACGCCTTTGACGACTCGGAGCTCGCCTCGTCGTCGTCTGGCGCCGCCCTCGGGCTCGCCGACGACGACGACGATGCCGCGCTCGACGGCGAGGGCGACGGCGCGTGGACCTCGGACGGCACCGTCGACGGCGAGCTCGAGCTCGGCGAGTTTGTGCCCGGCGTGTACGCCGCCCTGTACGAGTTTGAGCCAGAGCTCGACACCGAGATGAGGCTCGAGGCCGGCGAGATGGTGAGCGTCTTTGAGCGACAGTGCGCTGGATGGGTGCGTCCTCCTTTCTCTCTCTCTCTCTCTCTCCCTCTCTCTCCCTCCTCGTGCAGCAGGACATCAACTGACTCACCGTTTCGGGTGCATCACCCTCGCAGGTCCAAGCCGGGCGCATCGTCGACTCGCGCCTGACGGGCGAGGTCGGCCTCGTGCCCGAGAACTACCTCGAGCTCGTCGAGCCCAACCCGCAGGTCGAGGCCGAGCCCGAGCCCGAGCCTGGCGTCGAGGAGCAGGGAGGGAAGGACGGAGCGGGGCTCGAGGTGAGGAACGGCGTCGAGGGCGAGAAGGGCTCGCTCGTCGATGAGCAGGGCGCAAAGCCCGAGAGCGGCGCTCTCCCTCCTCCTCCTCCTCAAGCCGAGGTCGCCGCTGCCGTCGGGTCCTAGCGCAGCTCTGTCCCTCGTCTTTCGACCGATCATCGTCCCCTCGAGATGCCGTCCCTCCTCTTTCCCCGTCGTGCACGTCCCTCTTCCCTCCTCTTTCTTCCTCATCGTCGTCCCTCCTCTCGCCGTGTCGTGCCTTGTCTGTACCCTGAGCAAGCCTCTGCAACCCTGTCCTATCGTTCCTCTCTCTCTCTCTTGCTTGATCTCTCTGAGCCCCCGTCGTCGTCGTCGTCGTCGAGCTCGAGAAGAGACAACGAGAGAGAGAAAAGCGACATGCGGCGGCAATGCAAGCGGGGCGAACGACAGAGAGAACTAGGTACACGCTCCTCCTCCTGCTCGAGAGCCCGAGCGGACGATCATGGGCCGGGCGCAGGCGCAGGGCTCGCCACTGCAGGCGTCGACGCCGGTCCGGGCGTCCCACCCGCCGCGCCCGGCGGCGGCGGCGAGCCAGCACCTCCTCCCGCCGCTCCTGCTCCACCGCCGCCGCCGCCCCCTCCGATCTTGACCTTGAGCGCGCCGGGCTTCGAGGGCGCAGGCGGCTTGGGCTTGGGCGCGGGCGCGGCGCCCATGGCGGGAAGGGCGAGGCCGCCGCCGAACGAGGTCGGGAGCGAGGCCGTCGTGTCGGTCGTCTTGGGCTGTAGGCGAGCGTGACGGTGTCAGTATCTGTGAGAGAGAAAGACGGGGCACGAGCAGACGAGGAGAGGAGGAGAGGAGGAGAGGGGAAAAGAGAGGGCGAGGGCGCACCTGGTTGAACTCGGCCCACCTCGGGCACAGCTTGCGGCTCGTCTTCATGTGGCCTCGCTGACCGCAGTTGCCGCAGATGCGCGTCGTCTCGGTCTTGATGTGCTTCTTGCCGCCGACGCCGACCTGGCCCGGCTGGATGCCGAGCTTCTGGTTCTTGCGCGCGAGGCGGCGCTCCTGGTTGCGCTTGAGCTTCTCGAGCTGCTCCTTAAGGCTGCGGGCGTACGTACGACGAGTGAGTACGTGTCGACGCTGAAAGAGAGAGGGAGAGAGGCGAGAGAGGGGACACACCGCTTGCGGCGACGCTCGTTCTTGCTCTCGTCGTCCGACGGCAGCAGCTCGTCGGCCTCGAGCTTTTCCTCGTCGACGACCGACCGTTGGTGCATGTAGGCCTTGATGACGCTCGGGTCGCGCACGATCTCGGTCTCCCACACGCCGCCGATGAGCCGCCGGATGCGGAGCGTCTTGGCCTTGCCGCCGCCGCCGCCGCCGCGCCCATCGGGCTTGCTGACGACGCTCGCGCCGTCGTCGAGGTCGACCGAGCCGGCTCGACTGCCGGGCGTCCCGGCGCGAAAGGCGGCGGGCGTGCCCGAGGCGCTCGCGGGCGTGTCGGCGGCCGAGGCGGACGCGGCCGCGCCGGCGGCGGCCTTGAGGCTCGCCTTCTTGGCGGCGATGAGGCGCCCGCGGTGGCGGTCCTCGTCCTCCTGCGTGAGGAGCGGCTCGCGCTGGGTGCTGAGCGAGTCCCACTGCGCCTTCCAGATGCGCGCGATCTCCTCCTTGTAGATGTCCTGCTGCTCCTGGACGTTGTACTTGTGCGCCGACTTGGGGCGGTTCGACATCTCGGCTGTAAACGCACGAGAGAGAGAGAGAGTGTGTGACTGAGACGCACGACTCGACGAAAGAAGGGAAAGAGCGGGACGCACCAAGTCGCTCCTCCATCGACTCGCCGGCACGGAGGAAGATGTCCTTCATGCTGACGCGCAGGAAGCTGAACGCCTCGCCTCGGCCCGACGGGTCGCCGTCGCCGTGAAGCTTGAGCATGGCCTTGTTGGCGTTGGCGTTGACGAAGTTCTTGGTCGTGATCCAGGGCGCGAGCTGCTGCTCCGTGTCGAGCTTCGAGTCGTCCTCGCCGGCGCCGCCCTCCTCGGCGCCGTTGGTGTAGCCGGCGTCTTGGAGCGTGCGCAGGCCGACCTGCATCGACTCGGCGAGGCAGACCGTCTCGGGCTCGGCCATCTTGAGCATCTCGAACTCGTTCGGGACCTGGACCGACGGCTTGACCATCCAAAAGCCCTGGTTGTCGCCCTTGCGCACAAACTCCATGAACTCCTGCAGATGCGGGAAGGCGTGCGAGGGGCAGAAGAGGAGGCGAGGCGAGGCGAGAGGGAGGAGGGGGAGAGAGCGAGTCAGTGAGGTCCGTGCACGGCGACGACGAGAGGGAGGAAGGGGTGCGCACCTTGAGCTTCTGGCGCATCTGCAGGTCGTTGTGGTCGGGAAAGTACCGCGTGAGGCGGTGCACCTTGATGCGCGAGTCCTTGTTCTTGTGGACGAGCTTGAACGCGATCGTCATGAGGCGGTTCTTCTGGAGCGTCGTCACCTTGCGCGAGTGCGGGCCGGGCACCTCGCTCTGCGGGTACGTCTGGCCGACGATGTACAGGTGCGGGATCGAGCGGATGTAGTAGTGCGTGTCGCCGTCGATCGTGACCCTGCAGGGAGGGCGAGAGGGTCAGTTCGTCGCTGACAACGAGCAGCAGCACCCCCTCGCCGACGCCAAGGCGACGACGAGCGGACGCAGAGTCGAGAGACAGGACGATCCGACGCACCGGACGACGAGAAAGTCGGTCTCGGGGACCTCGTGCTTGAACATGGGCGCCCGCACCAAGTTGTTGTACAGCGTCGTCACGGTCTGGCCAGGGTGGACGAAGCCGAACATCTTGAACGGCGACTCGTCGGTGCCCTCGAGCAGGAGCGGCTGGCCGACCTCGAGCTGCGGGAGGGAGAGAGGTCAGGGACGGTCGAGAGGGGCTCGTGCGACAGAGGGGACGCACATTCGGGATGAACGGGTCGTCGGCCGCCTTCTTGCGGTAGTAGTTGACGATGATCGAGCCCATGCCGACGTTCGAGATGATGGGCGGGTGCTCCTCCTGTAGGCGGGCGAGGGGTCGAGGTCAGGGCCCGCTCAGACCCGGCGACGAGGAGACTCGAGGAGGAGGAGAGCGCTCGACAGCGACGACGCACCGAGTACTCCCACAGGACAAAGTTGCTCGTGTCCTTGAGCGTGATGTCCTGCATGCCGCGCAGCGCCTCGGCGCCCTCGCTCTTCTTGATCTTGCGGCCGTGCTTGTCCTTCTTCTTCTTGGAGCGCACCTTGGAGAAGGCGATGGGCACGTTCTGCGGGAACTGGAGCGCGGGGCGGTGGAACGAGCGCGTGTCGGCCTTGGACAGGCGCGTCTTGTACTGCGGGCCGCGAGAGGAAGTGGGTCAGGACGGCTCGAGGACGAGGGAGAACGGGTCGGGTCGACGACGCACAAAGGGCAGCTGGAGCTTCTGCGCCGGGTAGGCGTGGACGACCTCGAGCGCGCCGAACGTCTGGCGGATGATCTGGCGCTTCTGCTCCTTGGGCACCTCGTACTCGCGGTCGTTCGACAGGTTGAACGGGTCGAGCGTCTCGTCGCGAGGGGCGAGCATGGCGGCCGAGCCGAGGGCGTTGATGGGCGCGACGGCTTTTGGCGCGGCTTCGCCTGCGGAAGGAGAGGGCGAGACGGGTGAGCGGGACGAAGAAGACGGAAAAGAGGCGGGGCAGGGAGAGCGGGACGCACGCTTCGGGTGCTGGACCTCGAGGAGCATCTGCGTGTCGTTCAGGTTGAGGTTGAGGCGCGTAAAGTACTCGGCGCGAGCCGCGTTCTCGCCGTCCCACAGGATCGACTTGACCCAGCCGCCCTGGTCGAAGAGCGGGTTGCGGTGCTGGATCGGCTTCGGGAACGCAGAGGAAGGTCTGGGTGCGCAGAGTCAGTCTCGCTCAACGGTGATGTAGAGAAAGGGAGAGAGACAGAGACGCACGGTGGTCGTTGGCCGTCGCCCCACACGATCTGGTCCTCCCACTCGTCGAGCTCGGCGAGGTCGAACGCTCGGTCGTCCTCGGGCACCCTCCACTTGGCCTTGGACCGCCGGTTGACGCGCTGCAGGGGGACAGAAGGTGAGTCGGGCGGACCTGGTGGGCGAAAGGGGTGGGACGCACCTCGACCGCCCTCCTCAGCTCCTCGTCCTCGCTCCCTTCCTCCTCGCCCGCAGCTTGGCCCGACTCGCGCATCGACTCGACCTTGGCCTCGAGAAGTAGGCGGCGCACGTGATCGTCTCGAGAGGGCGGGAGCGGGCGCAGAGGTGCGACGAGCGCGTCGCGAGAGGAACGGGCTCGAGGGACCTCGGACAGGTTGGGGAGCGCAACTGTGTGGGGCGGAACGAGGTCAGTGCCGCTCCCCGAAACAGAGAGACGAGACGTGGGACGCACGCTTGACGCCCTCGGTGATGACTCGCCGCTTTTTGCGCGGCCTCGTGCCGAACAGCTCGGTAAAGTCGAGCACCTTGCCCGGCTCGAACGACGGGAACAGGTCGCGGACGTCGGCCTGCTTTGCCGGCGGCGCCGCGAGGTCCTCGACCTCGAGAGCGGGTGCGGGTGCGGCGCCGGCGCCGGCGGCTGGCGAGGCTGCGCCGAACAGGGCGTCGTCGGCGTCGGCCGGCTCCTGCTTGACGACCGGGGTAGCCGCCGCCGTCGCCGCCGCGAGCATGGGCTCGTCCTCCTCGTCGTACTCCTCGTCAAAGTCGTCCTCCTCGCCCCGGACGAGGCGCGCACCCGCTGCAGCTTGCCCGCCCTTCTTGGCCGCGCCGCCGACGGCCGCCGCGCCGGCCTTGCCGTACTTCTCCTCGCGCATCTCGCGGTCGATCATGGCCTCAAAGTCCTCGCGCTCGTCATCGAGGTCGTCGTCGTCGAGCCCGCCGTCGTCGTCGGCGAACTTGTCGGCGTAGATCGAGTCGCGGTTGATGGCGTTGGAGCGCTTGATGCCGAGCTGCGACTGGAGGGCGCCGAGAGCGGACGTGTCGAGGTCGAGAGAGGACAGGACCTCGCCCAGGGCGAACCCGCTCAACGTCGAGGCGATGTCGTCGCCCATCTCGACCCGGACTCGAGAGGTTGGTGATGAGGGGGCGAGGGCACGAGGACGAGGCTGGACGAGGTCGCGGGAGGGTCTGTTGGGCTCTGCGTGCTGCTCTCGGCGGTCGGGATGCCAGCAAGCGGGGCTCTGAGCCGTGCGCGGTGGGGGCGCAGGTGGTGAGGAGGCGAGAGGAGGCGAAGGCGGGGTTCGCTCTGCCACACCGTCGCCCTCAGCCAGGGTGAGCCAGAGGGCACTGTGTAGCGTCTCTAGAGCTCTCTGCAAGGTCCACTGTGCAGCGCGAGCAAGCCCGTCACGATCCCGTCTGTTGCTCCTCCTCGTCGAGCTGCTCGCGCAAGTCGAGCCTCCTGAGCCTCGCATCAGCTCGCCGTGCGCACGAGAGGAAAGGGTCGACCGGCTGCATTGCCATGCGCGCACACACTCGCCGCTACAGAAAGACGACGTGCAACTTCTCCTCGTCGAGCACCTCGCGCCACGGCTTGGGCCACCCGTCGCTGCGCTGCCTCTCCCAGATGCGCTCGAGCGCGAGCATGTCGTCGTGGTACCCTCGGTCCTCGCCGCACGCGCGCAGGCCGGCGATGCACGTGCGCCGCTCGACGGGCGTCATGGCGCACGTCCCGGCGAGGAAGAACGGGACGGCTCGCGCCATGGGCGCGAACAGGGCGATGGCGGCGCTCGCGATGCACGCCTCGGACGTCGAGGGGTCGACCAAGGAGGTCGGCGACGAGGTAGAGCTGGTCGACGGTGAGGGCGACAAGGTGGCGAGGTCCGAGATGCGGCCGGGCTCGAAGCGCGCGAGCAGCGGCGAGCCAATCTTGAGGATCTGCTGCACGGCTGCGCACAGGACGGCCGACATGGGCCCATGGCGGTGCCCGACCTGATACAGGTAGATGATGATCGCCTGCAGGGAGGACGACGAGGTCAGTCGGGCCGAGAGAGGGTCTCGAGAGAGGGCTCGTGAGGCTGGGACGCACATGCCGCCACATCTCGGATGTCGAGACCTGCTCGACGAACGCTGCACTGTCGAGGCCGGCGACAGGCGGCAGAGGGCGCCACCCTCGGACGGCGCGCTCGATGGCGGACGCTTTGGCCTTGACGACGACGTCGGGGAGCGCCTCCATGTCGACGCTCAGGTTGGCGATGGCCGCGATGCACAGGAGGAGGCCGACGGGCATGTAGCCGAGGGCGGGAATGTCGGACCGGACGTCGTTGACGCTGTCGCGAAGGGCCGAGGACGAGGGCGAGAGAGGGTCGCCAGGGAGGTCGGCGAAGCTGAAGAAGGGCCGCCGTCGCGGCGACGTGGCACAGCGGATGCAGTCCTCCCATGCCGAGATGGCGATGATGACCTGCTCGGGCGTGTTGATCGGCGAATGCTGAATCGACGGGCTGCAGAAGGTGACAGGGTCAGTGCGGTCGAGGGAGGGCGAGAGGAGGCGACAGGGACGCACCGAGGCCCCAGCTCGAGCGCAAAGACGTCACCGAGCAGTAACAGGAAAGATGCCGCCTCGGCGCCGACCGTGATGAACTGCAGGTGCGGGCAGGTGAGCTCGACGTCCCTCGGGAAGAAAGAGGAGTGGGAGCGGGCGCACTTGATGCAGCCAGAGATCAAAGAGCGCGAGCATCTTGGCCGTGATCGGAATGCTCTGGTGGCTGAGGTGCTCGAGGCCGCGGCGATAGTACTCGTCCGCCTTGGCCCGCAGGCGCTGGACCTCGTACTCGTCGGCGCCCGGCACCGAGGGCGTCCCTGCCTCTTTGGGCGCGTCACGCAGGACGTGAAGGCGCAGAAGCATAGTCTGTAGGGCGAAGCGGGTTCAGTCTGGGAAGGGAGAGAAGAGATGAGAGAGAGAGAAAGAGGCGCACCGTCGCAAGGGCCGCGTGCTTGCACAGCTCGCTCGAGGCGATGGTGCTGCGGATCTGGCTGATGACCGCATCTCGTAGAGGCTTGTCGAGCGCACACAGGTGGGCGACAAAGAAGGCGTCGTCTGTGGTTGGGCGAGGAGAGCGTGAGTCTTGATCATGACGGACGAGAGGGGGAGAGGCAGGACGCACACGCAGGATCGAGCGTGTCCTCTTGCCCGGACGAGACGGGAGGGAACGACGTTGAGGGCACGGGTACAGGAGGAGCGCTGAACTGGACGCCAAACTGCGAGTCGACCGACTGCCAGAACGCGTCCGGCTCGAGGCGCTCGGGGCCGGGCTCGTCTGCGGGGAGGAACGCCGGGAGCGACAGGGTCGCGCTCGCGCCGGACTGGAAGAAGGGCGAGATGGCAAGGTGATGCGACATGACGCCTGGCGGGACATGGGCGGCTGACGGCGGTGCGAGGTGGGTCGAGAGGGGTCGTGCGACGTCGGCCGCGCTCGTCGGCGGCGCGAGGTGCGGGAAAGACAGGGTCGGGGGCAAGATGGAGGTCGACGCCGGTGCTGGCGCGTGTGTCGAGGGCGGCAGGATGGAGCTGAGCGGGTCGAGTTGAGGTGGGCCGGCGAGGATGGGCGCCGAGGCCGAGGTCGAGGTCGAGGCGACTGGGCCCGGCGGTGGTACCGAGCCGTCGACCGCGAGCGAGGCTAAGCGCTCTTGCTTTGCCCGCACCTTTGCGCCGCGCTGGAAGACGCGGACCGGGGCGGCCGAGGGCGGTGCAGGCCACTCGCACCGCCATGCGCCCGAGATGCAGCGCTGGCACGCGCCGCCGTGCTCCTTCGAGTGCGTCTCGTCGCACTTCTTGCGGCGCTGTCGACCTGCGGGTGCGAGGTGGGTCAGTGGACGGCCCTCGCCGTTGCGCGGAAAGTGGGGGAGGACGAGGGGGCGCACAGGTGAGGCAGCCCGCCTTGGAGCGAGTCTTGCCCGTGCTGTTGGAACCGTCGTCGGACGCCATGATCGTGCTGGCCCAGCTAAGCTCGAGTAGCGGTGAGGGTGGAGGAGAGATTCGCCGAACCTCGTCCACCAGCGATGAGACGTCTTTCGAGCTCTCGCGCGGCCGCATCCTCGCCAGTTGCTCTGCAGGGCCGTAGGTGCAGTCCGAGGAAGGTTGAGTAGCTCTGGTCCCAAGCTGTGTGCTCCCTGTGGCGGTTTCGAACAGACGCCGTTGCGCTTCCGCGCCTCTCTGCGCTTGGCGGCGCGTCGTCCTCTCGAGCGAGGAGAGGCGAGGAGAGAATAACAGGCGCTGCTATGGTTACAACACGCTGGTGCTACACAATGCGCTGTGCTCGTGGCGGCGAGGATGATGCCGCAAATGAAGGAAACCCATCGCCCGGTCCTCGTCCTCGTCCTCCTCTGCCCGGACCTCGCGCCGCACGAGAAGCACGCCTACTTCTCGAGCGACCTCGGCTCCGTCTGCGACGGCGGCAGCGCCCTCCCCTCGCCGTGCCGCTGCATGCTGCTCGCCGCCCGGTCGACGCTGTCCTTGTCGATCATGACCTCGCCGCCGCCGTCTCCCTCTGTCGACCGGCCCATGATCATCTCGTGCGACCCGGGCGGGAGCGAGCGATCGTCGGACGCGCCGGCGCGCAACGACGACGACGACGACGGCGCCGGGCTGCCCGGCGTGATGATTTCGACCGTCGCGCCCGTCGAGAGCTTGGTGATGACCTCGCCGTGATCGCCCGACGGGACAAAGCTGCTCGACAAGCCAGCGCCCGCGGAGGAAGCTTGTTTTGGAGCGGTCGGCTCGATGTCGGGCGCGTCTTGGAGGATGCGGGCGACGAGGTCGGGGACCCTGCGGCGACGACGAGGAACTGGGTCAGGGTCTCGCGCAACGAGAGAGTTGCGCCGCAGAGAGAGAAAGAGAGAGAGGAGACGCACTTGTACGGCTTGGTGACAACCGTTTCCATGCCGGCGTCGAGCGCCGCCTGCTTCTGCTCGACGCGAGCGTTGCCCGTGAGGCCGACGATGCGCTGATGGCCCGACCGCTCGCCCTGCTGCTCGGCGAGGCGGATCGCTCGCGTCGCCTGCAGGCCGTCCATGATCGGCATCTGCGCGAGGGAGCGGGACCGCAAGTGTCAATACGGGCGGGGAGGTCCACGAGAGGGAGTTCGAGAGCTCGAGCAACGAGGGGGGAACGAGGCAAGAGAGAATGAGGCGCACCTCGATGTCCATGAGGATACAGTCGACCTTGCCGTCGGGCTGCTTCTTGAGGATCTCGAGGCCTTCTTGCCCGTCGCACGCGAGGAGGATGTGCTCGCAGCCCTGCTTGGCGAGCTGCCGCTTGAGGACGGTCCGGTTGATCTGGTTGTCCTGGGAGGTGGAAGAGGGTAAGTCAGAGGCTCGAGGGGGCGAGAGAGGGTCAGAGAAAGTCTGGCGCACCTCGCAGCAGAGAATCGTCATGCCCTTGAGCGGCAGTGACTCGTCGGGCTTGGCGAGGAAGATAGTTGGCGCTCGTCCTCGCTCGGCGTTGGGCGCGTCGATGCCGTCGACGACAGGGAGCACGTCGGACGAGTGGCTCGGCCCGGCGTCGACCGAGCGCGCCGTGATGAAGCACCGGAAGATGGACCCTTGGCCCACAGTCGACGCGACCTCGATGCGGCCCATCTGCAGCTCACACAGGTCTGTACGGCGGGCAGGAGAGAGTCAGTATCGCACGGCAAAGAGAGGAGAAGAGAGAAGTGCGTGAGGAGGACGCACTGCGAGCGATCCACAGTCCGAGGCCGCTCCCGCCCCAGGTCGTGTGCGTGAACGGCGAGGCCCTGCGCGGACCGACAAGGTGTCAGTCAGAGTCTCGAGTCCGAGGGCGAGGCGCAGGAGGAAGGACGAGCGCGAGGAGGAGGCGCGACGAGGCAGAGGAGGACGCACTGCATGAACTTTGCGAACAGCCGGCCCGTCTCCTCCTCGGTCATGCCCGGCCCGGTGTCCTCGACGCTGAAGAACAGGTACACGGGCTTCTGCTTGTCGATCTTGTACTCGGTCTCGGCCGGCGGGATGAGCGGCGAGTCGCGCCCTGGCGGCTGGGCCGACACCTCGACCGTGATGGTGACGACGCGCTTGTCCGACTTGGCCGTGAACCGGATCGCGTTCGACAGGAGGTTGACGAGCACCTGGGTGAGGCGAGTCGGGTCGGCAAAGACCTTGGCGCGAGGACCGAGGCGGGCGAGCGACGACCCGACGACGAGCTGCAGCTCGATGCTCTTGGCGCGGCACTCGGTCTGCGAGGTGCTCGAGAGTCAGGTCTTCGTCCGAAAGAGTGCGCGCGCGAGAGAGAGAGAGGAAGAGAGAGGGCGGGCGCACCTTGAACATGCGGCAGATGTTGCGGAGCGAGGTCGTCAGGTCAAAGACGACGGGCGTGATGCTGTACTTGCTGAGCTGGATCTGGGCGAGGCCGAGGATGTCGTTGGCGATGCGCTCCTGGGCCATGCCGCACTCGCTGATGGCGTCGAGCGCCTCGATGTCCTCGTCCAGGTCGTGCAGGAGCTCGTCGTCGAGCTCGGCGGGCAGGGCGCCTCGCTCCTTGAGCTGGCCGAGGCGACCGCGGAACGACTGGAGCGACGAGCGGGTAAAGTCGGCGTTCTGCAAGATGGCGGATATCTGCGGGCGCGAGGGAGGGACGAGTCAGTCGTGCGTCCGAAAGAAGGTCCGTGCGGCGAGAGAGGGGACGCACCGGGTTGCGGATCTCGTGGCTCGTGACGTCGATGAGGAGCTCCTGCTGCTTCTTCTCCTCGACGGCGATCTTGCGGCGCTCCTCGGCCTCGCGCGCATAGTGTTCGGCGCGCTCCTCGCGCTCCTTGGACAGGGCGAGCAGCTTCTCCTCCGAGCGCGCCTGCGCCGTCACGTCCGTGACGCTGCCGATCCACCCGGTCGCACTAGCCGCGTCGCGGTTGTTGAGGACGGCCTGGACGAGGCACACGTCGCCGAACTTCCACCGGAACCGGGCCTGGAACGGCTCGCGCGTGTCCAACGAGCTGTAGAGGGAACCAGGGTGGGTCAGGATGCCGCTCGAGGGCTCGAGGACGAGGCGCTCGAGAGGAAGAGAGAGAGAGAGAGAGAGAGAGGGACGCACTGCTTCCACTGCTTGAAGACCCAGTCAAAGTCGTCCGGGTGGAGGTTGTCGCTCCAGACGTCAAGAGGGCTCCCTCGCTCGACCCGACAGATGCCGTACCACGCCTCGTTGGCGCTCAGGAAGTGGCCGTCGAGGTCGATGCGGACGAGGCCGACCGACGTCGTCTCGGACAGGAGGGCGAGCTCGTGGCGCAGTTGCTCCTCGCGCAGCTCGGACGCCGTCGCGGCGAGCTTGTGCTTGTTGATGTTGAGCAGGTACCCGCAGTAGCCGTTCATGACGCCGTTGACGATGGCCGGCTCGATGACGCACACGCACCACCGCTCGCGCGACCCGGATGTCGGCAGCCAGCGGAACTGCGACGAGGGAACGAGGGTCAGTGCGCCGGCGCTAGAGCGGATACAGGGAGGGTCGGGACGCACCTCTTGCTCGTCGCGCTCGATGGGCAGCTCCTCCGAGATGCGGCGGTAGTGGTCGACGACCCGCTCGCGGTCGTCTGGGTGGATCCGAGCGGGCCACGCGTCGTTCGTCTCGCCCTCGGTCAAGCCTGCGTGCGACACAAGGCGCGAGTCAGTGACCGCTCGAGGGATGACGAGATGTAGGGAGGGAGAGGGAGGGGGAGGAATGAGGGAGGGAGGCCGAGAGAAAAGGGTGGCCGAGGCCGAGGACGCACCGCACGTCTGGCGCCATTTCGGGTTGGCCTGCGTGATGCTCAGGTCGCGGTTGACGCGGAAGAGGCCGACCGGAGCGTGCCAGCTCGTGAACGCGAGGCCCTCGAGGCTGACGGCGTCGCGCGCGCCGTCGTGCGAGATCTCGTGGTCGCCGATGCGCTCGCCCTCGGTGCGCTTGCCGAGGCGGTGCCGCGCGTGCTGGACCGACGCCGGGAATCGCTCGGGCTCGGAGCGCGCCTCGGACGGCGTCGGCGAGGGCTCGGGCCCGTTGGGCGCGTAGGGCTCGTCCCTCGTCCCGCCGCCGGCGACCGTCTCGTCGTCGTCGCCGCCGCCATTCCCGACAAAGTCGCCCGCGCTCGCCGACCCGGCCCTCGCGCCGGTCGACGCCTCCTCGCCGAACCGGATCAGGTCGTCCGACTCCTCGTCGCACTCGGTCGTCTCGGTGAACTGGCCGCCGTTGGCGACGGTCGACGCGGGGAGCATCGTCAAGAGGGTGCAGCCGTACTCGACATAGACGGTCGCACGCCAGTGGACCTTGCTGAAGTTGAGGCCCGACAGGAGCTGGAACGCGATCTGGCGGTGCGGCTGGAACCGCGAGTAGCGCGACGTGGACGAGAACGACGTGCCAGACCCTGCGGACCCTGGTCGGCCCGGCCGAGGGTTGTACGACGAGGACGAGTGGGACACGCTCGACGTCGACGACGAGGCGGACGAGGCGGACGAGGTCGAGGGCTGGAAGACGCGGAGCGGGCCCGAGTGGTGGCCGCCGGGCGAGGGGATGGCGCCCGCGCTCGCCGGGGGAGCAGACGGCGACGCGTCGGCGGCGCGCTCAACGCCGTCGCGGAGGAAGCGCCGCAGGAGGTCGCGCGAGCGGTCGTCGACGGCGTCGGCGAGGGTGAGGCCTTGCTGGCGGGCGTGTTCCTCGGCGCGCGGGTGGTTCGAGACGGCGGCGCCGCCGATGCCCTGGCCGAGGAAGTGGAGGAGGGCCGGGTTCTGGTACACCGGGGCGGGCAGGCCCTCGTCCTGCTCGAGCAAGGGCGCGTGCGGGAAGACGGCGACGGCGAGCGGTTGGTCGTGGAGGTAGGCGAGGAGGTGGTGGGGGAGGAGCTCGCCGCCGCTCGTGGCCGACTCGTCCGGGTGGTCGTCGCCGTTGGTGCTGTGCTTGAACGCGTGCGTGAGGCGGCTGGCAAGGTGGGCGGCTGGTGCTGGTGCTGCCCCTTGAGGCCGGAGCCGAGTCGGCGAGGCGACGCCGTCGCCCGGGTGCATCGCGTGCGGGCAGGCGAGCTGGGGCGCGGTCGACGGGGGTGGGCTTGCTGCGAGGGTGTGCGCGCGAGTCTGGTGGCAAGGCAGGCAGGGACGCGCTGAGGGCGGACCTCGAGGCGGTGGTCTGGCCTGGCCGTTTCAACGTCGATCACTCTGGGGGTGCTCCACGGCAATCGCTCGAATCGCTTGAAGGCTCGCTCAGCAGCGACGCTCTCCCTCTCGAGAGTCGCACGCGACACCCTTGTGGCCGCCACACGTACTCCTCGAGAACCAGCCTCGAGTTGCACCGCCCACTCGACGACGCCGACGACGACCTCCTCATCGCCCGGCCGACCCTGTTCCACCTTCTGTACCCAGTCATGCACGCCCCGGCGAGCTCCCTGCGCTCGCCCGCCACCGTCCCTCACCTCGCCGCCGCACTGTCCGCCGCGCCGATCCCGCCACCGAGCGACCGGTCGTACCCTCGCCTGAGCCGCTCCTCGGCCTCTCTCTTGCCCTCCCTGCGCTCCCCTTTGGGCCGCTGCCCGCGCTCGCCGTCCCGCCCACCGCCGCCGCCACCGCGACGCCGCGACGAGTAGTACTCGTCGAGGACGGCAAAGTCGCGCGACGCGAGCACCTCGAGCCGCTCGTCGGCGTGCTGGTCGGCCATTCTCGACCGCGGCCGCGTCACGGTCGCGTGCGAGTGCGGCGTCGGCGTGCCGGGCAGGTGGTCGTGCGTCGGGACGACGGGCGCGCTGTGGGCGTGGCGGGCCGCGAGCGACGGCGAGGGAGGACGGGCGAGCGCGTGCGGCGTCGTCATGTGCGACGGGCGGCTCGGCGTCGGCGAGGCCGGGCGTGCGGGCGCGTCAAAGCCGTACACGACCTTGGTGCCGGATGCAGTGCGCGCAGGGGACGGCGCGCGAGGGCGAGGCGGCGAGGTGACGGCCGACGACGAGCCGACGAGGGTGCTCGAGCGCGCTCCCGGCGACGGCGACGGCGCGCGACGCACGCTCCCGCTGCCCTGGCTGCCGCGGTAGCTCCCAGCTCCTCCAGCACTGCTCGGCGACGCTCCTGCTGCGGCGACGAGCCCGCTCGGGCGCGGCCCGACCGGCGACGACGCCCTGCGCGCGCCGAGTCCGATCCCGGGCCCAGGCGACGACGGCCTCCTCGGCGCCGCAGCCGTCGACATGCCGCCGATGGCCCTCGTGAGCGGGCTCATGCCGCCGCTCTTGAAGCCCTCGGGCGCAGGGCTCGACGGGCGGTGCGCGACGGGCGACGGCTGCTGCTGCGGACCCGGCGCCGAGCTCGAGATGCGCCGCACGCGAGGGCGCTCGCCCGTGCTTGCGCTCGACCCGCCGCGCAGGCCGTGCAGCGAGTACTCGAGCTCGGGTTCGGCAGCGCCGGCCGGCCGACCGCGCATCGGCGTCGGGATCGGCAGGCCCTCGTACGTCGCGAGGCAGCTCAGCCTGCGGCCCGACGAGTACCGCGGGACGGGCTTGACGAGCGGTGCGCCGGCGCCGACCGTCGACGTCGAGCGACCCCTGCCGCTCGCGCCGCGCACGAGCCCGCCGCTCGCCGCCGCCCTCGCGGCGGCCTGCGCGCGCGTGTCGACGACCTCGACCTCGTAGCTCTCGCCGCTCGCGCTCCCGTCGCTCAGGTCGCCCGGCCCGACCGTGCCGACGACGCCGCGCACGAACCGCGAGTCGACGAGCTCCGTCCTGCGGCGCTCGGCGCGCAGCTGCGTCGGGTCGCCCGAGCGGATCGCGGCCGCGAGCGCCGACGTCGTCGTCGACGAGTCGCGCCGTTGGGCGAGGACGTGGCGGGACGCGGCGCGCGAGCGCGAGTGCGCCGAGGGCGACGAGGGCGAGATCGGGATGGGCGACGAGCGGACGACCTCGGGGGCCGGCGACGGCGGGCCGACGCGGGTGCGCGACGACGAGCGGCCGCGCGACATGCTCGACGACGACGAGGCGAGGCCGCCGAGGCGACGGCTGCCGGCGGCGTCGTGCGGCGTCGAGAAGGAGGGTGCGCGGACGACGGTCGCCTCGGCGGGCGCGGCGGTGCACAGCGCCGTCGACGCCTGCGAGCGAGCGCCGGCCGAGCTGAGGAGGTGCGACGAGGGCGTGCGGCGCAGGGTGTCGAGGGGCGAGAAGGGCGACCGCTGCGAGAGCGAGGCCGCCGTCGACGAGCGGTGCAGGGCGCCGGAGCTCGGCGTCGGGCTCGCGCTCGTGCTGTCGGGAGGCCCGCCGGCCGGGGACGAGGATGAGGTGGAGAGGCGGCGAAGGCGCTGCATGGGTAGGTGCAGGACGGAAGGGGCGAAGGAGGGAGGACGAGGACCAGGTCTGCGCGGGCGAGGAGGACGGCGTCAGGTCTGCCTTGCTGTGCGTGTCGGCATGAGGGAGGAAGGGGGCTTCTCACACGTGGCGGTGCTCAGCCGGGTGGCGCTGGTACTGCTGTGCTCGGCGAGGGGGATCGTCAGCCGATGTTCCTCGTCGCGAGCTCGTCGTCGAAGAGGAGACGCACCTCGAGGACGACTTGTGCGCAGCCTGCTCGACTCGGGCTCGGGCGGGCTGGGCTGGACCGGCTGGTGCTGTTGCTGCTGCGGACGCGAGGGACGGGGTCAGCGTCCGTCGGCGGACTAGCTCGCCGAATCGGGTCCCGACTCGCTCGCCTCGCTCGAGCTCGAGCTCCCTCGGGGCCTGCATGCCCTGCTCTACCGGTGCCCTGCCCAGCGCTCCGAGGCCAACCGCACCGCCGCATACGAGGTGGGCGGGCGGGATCTCCGAGCGAGAACGAGCGAGGGGCCTTGCCTCGTTCAACGCGGACGAGGAGGAGAACGGGGAGGGCTCACCTGCTTGAGGACGCTCGCAAGGCTTGCGCCTGGCTGCTGCTTGGTGCGCTGGCGAGGGTGGGCGAGTGGAGGAGGAAGAAAGGCGGGGACGGGCCGCGGACGAAAGGCGCGAGGAGGAGGCGGACGGAGGTGGGGGGCGAGAGGGCCTGACCGCGGCGATGGCGAGCGGGCGTGTGCCGGGTAGTCGAGGGTGGCAATCGCCGATAGAAGTACGAGGGCCGCTTCGAGAAGAGCGACGAGGAGAGAGCCGAGCGAGGAGCGTGCGTTCTCGGCACCGACCCGATGAGGAGGACGACGTCGCAACTCTCTCCAGCTGGGCCGGTCTCTGGCTCAAGCTATGTATGAAGACTGTTCAAGTAGGTCCACACTGCGAGCCCTCTCATCAGAGAGGTGCGCGAGGGCCAAGTTGCGGGCGCACACAGCGACGACGAGGCAACGTTCGCTAGACCTCACCGCACCACCCCGCTCGTCTCTAGCCAGGTCAGTCTACCTGTGACGGCCCTCTCCAGACCAGTGGGACCCCGAGCTGACTTGCCCCGTCCATCCCCGTCCTCCCGTCCCCCTCTCCCACCTCCCACACTCTCGTCCACCCTTCATCTCGAAACGACGCCCCCGCGTCGTGCACACCACCAGCCATGTCGTCGTCCTCGCTCCTCCTCCTCGCCATGGGCAACCCGCTCCTCGACATGCAGGTCGTCAACAAGCCCGAGCTCCTCGACAAGTACGGCCTCAAGCCCAACGACGCCATCCTCGCCGAGGGCAAGCAGGCCGACATCTACGACGACCTCCAGGCCAACTACCAGGTCGAGTACGTCGCCGGCGGCGCCGCCCAGAACGCCGCCCGCGGCGCCCAGTACGTCCTCCCCGAGGGCTCGACCGCCTACCTCGGCGCCGTCGGCAGCGACAAGCTCGCCGACCAGCTCCGCGCCGCCAACGACAAGGAGGGCCTCCACTCGGCCTACCAGGTCGTCGACGACAAGCCCACGGGCGCCTGCGCCGTCATCATCACCGGCCACGACCGGTGCGTCCTCGCTCCCTCTCGCTCTCTCTCTCCCTCTTTCCACAGAAGCTGACCCGTTCCTCCATCTCCCACCAGCTCGCTCTGCACGACCCTCGGCGCCGCCGAGTCGTTCTCGCCGTCGCACCTCGACAAGCCCGAGATCAAGGGCCTGATCGAGCGCGCCCAGAACTTCTACCTCGGCGGCTTCTTCCTCACCCACGGCCTCGAGAGCGCCCTCGTCCTCGCCAAGCACGCCGCCGAGAAGAACAAGGTGCGTCGGCCCCGGTCCTCTCGGTATCTCCCGCCCGACTCGAAGACCGCCCCGCTCACCCTCTCTTTCCCCCGTCGCAGCCGTTCGCCATGAACCTGTCGGCGCCGTTCATCCCGCAGTTCTTCAAGTCGCAGGTCGACGAGATCCTGCCCTACGTCGACGTCCTCATCGGCAACGAGTCCGAGGCCGAGGCGTACGCCGCCAGCCACGAGTGGGACGTGCGTCCTCCTCTCCCTCTCTCTTTTTTCGAGCTGCCTGCGCACCCGGTCCTCTGACACTGCGCTCGCTCGCCTCGCAGACCAAGGACATCCCGACCATCGCCCAGAAGCTCGCCGCGCTCCCCAAGAAGAACGAGTCGACGGCCCGCATCGTCGTCATCACGCAGGGCGCGTCGTCGACCGTCGCCGCGTCGACCTCGTCGTCGCTCGTGCCCTCGGGCCTCCAGACGTACCCGGTCGAGGCCCTCGCGTCGGACAAGATTGTCGACACGAACGGCGCCGGCGACGCGTTCGCGGGCGGGTTCCTCGGCGCGCGCGCGCTCGGCAAGAGCGTCGACGAGGCCGTCGAGGCCGGCCACAAGATGGGCCAGATGAACGTCCAGCTGTCGGGCCCGACCTTCAAGTTCCCCAAGGTCCAGATCCTCTGAGCACGTCGCTCGTCGTCGTCGAGGAGGAGGAGAAGGGAGGGGGACGCTGGACGTTCAACCGAGGCTCGCTCGGATGGAGCGAGCGGGCCGCACCAAAAAAGGAGTACCCTGTCGTGCTGTGACTGTATTGGCGTAGGACCTGGACGAGGTCGAAGAGCTCAACCTCGAGGACACTGTCTATTTCCTTTTCTCTCTCTCTTCGTCGTCGGGCGCAGAGAGGCTCTTTCTGCTCTCGGGAGATGGTTCTGGTGCTCTTCCTGCTCTCCTCGTGCGGCATGAGAGCGTCCGCAGCTGCAGCGAGAGCTTGTCGAGACGCAATCGTGCTCGAGATGGAAGCTCGAGCAGCGCGCTCAGGCCCCGGCTCGCCTTCTCGGCTCGCTCTCGCTCGCTCTCGTCCTCTCGGCAGGCCTCTCGCGTCGGCTCGGAGGAGAAGAGGAAGGTGTGCGACTGCAGGAGGGACAACAAGTCGAGGAACGTCGAGAGAGGAGGGTCTGAGTTGGGACGAGAGGACGGCTCTGCGGCGGCTCGAGGTCGGTGCGGGGACGGCAGGACGACGAGAGAGAAAGAGGGGACGCGCGTAGATAGGCTCAGACAGGAAAGAGTGGCGCCGTCTGGCGGTAATGGGCGTCGACGTCCAGAGCAATCTTTCGCACGAGAGGGCGGCAGTGACGCAGATGCCCTGGCTTTGACTGTATATGTTGGCCGAGAACGGCGCCCGTACGCGGTTGATGTCGGACCAGCTGCCGGAAGGACTCGGATTTGGCCACGTCGTGAGGGAGCGACGCACGCCCTCGTACCAAGCAGCCCTGTAGACGGCTTGGCCAGTGCCGACACAGTGGCACTTCCTGGACCATGGCGTCGGCTCCTTGAGGAGAAAGGTCATGGCGTGCGTCCGCAACGACTCGACCCAGGATAACTGCGGAAGAGGGCGCCGCTCATGAGCGCGAGCACGACAAAGTGAGAACGGCGAAAACGGAGTGCTCACAAAGTCGGCCCGGCAACTATCGATCTCCTTCTTGAACAATTGGAAGTTCAGAAGATCGAGCATGTTGAAGAGGTACTGGGTCGTGAACACCTGCTCCTTGACGAGCCTCGCGGTGTGGAAGGCGGCGCTCGCCTCTGCGGCCATCTCCGGCGTCCCTTGCGCCTGCCACTGCCTGTACTCGCATAAGCGTCAGTCTCAAATTCACGAGCGAGACCGAAGAGAGCGTCGACGCACCAGCAACGTCCGAGCGCGAGCGCCTTGACGCCGGCCGCGTCGTACTTGTCGGCGAGGCGAGCGACGACAGGCCAGTCGAGGCTGAGCATCTCCGCGACCGGGTCCTCCTTCTCGTGGGCGATGTTGAGCAACTTGAGGAACAGCTCGAGCTCGTCCCGCTTCTCGGCGACGTCGAACGCGTCGGCGACGGCGGGCGCGCCCTTGCGCTTTGCCGGGACGCGAGGCAGCGAGAACATGTCGGCAAAGACCCTGCTGCCGGCCAGGAGGACGACGCGAGAGGGCTTGAGCTCGACGGGCGGGTCGTCGGCGGTGCGGATCGTGACCGTGTCGTCCATGGCGAGCGAGTGGGAGGAGGACGAGGAGGGGCGACGAGGTTGGCGACCGACCACGACCTCACCGCACCGCAAAGCTACCTGCTAGCTTCTCGTGCACCGAGCTACACCGCTTAAGAGCACGCACACGCCCTAGCGCACCGCCCCGAGCTCTCGAGCGTCCGCCAACTCGCCTCATCCTGTTCATCTCCCCCGCTCCCTTTCCCGACCTCCCACCCCTCCGCACCCGCCGTTCAGCCAGCGAGGACCCGCCTGCGTGGTCCAATGAGCTCGCCTGTCTGCACACACGCCCGGTCGTCGCCCGACAAAGCCTTCGTCGCGCCCGTCCAGCGGCTGCCCCAACTTGCTTCCTCGTGCGTCCTCTCTCTTTCTCGCTCTATCGAGCATGAGCTGAAAGAATCTGCCCCTGCAGCTCGAACGATGCCGCAGCTTTCTCGCGAGCTTTCCGCCACCCAGGTCACCGTCATCGCCGACTTCGTCCGCCGACCTCGACCTGCACGTTCGGGCGCTCGCGCACAGCTCTCGAGCACGCTCTCGTACAGACAGGAGATGGAATGCTAGACGTTGCAGTACATTATGGCGCGAGAGAGGCGAGAGGACGAGGGAAAGCGGGCGAGAGAGGTCGAGAGAGGTCGAGAGAGGGCAAGGGGAGCTGCGAGAGGTTGAGAAGGCGAGGTCAGGCCGGGCTCGACAGAGAGGAGGACGAGGCTTGAAGGCGCACCTCGATACGAGGGCTCAGAGAGGGAAGTCGGGCGCCTCGTTGCGGTACTCCTCGGACGAGGAAGCCGACATGCGCTTGAAAGCCGACTTGCACTTGCGGCACATGTCCGACAGGGCGACGGCCAACGCTGCACTGGCGCCGAACGGCTCGGCAACGCAATAGGGCCTCCAGCTGCGCAGGGTCTCGCTCATGGCGCGGCGCCACGCCAGCTCGTAGCTGTGGCGAGCACCGCCCGACTTGCAGACGGCGCAGTCGGGCGTGTTCGGCGGGTCGGCGACCGACATCTTGAGTACGAGGTCCTTGAGCAGCTCGACCCACACGGTCTGCAGGAGAAGGTCGGGTCGGTGTGCCCGAAAGGGATGGCGAGAGAGAGAGAGAAAGATTGGGACGCACAAACTCGGCGCGGCGACCACGGAGAGCCAAGTCGATCTCGCTCTTGCTCGGGTTCTCGAGGACCTCGAAGAGGAAGACCTTGGCCAGGTGGGGCTCGCCGAGGATGGCGGCAGTCTGGAAGGCGGCGGCGCGAGCCGGCGGGTCGCCCTTGTCGTCGTCGTCGTCGGAGCTGTTCCACTTCCTGCAGCGCGTCAGGCTGAGAGGTCAGCTCAACCCTTGATGAAAGGATATCGAAGGAGACGCACCAGCACTTGGCGAGCGCAAAGTTCTTTGCGACGGCCGAGTCGTACTTGTCGGCGAGCTTGGCGACGACAGGCCAGTCCTCGGGCTCGAGGTCGTCGAGCGGGTCGCCCTCCTCGTGCGACATGTTGAGGATGCGCAGGAACGGCTTGAAGTGCGCCGCCGTCTCGTCGATGTCGATGCCCGTGCTCGTCTCGGCCTGGGTCGGGATCGCGAGCATGTCGGCGTACACCTTGCTGTTGGCGGCGAGAACGGCGCGGGACGCCTCGAGGGCGACGGGCGGGTCGTCGCAGGTGCGGATCGTGATCGTGTCCTGCATCTCGGGCGGCCGCAGAGCGTGCGAGAGCGAGAGCGAGAGAGGTGGACGAGGGAGAGAGAGGAGGCGAGGCCGGGCGGACGCGCGAGCGAGCCGGTCCTGGCTCGGAGAGTCCGCGGACGTCGGCGAGGGGCCGCAAGCGCTCGAGAGAGCATGAAGCGCTCTCTGTGAGGCGCCAGAAGCAAGCGCGGGCGAGGAAGCGTGAGGACCGCCCGAGAGACGAGACTTGAGAAGGTCAAAGCGGCGCTGCTCTCGCTCGACTCGCTCTCGCACCAACTCGCGCCCGCACTGCAGCTCGTCTCAGCGCCGCACTACGAACTCGTGCTCCCTCCCACGACCGTCCCATTCGCGAGCCGCAGCCCCTCCTGCGGGCACGCGACGACGGGCAGGTCCCTCCACCCTCGCACGTCGCCGATGCTCCTCCCCTCCTCGAGCCAGTACGGCCTCTCGCCCCTGACCTCCCACGCGTGCCTCGCGAGCTGCGCCACCGCGTCGCCGCTGCCCATGCCCGCCGCGCCGCCGCTCGGACCCGGCGCCGAAGGGTAGTGCAGCGTGTACCCGTCGCCGTGCGGCACGTACGCGCAGCACGCGTCGTCGCGGCCGAACAGGGACCAGTACAGGTCGCCGACGGCGTGCGGCGGGTCGCGCGCGGCGAGCGCCGCCGAGCGCGAGAGGAAGGCCGAGATCTGGGTCGGGACGAAGAGGTGGAGGAGCGGGGCGAGGAGCGGGACGAGGATGACGAACAGGGCGAGGGCAACGTGCCACCGGTAGATAGGGAATGGGCGGTCGAGGAGAGAGGAGGACGATCGAGTTGGCGGCCGGCGCGAGGGCGGGAAGGTCGTGCTGGGGGAGGAGGTCGAGGCGGGCAGGATGGGCAAGTCGGCGGACGACGTCGAGGCGAACAGCGACTTGTCGGTCGACAGTGCATCGTGGTCGAGCGGATGGTCGTACGACGGCGGCGGCGTCGATGGGCCCCTCGACGCCATCGAGAGCCGCACCGCCTCGTCCCTCCCTGCCTCGTCCTCGACCGCCGCCCTCGCCCGCTTCCTCCTCTGCCGCCGCCTCGCGCAGCAGCACCCGCACGTCACGACGCCTCGCAGCGTCGTGCGCAAGGGCCACCATCGCCTCGGCGTGAGGTACAGGAGGGCGCTCAGGACGGCGGGCAGGACGAGGAGGAACCACGCCCAGCGCCAGCCGACGTAGTACCGGTTGGTCCAGTCGTACTCGCCGATAAGGAAGGGCTTTTGCGCCGAGGCGGCGAGCGAGGCCGAGGACGAGAGGCGGTAGAGCGAGGGCGGGTAGAAGTGGTCGGACCTGCGCAAGGCGGGAGGGAAGGCGAGAGTCAGAAGGCGAGCTCGACTGCTGAGCGGGGGAGAGGACGTACACCATGTCGACGCCTGCAATCTCGAGCTCGTCCTTGCGCACGCCGTACGACCCGCTGAGGACGAGCGTGTCGGGCGCGAGCTCGTGCAGCAGCTGCGCGACGGCCGTCGTCCACTCGGCCGGCGGCGGATAGTCGTCGCCCGTCCAGCCACCGAGCTCGTTGCCGGTCTCGAACGCGAGCACGGTCGGGTCGGTCGCCATGGTGAGCTGCGGGCGAAGGAGGTGCGTGAGCGGGCTTGAGACGAGGGTCGGTGAGGGTGCGAGGGGACGCACGTTGGTGTAGGGCGACGTGTGGTTGAGCAGAGTGCGGACATAGAGCGCAAAGTCGCCGCAGGTCGGCGAGTTGAGGTCGTAGAAGGGCGAAAAGTCGGTCGACGAGAGGTTGCGCCAGCGCAGAAAGGTCGGGATACCGCTGCGGGGTCGACCTCGTCAGGGAGGCTGTGTTGACGGGACAGGGAGAGCTGGACGGACCCATGGTAGTAGTCGTACTGGTCGGTGAGCGGAATGACGAGCCGCAGGCCGTACCTGCGCACGCACGAGAGCCGTGAGTGACTTGGCCTCGCGCGCGCGAGGGGTTCAAGGCCGGGAAAGTTGGACGCACGACCTCGCCGCGAGAAGCGCAAAGTCGATCGCGTCCCATGCCGGGTCGCCCTCGGGCTTGAACTGGCCGAGCGCGTTCTCGATGGACAGGCCCGTGCCGAACGAGACACCAAGCGAGGTTGAGCGGATGGTGGCTGCGAGAGGAGCGGCGAGTCAGCGCTTCTTTGTGGCTCGAAGAAGAGTGGAAGGAGAACGTACTGGCGCCCATAGCCGACGCTACCGCCATGGCCTCGAGGACCCTGCCCTTGGACGGGTACGACGGCGAGGGGTCGACATTCTCGTCGAGGCCTGCGCGCACCCACACCTCTGGGTTAGCTCGACTCTGCAGGCCGTGCGAGAGAGAGACTGCGGGGCTCACCAAGCCAGTAGACGTTGGGACCCACGACGTTGAACTCGGCGCCGTCAAGAGCGAGTTGCGAACCGTTGCGGCGGACGAACGAGGTGGATGCCGCGGTCGAGGCTGCCGGGAGCTGGCTCGCGGCGGACAGAGTGTACTGCTGGGAGGTCGAGGCTGTCGGGGTGGGCAGACAGCTGCGCGAGGGTGCGAGGTGAGCGGACGTCGAGGAGGAGGAGGGGGAGAGGGACGCACGATGCGGAGGCCATGCCGAGCCGGTGCGGGCGCGCCTAGGCGTGTCGAAGAGGCGGCTCGAGGCGTAAAGGGAGCACACAGCTCAGCCGGTGAGCAGCTGAGGGAGAACAGCAGGTGAGCTGATGAAGTTGACCCCGCATAAATTCGCGCGAGCCAATCGCCGCGACCTGGCGTCGTGGTCCAGGACGAGCTGCAGCTGGCGCTGAGCGGTGCAGGGTGTACGCAGGGGTCGCAGCTCAGCTCAGTCACGCAGGAGAGAGCTTGCCTGCAGCGGCACAAGGTTGTCTCGGCCGAGGCTGCGCTCGTCGCTTCGACATGACGACAGCTCGGAGTCGAGCCGGACTCCAAGCTTCCCCTCGTCCCTCTCGCTCTCCTTCTCGACAAGCTGCCCGCCCAGCTAGTCAGCATGAGCGACGACCCGACCCAAGAGCGCCCTCTCGCGCCCCCGATCGACTACTCGCAGCTGTCGACCTCGACCGGTGCCTCGCCTCCGCCTCGCGCCAACGACGACACGCCCACCGCGACCTCGATCGACCACTCGCCTGCAGGCAGGACCGCCGCAGTCGAGCTCCTGTCGGGCCAGCCCGCCAACGCGCACCCGCCCGCCGCCGCTGCTCCCGAGCTCGTCGACTCGCCCGCCCCGGCTCACGCGCACCCCGAGACGACGACGTCGTCGGCGGCCTCCACCACCTCGGCCCCTCCGCCTCCGCCCGCCGCCGACAACCTCGCCGTCGACGATACCAAGCCCGCCGTCGTCGACACGCCAAAAGTGTCGACGGGCATCTCGCCCGCCGACCAGGCGCCCGCACCCGCAGCCGAGCCTGCTCCTCCTGCCGCCGAGTCGGTCTCGAGCGCCGATGCCGCACCTCGTCCTGCCGTCGAGGCCGCACCCGTCCAGGTCCCCGGCGACGAGGCGGCGGCGGCCCGTCAGCCCGTCGCGCAGGCCGCCTTCGAGCCGCAGGTCGTGCGCCCGCCGACGGCGCAGACCGCCGCCGTCGTCCAGGACCCGGCCGTGCCCGCCCAGGTCGACGTCGTCCCGCCGCCGACGTCCAAGCCGATCGTGCCTGCCGCCGAGTCGCACCTCGCCGAGCACCCGGCCACGTCCACCGACACGGACCACGTCCTCCCGCTCGGCTCGGACGTCCACCCGGTCCACCAGGCCGCCGCGCTCGAGCACGCGCCCGACCACGTCGTCAACGCCCAGGTCGAGAAGCACAAGGCCGACAAGCGCGAGCTGTACGGCCTCGAGCCGCAGGGCACCATCGTTCCCGGCCTCGAGGACGACAAGCTGTGGGCCATGCTCCGCCGGTTCGACAACGTGCGTCTCGCTCTCCCTCTCTACCTCGCAGAGCGCACGGTCCTGACACTGTCCTGTCGCGCCCGCAGCAAATCTCGCACACGCTCACGCCGCCGACCAAGCTCCCTCGCGGCGAGCCCGACCTGCGGCCCTCGACGCTGCCCGCCGTCCCGTTCAACCCCGACTCGCTCAAGGCCAACATGATGCGCTGCTACGCGACGTTCGGCGTGTGGGGCATCTATGGCGCGAGGGAGCTCATGAGGCTCATGAGCTGGGCGCCCGAGAACCGCAGGAGGACCGCCGCCTGGTGCTTCGTGCGTCGCCTCTCTCTGTGCCTCTCTTCTCGCACCCCTCGAGCCGACTGACTGACCCTCCTTGACCCTCATGCAGGCCTACTTCTTCTTCGCCCTGTTCCGCATGGTCCTCCCCGCCGTCTTCCTCCTTCTCGTGCGTCGACATCTCTCTCCTCCCTTGCCCCTCCCTCTCACTGACCCTCGTCTCGTCCGCCAGGCCGCACTCGTCGCCTATCCGCGCTCGCGCAAGATCCTGTTCCCGCCCATCCCTCCCCCTCCCGGCAAGCCCCCCTCGGCGACCGACCCGACCAACCAGAAGGGCGACGAGTCGCTCATCGCCGGCGTCGGCGACCCGGTCGAGCACCGCTCGCGCGCCGAGCAGATCGAGGAGCAGGCGTGGGAGTTCACCAACCTCGTGCAGCGCTTCGGCGCGCGCGTCGTCGTCGGCGGTCGCGCCGGCGGCAAGCAGGGCAACGCCGAGGTCGGGCGCAAGCGCCACGTCGACGACGCGAGCGACAGCGAGGACGAGCTCGACTCGGACGAGCAGGACCTGCACGAGGTGGCGCAGAGCGAGGGCCTCGGCGCCGCGGCCGACAAGGAGAACAAGGAGCGCAAGCTGAGCGACAAGCAGCGCGCGAAGCAGAAGGCCAAGGAGGCCAAGATTGCGCGCGACGCCAAGATCGGCAAGCTCGCAAAGGGCGTCCAGGACGGCCTCAATAACGCGGCCGACCTCGCCGAGGTGTTCGCATGTTTAACGAACTAAACCCTCATGGCTAACGTACTAAGCTCTCATGGCTAACGTACTAAGCTCTCATGTTTCACGTAGCGCTGTCGCCCCGTACAAGCCCTACCCGATCTACCACGCGCGCGAGAAGCTCGCGACCCAGGTCCTCATCCCGATCGCCATCGTCTTTGCCGTCGTCCCGGCCAAGGTCTGGACCATGGCGGCGTCGCTCGGGTTCGGCTTTGCGTTCTTCGGTCAGCCCCTCATCATGCGCGGCTTTGCGCTCCTCCAGGAGAAGGTGCCCGACTGGCAGGACCGTATCGACCTTCGCAAGTGCGTCGCCCTCCTCCTCCTCCTCTCTCGAGACTCGAGCGGCCCTGACCCTCTCCCTCTCACCTACAGCACGCTCTTCTCCAAGGTCCCGACCAACGCCCAAGTCGTCCTGCACGTCGTCCGCGTCGCCGAGCGCGCCTACACGCCGTTCCCGCTCCCGCCGGCGCCGCCGACGGCCGGCCACATGCGCGAGGCGGTCCAGTCGGGCGGGTTCGACGGCGACGAGATGGGCGCCGACGGCTACAGCGCCGAGAACGCCAACCAGCACAGCGTCGAGGCCGGCGGCCTCGCCAACCACGTCGACTCGGACGACTCGGACGACGACACGTCGTCGACGGCGCCGAGCACGGTCGACAAGATGGCGACCAAGGGCAAGAGCAAGATTGTCGGCGCGTTCAAGAAGGTGGCCAAGAAGGCGGCCGTGTTCCGCGGCGACGTCGCCGTCGAGGGCGAGACGACCAAGCAGAAGGTCGGGAACAAGATCGACCGCCTCATGCACCACTCGCGCGCCAAGGACGAGATGACGCCCTTCTGTGCGTCTCTTCTCTCTCTCTCTCTCGTACTGTCGCCGTCGTCGTCGCAGATTCCTGGGCGAGAACTGACTTGCTCGTCGCCCGACAGCCTTCCCGGCCAAGTTCAACGGCACCTCGGGCCACCTCATCGTCAAGCACTCGCCCACGCTCGCCAAGTCGACGCTCAGCTTTACGCCGCTCAAGGCGTCGCTCCAGCACCCCGAGTTCGAGTACGAGATCGAGGACCTCGTCGAGCTCAAGAAGCGCGGTGTCTGGATCGGCCGCTCGGTCCTCGGCTGGGCCGCGTCGATCAACCTCGAGGGCATGGGCCTCGACTTGCGCTTCAAGCCGCTCGAGCAGCGCATGGCCGAGAAGGCGCACGGCGGGCTCGGCGAGGGCGACAAGCCGCACGAGGAGCACGTCGAGGGCGAGACGCTCGGGTTCTCGCACGTCGGGCGCCGCGACGAGCTGTTCCGCCGCCTCCTCGGCATCTCGAACGCTCGGTGGGAGGTGCTCTAGAGTTCCCTCTCCCCCCTTCCTACCCCCTCTTGCACGCTGACCTGCGTCGTCGTCCCCCTCCCCTCCTCCTTCCCTCCCTGTCCTTCTTCTCGCTCTCGGTCCCTCCCCTCGTCGCAGTCTCGCTAGTCACCCCTACCCTACACACCTATAGACGATTGTAGCTCTCGGTACCTCGCAACGCTGTCCATAGTCCTCTCCTCGCTCGTCGTCATCGTCGTCGTCGCTTTCGAGAGCTCGCTTGAACCTCTCGCCGCATCTCTCGGGACGCGCTCGCCGACTTGAGAAAGGACGAGACATGAGCGCATCTATTGCAGCGGCTCGACCTTGGCAAGTTTGCTCTCCTGCTCGTTGCGCACGACCTCCTCGAACCGCGCACGGACCGCGAACGACTGAGGAGCGAAGAGGAGGAAGAGGGGAGGGCGGCGACGGCGCCCTGTGCGTCACGATGGCCTCGACCTGCAACAGAGGCAAGAAGCTGTCAGTTCGACTGGTCGAGCGAGGCCGGGACGAGAGAGAGAGAGAGAGAGAGGGAGGGACGCACCCGAGGAGAAACAGCTCGTCCAGGCGCCTGCGCCTCGCCGAGCACGCCCGAGCTACCGTCGGTTGCGGAGCTCCTCCGTCAGGGTCACTGGCATCTCTCCTGTCGCTTGTCGATCAACGTCGGCGCAGTACTCGACCTTGAGGTGGTCGCGCACGCTCGGCGGCAGGTCGGCGCGGTCGAGCTCGTCGAGGACGGCGAGCTGGCTCTTGCGCTGCAGGCGCGCGAGCTCTGGGAGCGATACAATCGGGTTCGAGCCCAGTACGTGCACGCTGCCGATCAAGCGCGCCGTGATGGTCGCGCTGACGAGCTCTTGCCGCAGGGCGCGGTTGAGCGTGTTGAACGTGCCTCGACCGACGCGGTTGCGCGCCGCCTCGAGGTCGGGATGCTCGCCCAGAGCGTAGATCGCGATATAGTAGTCGTCGATGAGGATGTTGCCGAGGCGGCCGAGGACCTCCCAGGGCGTCGGCGGCGTCGCAGCCAGGTCGTGGAGGACGCCCGCCCGGCGCAGCTTGGCCTGTCGCGCGAGCTCGAGAAACTCGTTGGCGAAGAGGATGCTCATGAGGCGCTCGTGCTCGAGGTTGGGGTTGGCGAGCGGGCCCTGTTCGCCGATCGAGGTGAAGTATTCCTGTCGGGCGCGGGAAGGATCAGGCCCACTCTCGCTCAAGCAGACCGAGTGGCTCGAGACGCACATTCATCGCGGCCCGCAGGTCTGCTCCATACTGATCGGGCGCAGCCGCGTCCACGAGGCGCTCGCCTTGCCGCAAAGGCACGTCTTGAAACTCGCGCAGCGTGTCGATCTCGTCGGGGCGCAACGGCGGCAGGTAGAACACGTTCGGGTCGCGGTGGCACAGGACCTTGTGCGACTTCCAGAGCTGCGAACGAGCGCACAGTGTCAGCTTGTCGGCCCGGTGAGTTCGAGAGGAGGAGGTGAGAGAGGGGGGCGCACCAGTGCTTGACAACGGCGCGAGCAGAACGGCTCGCGGCTGCACGCACTGCAGCGCGTCGTGGCAGGCTCTTGAAACACGACGCACTTGACCTCGGGCTCAGTCATTGTCGAGGGAGAGGACCTCGGAAAGATGAGGGTGCTGATGAAGACGGGCGCGGGCGTGGGCGAACGATGGGGCTCTGGAGCGCAGCTGCGGCCGCCTGCGTGGCGTGTAGTAGAGCTGCTCGGTCGGTAGAGCGAGCTAGCAGCCGGCTCTGCGCATGAGCGGGTGCGGTGGGCTGATGAGCCTGCGAGGACAGCTCCTCACCGGCTCGCCCAAGCTCTCGTGGCGCGTCTCGGGGCCTGCATGGGCATGGCCGCCTGCGCGTGGCACATAGACAGACGTCTCACAAAGCGCGAGACCGACCATGCGCGGAAAACGACGCTCTCGGGCCGTCGACCGTCTCTCGCACCGCTTTCGAGTTCGCGCTCGCTCGCAACGAGCCGTTCGACACGCTCGAAGGACAGAAGAGATGCCTGCAGGTTGCATGAACGACTAATGAACGAGTAAGAGGGAGAGGTAAGGAGGAATGAGGTCGACCAGGCTCTAGTGGGCCCAAGTCGGGGCGGTGGGCGATGGAGGAACGACGACGCCGCGAGTCGGGCGTCGGGCGCGCTCACGACGAGAACATCTTGCCGTAGGCGGCGCGAGCGCGCATCTTGCGGTCCTCGATGCGCTGCTTGGCCGCGGCGAGCCTGTGCGAGGGGAAAGAGTCAGTGCTGCGGCTGGATGGCGACGGACGGCGACACGAGGAGAGGCAATCGAGGGGAGAGGCACGATGACGAGAGAGAACGAGAGGAAGAGAGAGCAGGGACGCACTCCTTGCGGATGGCGGCGTCGTCGGGCTGCAGCTTTGCCGCCTCCTCGAGGTCGTCGACCGCCTCCTTCTCCTCCTTGAGCAGCGTGCGCGCCATGGCGCGGCGGTACAGCGCCTTTGCCTTGTCGGCGTCCGTCAGGCGCTTGGCCATGGGCGTCTGCTCCGGGTCGCCGTCGAGCCGGAGCGCGCGCGACGCCGCCTTGACGCCGAGCTGCGCCGCCGAGGTGCCGCCGACCTTGAGCGCGACGAGGGCGCTGTTGAGGAGGAGCGAGAGGCGCAGGGTCGCGTACTCGGCCTCGAGGGCGAGGTCCCGCTCGGGGAGGTCGAGGTGTCGGTCGAGGTCTGCGGGCGACGAGGGGTGCGAGGGTCAGTTCGCGAGCTCGAGCTCGACGGGCGAGAAAGGGAGAGACGAGGACGTACAGCGCAAGCTCTTCTGCCACTTCTTGGACGCCTGGGCGTAGTTGCCCTGCTTGAACAAGTCGGTCCCGCGCTCCTTGATCTCGCTCGCGACCTTGAGCGCCACCTGCGGGTCGTTGACGTCGGCCTCGTCGTCGCTCGGGTAGTCCTCGTGGCCGTCGGCGAACGGGTCGCTCGCGATGCCGTCGTCGCCCTCGGCGAGCTCGCCGCAGTCGCGGATCAGGATCTCCTCGGTCGGCGCATCGCCTTGGACGGGCGACTCCTCGACGAGGCGGACGACCGACCGGCCGTGGAGGACGCGACCGCTGCAAGAGGACGAGAGGGTCAGTTCGCGAGGGAGGAGAAGGAGGCAGGCAAGCAGGCGGGAGGAGGCTCACAAGACCTGCAGGCGAGGGAACAATCAGCGGGCGTCCGTGAGAGACAAAGAGAGGACGAGGAAGGGGGACGCACAACGTGCTTGCCGTCGAGATGAGGGGTCGGGGTACAGGTGATGAAGAACTGAGAGCCGTTGGTGCCCGGGCCGGCGTTGGCCATCGAGAGGAGGAACGGCTTGTCGTGCTTGAGGTCGAAGCTGCGGCGCGAGGCGAGGTCGTCAGGGACGTGCTACGGCTGCAAGAGGAGGCGAGTGCACGCACTTCTCGTCCTCGAACTTCTCGCCGTAAATCGACTTGCCGCCCGTACCGTTGCCGGCCGTAAAGTCGCCGCCTGCGCGAGGAGGGTGAGGAAGGAGGTCAGCTCGCGGGTCGAGGGTGGGAGCTGGAGGGACCGGCGAGCTCACCCTGGATCATGAACTTGCGAATGACGCTGCAGGGGCGCAAGGCGCGTCAGTTAGTGAACTCTGAGCGCAGGCGAGGGGCGAACGCAGTGTCGTCTCGACGACGACTGCTGCGCCCGCCGCCGCGTTTGAGAGGATGCAGGCAGGACGCACCGGTGAAACTTGGAGCCCTTGTAGCCATAGCCCTTCTCGCCGGTGGCGAGGGCGCGGAAGTTCTCGGCCTGGCGAGGGAGGGCGGTGGAACGAGGAGGAAGGTGGGGAAGGACGAGGTTGAGCGTGCGAGGTCGCCTCGCGTCGAGGGGCGTACGATGGGGCTCACCGTTTTTGGTGTGACGTCCTTGTAGAGCTCGACGACGACGCGGCCGGCGTCGTTGCCGTTGATGGAGAGGTCGAGGAACACGCGAGGGTTGCTCATGGTTGGAGGTCGAGGCGGTGCTGGGCGGGTCGAGTGGGTGCTTTAAGGTGCTTGTCGGAGCTGTACGAGTGGCTCTAGCCGGCTCAAGGGCGAGTCTGAGTTAAGTGGTGGTGGTGACGAAAGCTGAGAGAGGCGATGAGATGAAGTCGCTCTCTCGCTTCTCCACCTCGACCCACACCTCAAGATGCCGGGCCGCATGCGCCCACAGGACCGCGCCAACCTCTTGAACGACCTCGCCGTCGGCGTCCCGCCCACCGAGGACGACATTCGCCGCGAGATCGACGATGGCTGGCTCCTCCCCTCGCAAGACGGCCGCAACGAGCTCCGCGCCGCAGAATGGGCCATGTGCGTCCAGCTCTCTCCACAGACCTCGGGCTCAGACCCACGAGCTGACCTTGCCCCCTCGAGCCGACGCAGGCACTGGGACCGCCCCGCCGACCTCCGTTCGCTCCTCCACCTCGAGCCGACCCTGCCCACCACCTCGCTCGAGTTCGTGTCGTCCGGCCTCTCGGGCGACATCACAGGCTACCGCGAGACGACCTCGACTTCGGCCCAGGCGACCCGCACCGCGACCAACAGCACCGCCCTCGACCGCAAGCCCGCCAGCTACCAGGGCTCTTTCGTGCGCGGCAAGAGCTCCTACTTCCCCTTTCACCCAGGAGGACTCGGCGACGTCGTCGTCGACGACGATGACGAGGCGGCAGACGGCGAGGGCGCGCTCGGCGTCGCGACCGACAAGCTCGAGAAGGCGTTCGAGAAGGGCTACGGTGCGTCTCCCTCTCTCTCTCCCTTTCTCTCCTTCCCACCTCGAGAGCTGACCCTCGTACTGCGACAGGCGGCATCCGCACCATTCCTCCCGGCTTCACGCGCGGCCTCGACTTTGGTCCCGTCGCTGACGACCCGACCGGCGCGCTGCTCGAGGAGGAGGAGGAGGTCGAGGTCAAGCCCATCTACCGGCCCATGCTCGAGCTCGCCAACGAGGGCCGAGCACGAGCAGTCCCGGTCCGTCCCACTCCCGCCTGACAGCCGCAGCGTGAGCGAACTGACTCGCATCGTACTCTGCAGAACGGCCGCCCGACCGAGGACGCGCCGCAGCTCGACTCGTCTATCGAGGAGCTTCTGCCGACACGAGTGCGTCCTCTCTCCCTTTGTTGCCCCTGTCCTTCTTCCAGAACTGACGAACGTCCTCCCACGCCCGCAGCGACTCGTCAAGGCGCCTGCAGCAGCCTCGACTCGCCGACGACCCGTCGTCGCCAAGCGCGACTGGGCGCACGTCGTCGACGTCAACCGCGAGATCGTCAATTTTCATGAGCTTGTGCCGGACATGGCTCGCGAGGTGCGTCGCGCTCTCGTTCCCCTCACTACCTCTCTCTCTCCTCGTCGCCCGCTCACGCCTCTTTTCCCGCTCGCCCGCAGTACCCGTTCGAGCTCGACACGTTCCAGAAGGAGGCCATCTACCACATGGAGGTCGGCGAGTCGGTCTTTGTCGCGGCGCACACGTCGGCGGGCAAGACGGTCGTCGCCGAGTACGCCATCGCGCTCGCGCAAAAACACATGACGCGCGCCATCTACACGTCGCCGATCAAGGCCCTGTCGAACCAGAAGTTCCGCGACTTTCAGAAGACGTTCGACCCGAGCGAGGTCGGCATCCTGACGGGCGACGTCCAGATCAACCCCGAGGCGAGCTGCTTGATCATGACGACCGAGATCTTGCGCAGCATGCTCTATAAGGTGCGCTCCCCTTTCTCTCTCTCTCAGCGTCAGTGACCTGAACTGACTCGTCGACCTCCCGCAGGGTGCCGACTTGATCCGCGACGTCGAGTGGGTCATCTTTGACGAGGTGCACTATGTCAACGACCTCGAGGTGCGCTCCCTCTCCCTCCCTCTTCCCGTCGCGCAGCGTCACTCACGCCCACGACCATGTCCACAGCGCGGCGTCGTCTGGGAGGAGGTCATCATCATGCTGCCCGACCACGTCGGCATCATCCTCTTGTCGGCGACCGTGCCCAACACAAAGGAGTTTGCCGACTGGGTCGGGTGCGCTCGCCTTTCTCTCCCTCTTTCTCGCCATCGCAAGGACACTCACTGACTCGTCGACCTCGCCCATGCAGCCGCACCAAGAAGAAGGACATCTTCGTCATCTCGACGCCCAAGCGGCCCGTCCCGCTCGAGCACTTCCTGTACGCCGGCAAGGAGCTGCACAAGGTCGTCGACGCCAAGGGCACCTTCCTCGGCACGGGCCACAAGGACGCCAACGAGGCGAACCGGCGCAAGCAGGACAAGGAGCGCGAAGCGGCGGGCCTGCCTGCGCCGGGCGCGCCGGGCGGCGGACGAGGCGGTGCGGCGGGCGGCGGGAGGGGAGGAGGAGCGGCGGCCTCGAGGGGCAGCAACCGCGGTGGTGGGCAGGCGGCGCGCCAGGTCGCCGCACGAGGCGCCATGGCGGCGCAGCGACGAGCGGGCACGGGCGCGCTCAACCGCTCGAACGCCCAGGGGCGCGACGCCAACCTCTGGATCCACCTCATCGGCCTCTTGCGCAAGAAGGAGCTCCTGCCCGTCGTTGTCTTTACGTTCAGCAAGAAGCGGTGCGAGGAGTACGCCGGGAGCATGCCCAACACGGACCTGTGCACGGCGGCCGAGAAGAGCGAGGTCCACATCGTCATCGAGCGCAGCCTCACTCGCCTCAAGGGTGCGTCTCCCTCTCTTTCTCTCTCCTTCTCTGAGCGCATGTCGAGCTCGTTATCGACGGCGTCCACACCCGCAGGCTCGGACAAGGACCTGCCGCAGATCAAGAACATGCGCACGCTCCTCTCGCGCGGCATCGGTGTCCACCACGGCGGCCTGCTGCCCATCGTCAAGGAGGTGCGCCGCCTGTCTCTCTCGTCGTCGTCGAGCGTGTCCCTGACTCGCTCTCGCCCTCGCCGCAGATGGTCGAGCTCCTCTTTGCTCGCGGGCTCGTCAAGGTCCTGTTCGCGACCGAGACGTTCGCCATGGTGCGCCCTCTCTCCTCCCTCTCTCCCTGCGCCCTCTCGTTCATTTCTGACACTCTCGCACGAACCTGGCAGGGCGTCAACATGCCGGCCAAGTGCGTCGTGTTCTCGGGCATCCGCAAGCACGACGGGCGCAGTTTCCGCGAGCTGCTGCCGGGCGAGTAGTGCGTCCCCTCTCTTTCTCTCTCGCCCTGCCTGTCGACGTCGTGCGGAACTGACGACGCCGACGACGCCCGCAGCACGCAGATGTCGGGTCGTGCAGGACGGCGAGGGCTCGACAAGACGGGCGTCGTCATCATCAACGCCGACTCGGAGGTGCCCGACGTGCGTCGCCTGCTCTCCTCCTCTCCTCGGATCGTCACTGACCTGCTCTCGGACCCCTCGCAGGCCAACACGCTGTCGCACATGCTCCTCGGCCAGCCGACCAAGCTCCAGTCGCAGTTCCGCCTCACGTACTCGATGATCCTCAACCTCCTGCGCGTCGAGGCGTTGCGCGTCGAGGAGATGATTAAGCGGTCCTTCTCGGAGAACGCGGCGCAGCGCCTCCTCCCCGAGCACGCCAAGAAGGTCGCCGAGGGCGAGAACGAGCTCAAGGAGCTGAGAAGGCTCGAGCCGGGCCCCAAGACGGACGAGCTGCGCAAGTTCTACGACCTCGAGCAGCGCATCGTCGAGCTCAACACGGCCGTCCTCGACGGCGTCTTGGCGCACCCGTCGTCGGGCAGGACCATGAGCGCCGGCCGGGTCGTCATCCTCTCGGACGGGGTGCGTCGACCTCTCTCTCTTCTCTTTCCCTCCCTCTTCTCGGCCTTCTCGACGTCGTCCTGACCCTCGCCTCACCTCGCAGCACTTCCGCGACAACCCTGCCGTGCTGCTCAAGTCGGCGCCGGCCGCCGTCTTGCCGTCAGGCGTGCTCGACCCGACCAAGCAGTTCTTCGTGCTCGCGTTCGTCCCGCCCGAGATCCGCGAGGGCAAGCACGGTGCGTCCAGCTCTCTCTTCACGTCGAGCTCCTCCCCTGACATGCGCGCTCCTTGCCCGCAGATGTGGCCGCCGACGCCGTCCCGCCTCGTTGGCCACACCGACCTTCCTCGGCCTCGCCCGCCGACCTCACCTACGAGCTCGCCGTCGTCCCGCTCACGTCCATCTCTCTCGTCACCACCTACACGCTCAAGCTCGACGCCGACGCCATCGCCGACCGCCACCGCCGCAGCGCCATGGAGGGCGCGCTCGCCGACTTTTCGACGCTCGCCGCCGAGCCGACGACGGCGCTCGATCGCGAGGCCGACTGGACCAAGGTCCGAGGGCTCGAGTTTCGCGAGGCGCTGCAGAGGAGGGACGAGCTCGTCAAGCAGCTCGGGTTCTTGGCCGTCGAGGAGGACGACCTGGGCGAGCCGGTGCGCCCGCCTTTCTCTGCCTCTCGTCCTCGCTCCCAAGCTCGCGTACTGACTCGTCTACGTGCGCAACAGTACGCCATCCTGCACTCGGAGCGTGTCCTCGAGGACAAGATCGCGCAGTGCGTCCCTCGTCCTCCCTTGCGCTCGCACCCCGAGCTGGACTGACCTGCCCTTTCCCCTTCCCTCGCCGCGACAGCCTGCGCATGGCGCTCAGCGACCAGAACCTCGAGCTCTTGCCCGACTACGAGCAGCGCATCGACGTCCTCAAGGAGCTCAAGTTCATCGACGACAACTCGACCGTGCAGCTCAAGGGCCGCGTCGCGTGCGAGGTGCGTCCCAGCCGTCCTCCTTGTGCGCTCTGCCCGTCCTCGCTCGTGCAGTGCGCTAACAGGCTCGCTGCTCCACGACGCAGATCAACTCGGCCAACGAGCTCGTCCTCACCGAGCTCATCCTCGACAACGTCTTTGCCGACTTTGAGCCCGAGGAGATGGTCGCGCTCCTGTCGGGCTTTGTGTTCCAGGAGAAGTCGGACTCGGAGCCGCTCTTGACGCCTCGACTCGAGGAGGTGCGCCCCCTCTCCCTCTGTCCGTCCCGCTCGAGCGAGGAACTGACTCTCTCTTCCCTCGGCCTTCTCCCA